AGGCGAGCGCTCTACCACTTGAGCTACAGCACCACTTCCGGTTTTCTGGTGGTTTATTGGAGATAGGAGTCTCACGGTCTTTCCTGCCTGGGCTGGCTTTGAACCATGATCCTCAGATCTCAGCCTCCTGAGTAGCTAGGATTACAGGCGTGAGCCACCAGCGCCTCGCGAGAACCTATCTTTTATTTGCCAAAACTGGTAACCTACCTCCTTAGCGATTCTTCCTTCTATAGCTTCATGCTACAAAAAACTTGCGGGGGAGGGGAGGGCTTATAGAGGAACCCACCAAACACAGAGTATAAGTAAGTCACAGATGTCAAGGTACATAGTATACATTAGGATAAGGTCAAAGCAGATGGGACACCCTCCGTGGTTACTTTAAGATGGGGATACAGAGGGGAACACTTGTGTGGTCTCTTCTGATTTTTGCTAGTGGGCAGCACCTGTCATTTATAAGCTGGGTGGGCTTATGGAGCTTGAGATGTAGAAGTCACAGTGCAGAGCACAGCTTGCCTGCTTTTTACAGACAGGACCGTGGGAAGCCACAGGCCATGGTTACCCTGTGTGTCTTGTCCAGTAGGTAGGTCATATAGTGTCATTTAGTGTCATGGGAGAGGTAAGGGTAGGGTATTGTTCTGGCCCACTGCGGTGGCTCTGTAACTTGGCAGAACCTTTTGAGAGAACAATCTGGTAATAATTAAAATGTCATATGATTTGACCGACTAATTTCCACTTCTGGGAGACTTGCCTAAGGAAATAATTTCCAAAGCATAGAAAAACCAGATATACGCCTAAAGATGTTTATTACAGTGAAGTTCACAATGAAAAAAACTCCCCACACATCACGTATACCTCCCATAACAGGAGGGAGATAATATTCGCCATGAGCCATCTGTAGTCATTAATTAAGGTCAATGATAAGGATTCATAGCAACCCAGAAACAGCCAGATCCCATCAATTAGGATACCAGATATCAAACAGCATCTAACATAAATATAAGCACATCAGAAAGGAATACACAGGAGAATTCACCAGGAGGGGGTCTGGATGAGCCCAAGGCATTAGTATAATTCTCTTGTTCTGATAAGATGACTCAGTTGCGGAATTCACTGGAACTGTTTGCCCTGCTCCTTACTCAACGCCAAGGGATGAACTCCAATAGGTCAATGTGACCCTTCTGCACCATGCCTAAGACTCTCTTCTTGACGTGTCACCTAGCAGCCTGGTCTTCTGTATATGGCTCATTGCACATAGTTCCTTTCAGAGCAGAGCATCCCCTGGGGGCTGCAGGGGACCAAAGGTTGTTTGTAAGGTTGTGAAATAATTCCTAAGTTAGTAGGTGTCTCAGGACTCAGCAGTGACTAGTTGTTGTCAAGTCTGATTTTGATGGATGACTTGAACAAACAAGTTTCAGAGCCCTAGATGGCCTGGCCCAGAGCTAAAGCTGGGCAGACAGTACCGACACTTCTGCTTGATTTCCAACCCTAAAAGTGGAAGACTGATGCAAGACAGACTTCTAAATTGGAGCTGTGTTCCATTTCCACCTTGATCATGATCTTCTTCTTCTTTTTTTTTTTGATCCAGTCATGGGGCCTGAACTCTGGGCCTGGGCGCTGTCCCTCAGCTCTTCAGCTCAAGGCTAGCAGTCTACCACTTGAGCCATAGTGCCACTTTTGGCTTTTTTTTTTTTTTTTGCTTATGTGGTGCTGAGGAATTGAACCCAGGGCCTCATGCATGCAAGGCAAGCGCTCTACCACTGAGCCACCTTCCCAGCCCTTGATCATGATCTTCTATGTTTTCTATTTCCTGTTGGTACCATGGGGACAAAGGTACCTGTCAATCAACCAGCAACTATAGCAACCTTGAGCATCATGGCTGGGAGGCCAGAACCCAGTTGCACCATCTGACAAACTGGCATAACTATGCTTGCTTTTCTTACTTGGGCTCAAATAACAGGCTATATTTCATAGCCCTTCCAACACCACGAGGTACTGTGTGTGGGCACCATGATGCCTTTGGGACACATCTTGCCAGGTAAATATGACTCTGATGCTGTGGCTCCCACCTTGAATGGGTCCATTGAACTCAACAAAATGGTAAATACCCATGACCTCAGGGCTAGCACACAAACTCCTCCATGAAAGTGGCCCTACCCATCTGCCACGTTTTATCTTCTCAATCCACCTTCTCACGTTCTTCTACACTCTCCTCTCTTGCTCTGCCCTCTATGATACCCAGGGGCCTCTGATGCCAGGCCTTCCCCATGTATTCCTTCAGCCAACTGCCTCTGCCCTTACGCACCCCCAAATCATCCAAGCCCATCTGAGGAATCCCTAAGAAGTTCATCAGCGTTGGCCGTGGCAGAAGCCATCCCCAAAAGAAACTCTTCATCACAAAGAATGCTACTCCCTAAGACCCCAGCTATGATAGCTGGTTTTCAACATCTGTGGTATCCCTCTCCCTATGTGTTTATGGGAGCTAGGAGTATATTCATCTACCAGTCACCAAATAGAAATCACAGTCCCTAGTTCAAAGCTGCCATTAGAAGGGTGAAAGTATGGGGCGGAGAGACTCAGTGGATGTTGGCTAATGTGAGGGGTCTCATGGTTCTTTTGCTTTTCTTTTTTTAGTTTTCTATATGCTTTTTGTTTTATGGTTGGTATGGGTCTTGAACTCAGGGCCTGAGCCATCCTTAGGCTCTTTTGCTCAAGGCTAGTGCTCTGCCACTTTGAGCCACAGCACTACTTCTGGTTTTCTGGTAGTTAATTGAAGATAAGAGCCTCATGGCCTTTCCGGCCAGGGGTTTGCTTTGAACCGCAATCTTCAGAGCTCAGCTTCCTATATAGTTAGGATTACAGGTGTGAGCCACTAGGTCTGGCTGGTTCAATTTCTTAAAATTTTTAAAAAATAATGGTTTTAGGTCTCAGGTCTCTACTGTTCTTTCCCCCCAAGCACCAGCTCAGATAGCTGCTCTGGTACCCAGGGATCTGAAGAATTTCTTTAAGCTGCCCAGCATAGAGAGTGAAAGGTGGTTGCCACATTTAGTTGCATTCATCTAACTTAGATTCCTCCTATCTAACTCACAGTGATAGCAGGACCTCTCCTGGCACAAAATGCCTGGCCCTTTTCATCTCCTAGGAAAAGGGCCCAGAATAAAAATAGTGCCAAGGCCATTTACCTTGCAAGCTGTCAACATATCTGACACAGCCTTCCGGCTCAGATTGGCTGTGGCGATCACATCCTCCTGTCTACAGGAATTCCCAGCTGCCACGGCTTTGGCTGTTGCCATGGTGATGCCTTTTGTCATCCTGATGGATTCTTCAGGTGATGATGTCTTTTCAGGTACCTCTTTTGACTGGAATACCTGTAAATCAGAAACAGAAGGGGTAAAACAAATCAAAAGGACAGAACAAAAATTACTTGTTCATTTCCAACCAGGCTATACTGTTACAGCTCAAGTATCTGACAGCCAAGCCAGCAATGGGAAGAAATCATCAAATGCTAAGAAATTAGAAATTTAATGAGTACAGTACTATCTTGCTTACTTCCAAGACTTTAGTACGGAAAAGACTCTCACACCAGCATTACCCATAATAATACAGTGGAGAGGCATTTAGAGTATTAACCCATTTGTCTGTAGACAATGTCCCTCATATTGTCCTTCTTGGCTTCCCATTTCTTTTCCTTCACCCCTGCTGGTGTTTTGGCAGGGCAATTCTAGTCCTAATGCTGGTTCTAGGACAGGAATAACCTGGGGTCATTACCTTGAACTCTTCTTTTATGAGTTAACAGAAAAGAAGCATTAGATCTTGCTGTTCTTAGTCCACCTTACAAATAAATATAAGTGCATAATTGTGCAGAGGTGTTCGAGTCAAATACTGAGTTGTTTAAACACACACCCACATTTTAAGAGAAACCACAATTAATGAACTAAGGTTAAATCCAAATCTCACCTTACAGTTTCAGCTGTCAGTCAAGGCAAGCTGTTTCTACTTCAAACTTGTCTCTTTAAGAAGAATGTTCAGTGTCATGGTGGCAGTTTGCACGTGTATCTGTCCCTGCATAAGAGGACCCCTGGCCTGTCTTCAGTACGAGGCTACCCCTTTTCAACATGGGAGATTTCCCTCAAGCGGAAAGGGGGACCCACACAACATTGCTGCCATATGCCAACCAATGGCCAGCATCACTACCTCCTACAAACAGGCAGCTGGCAACTAGGAAGCCCAGGACCACAAATTCTGTGTCCACAAGGTGGAATGGAGGCTATGGGTCCATACTACTGTGGTACTCATGGCACATGCTCCTCAGAAACACAGGTGCCAATTACACTGTGGCCAGTGTTTACAATTCACTCAGTGTCTACAATTTTCCAGGAGAGCTCTGATCTTCCCTTCCATTACCACCAGGAGGCCACTTATATCTGCCTGAACTTGTGGCCAGATTTTAGGTGGGAAATGTCCAATCCAGGCAGCTAGACCACTGCCAGGCAACAGGGTTTCAGGACACTACTTGCTTTTGAGTTACTCCTGTATTTTTTAGTTTCTCCTTTAAAATGTGAACTAAGTAGCTTTGGAACAATGGCTCAGACCTATAATCTTAGCTACTTGAGAGGCAGAGATCAGGAGGATCATGGTTCTACTCTAGGCTGGTCAACAAGATAGACCTCACTGGGTACCGGTGGCTCCTGCCTGTTGAGAGGCTACTTGGGAGGCATTGATCAGGAGGCTGGTCAAAAAGACAGACCTTGCCAGGTGCCAGTGGCTTACACTTGTAATCCTAGCTGTTCTGGAGGCTGAGATTTGAGGGTCGTGGCTCAAAGCCAGCCTGGGCAGAAAAGTCCATGAAACTCTTATTGCCAATTAAGCCCAAAAATCAGGAAGTAGAGCTGTGTCTCAAGTGGTAGAGTGCTAGCCTTAAGCACAGAAGCTCTTGGACGGCACCCAGGCCCAGAGTTCAAGCCCCAGGACTGGCAAAAAAAAAAGTTAGACTTCCATCTCAATCAATAAAAATCTTGGCATCATGGTATGTCTGTTATCCAAGTTATCAAGGAAGCATAAATAGGAAGATTGTGGTCCAGGCTGACCCTATGCAAAAAACAACAACTTATCCAAAAAACAATTAAAGCAAAAGGGACTGGAGATATGGTACAAGTTCCCTTGAGATCAACCCCAGTATCACACAAAAAAAAGGAAGAAAGAAAGAAAGAAAGAAGATGAATAAAAAGAGCAAGGCACTAGTGGCTCATGCCTGTAATCCTACCTACTTGGGAGGCTGAGATCTGAGGATTGTGGTTCAAAACCAGTCTGGGCAGGAAAGTCTGTGAGACTCTTATCTCCAATAAACGACTCAGAAAACAAAAACAACAACAAAAAAAACCCAGAAGTGACGCTGTGGCTCAAGTGCTAGAGCACTAGCCATGAGCACACAGAGGCTCAAGGACATCACCCAGGCTGGGGCAGGGGAAGGAGGGGGGAAAGATGAGTGATATAAGCATACCCCAAGCAAGGCTGAAACCATGAAAACCAGGAGACAAGATGCCAAGCCTTCATCAATGATCAGTGGAATCACTCACTCACTTCCAGTGCTGCCCTTTATGTCAGCTTCATAGGCAACCTTCTAAAAGTGTAGAACCAGCAGCCCCAAAGGCGGATTTCCTAGTCCTTCTATTCCACACATACTGCGCCACCCCTACTTGTAAGGATTAGGATGAATAGATATACAATAACCATGAGGTCATAGGAAGCAGATTATAGCCCTAGCTCAGCAGCTTGGGGTGCCCACAGTCCCCAGGGATGAAAGGTGGTAAAGAACAGGGCAGACATCTCTAAGGTCCAGCAGAAGGAAACTGGATTCCAAAAGGAAGTGTCTTAAAGGTATCTAGACCCTTTAACAGTGTGTGATGGTGTGAGCTGTTGCCAATAGCAACGTGAATGAACAGAGCTGGCATGTGGTACCCATCAGGTAAGCTCAAGGCACATGAAAACAGCCTCAGCCAGGGACATTTGCAATGCTGCAATTGCAGTTTTACAGGAGTAATAACTGAATTATCCTAAGTGATACATAGCAATTATGGCCCTACTTACAATTACCAATAGATTCTAGGCAAATCCAGGGACAATGTTACAAATGTCACCAGAAGGCAGATGATCAGACCTCCTTAGTCCTAGATTTTTTTTTAAGTAAAAAAAATCTCTTTGTCTTAACTATCTTAGGCAAGCACTGCTTGGTCAGTTGTTAGATGCTATCATTGATGGAGGTAACTTTGGCGCCTTACCGTGAGCTCCTGCTTTATGTATTCAATGGTGGCCTCAAGTGCCCTTGTCCCTCTGGTGGCCTCATCCTCCACAGCCTTCACAGTCTTGAGGAGGGAGGTGACATTGGTTACCATCACCTGCATAGGAAGAGAGCAAGCAGAAAGCACACTGTCTGAGATCCAGTCTCTATGCCTTTTAATTCCAAAGTAATGCCATTCAGTGGTTTGGAGAATGTTTGGTCTACAGTCTGTACAAGGACTATAAAATCACGGCTTTATGACAGGAAAGACATACATGCTTCTTGTGTGCTTCTCATCAGATGCCTGTACAGATAATTTTTTTTTTTTGCCAGACCTGGAGCTTGAATTCAGGGCCTGGGCACTGTCCTTGAGCCTCTCTGTGCTCAAGGATAGCGCTCTACCACTGGAGGCACAGCACCACTTCCGGCCTTTTCTGTTTATGTGGCACTGAGGAATCAAACCCAGGGCTTCATGCATGCTAGGCAAGCACTCTATCACTGACCCAACTTTCCAGCCCTGTATGGATAATTTTGTATGCCCGCAAATCATGTTATAAATATCCAAGTAGCTCTCAACAGGACAAAGGTTTCCCTACCCTCACCAGAGACTTCTCTTTTCTTCAGAGGAGAAAGGAACTCAGATTGATCACCTCCCAAGATCCTTTCATTTTCATATATCCTGCAAGCTCAGCTCTGGCTGGAGCCCTTCTTTACCTTGGCTGCCCCTTTGAGCTGGTACATGGAGGGGTCATCTGCCGGCTTGCTGGCAGCTCCCTTGGTAGCACCAATGAGATCAGAAAGGGCCTTGGCTACATCTTTGATAGCGTTGATCAACACCACCTGGAGAAAGCAGACACCAGGTCAGTAGATGCTGAAATGTTACCTGCTGACTGCCTCTCTCCCCTGCCCAAGGCATTCGTCTCCACAGAAAGATGAAGCTGGGAATAAGACAAAGGCAGGGCTGTGCATACGTAGCTCGACAGACTCCTTCATGGTAGTCCAGGAAGCCACTCTTAGAGATCCTGAGGCGGAAATGTGAAGAACCCCTTCTCCCATCTGCCCAAAGCTGATGCTGAGCCAGAATGGATAACTCTGATCTACACAGATAGCTTAAAGCTGGGTTCTGTGTTCATGCTTGCAATCTCAGCTACCAGGAAGATATAGTTAGGAGGAACACAGGGGTTGAAAGTTAAAACCTTATTTAAAAGATAACCTAAAGGGCTGGGAAGGTGGCTCAGTGGTAGAGCGCTTGTCTTGCATGCAGGAGGCCCTGGGTTTGATTCCTCAGCACCACGTAAGCAGAAAAAAGCCAGAAGTGGCTCTGTGGCTCAAGTGGTAGAGCGCTAGCCTTGAGCTGAAGAACTGAGGGGCAGCACCCATGCCCCGTGACTGACAAAAAAAAATAACCTAAAACAAAAATGGCTAGAGGTACCCTGAGTTCAAACTCTAGTGCCACCAAAAATAAAACAAACCAAAACAAACCCCAAACTAAAAACCAAACACTCACAAACAAACAAAAAAAAACATGCTGTCTATTTCAAATCCCTAGATACCAACTCTGCAGATGAGTTGCCTTGAACAGGATGAAGGCAGCTGACAAGGTACCAAGACTCACTTCAAAACTGTCTCAAAACCAGTCCTACCCTGATACCCAGGCCTTTCTTCCTAGTGTTCATTTTTCTGGGAGTTGCTGCCTCAGCCATTCAGCATGCTAACTGCTTTCTTCCTTTACTGGAAATCTCCATCCCTTCCTTCTAAGGACCTCTACTCTTGCTGAGAGCCCTGCTCTCTCCATCATTCATATATTATATACTGAGAGACTTTTGTCAACCACCTAAAGCTATAGCCCTTCTTCCCTCCCCCCCCCCGCTCTCCCCAACATCAAAACAATTGGAGGGCCCTGCTCTATCCCCAGGACTTGGAACCACTTGCATGTGGTTTGCATTTTCCCTGACTTGGATGTAAAGCGGTTCAAACATGACCTTTCCTACTCAGAACAGGGTTCTGCACAGAGCGGGTCCTACTCACTATATCTCAGGGAATGAATGAAGGCTTTATGCTAAGGGGATATGTCAGTCACAGAAGGACAATCCATTTATGTATTTAAGACAGTCAGGCTCTGAAGCATAGCACAAAAGTGGTGGTTAGAGGCAGGGGAAGGAGAAATAGGTCATTTCTGATCAAGGATCATCAAGTGTCAGTCAAGCAAGATGAAATAGGCCTTAGAGATCTACCAAGCATCTCAAGCACTGGCCGGGCAAGGTGGCACGTGCCTGTGATCCCTGCTACAAGGAAAGCACAATGGCTGGGCATGAGTGGTCAGCCAGTCATCCCCAGAGACATGGGGAAGTACAAATAGGAGGATCACAGTCCAGGCCCACCTGGGCATGAATTGAGATTCTTCAGCAAAAAAGGTGTGATTCCAATGGTAAAGTGCCTGTCTAGCAAGTACAAGGCTCTGGGTCCTACCAAAAAATAATTAAAATAAATTAATAATCATCAGTAATAAATTAAATTATTATTAATAAAAAATCTAAAAGTAAATAAAATTAGGGAGAAGAGGTTTCAGGAAAAGTAAAGGTCAGTACCAATAGTCATCAGTAAAGCTGAGTGGTGGTGACCTAGCTCATTTTATGATTCTACTTTTTGAACCTGACACAAGGTATTACAATTTTTTCCCCCCTCTCAAAAGGACAGGAAAATAGAAAAGAAGAGCCCGCAGCAATGTGATACATTTCTCTGTGTCAAAAGATGTCAATTATCTCCCTGTGAGATTCCTCAAGCTGGTCAGGTAGGGGAGAAAATACCTGTGTAGCTTGCCTCCAACTCTAGGGACTCTGTTTCCAGCTTTGCCTTCTTCTACCAGAGTCAAAACACTACCACTCAGGCAGGGATCGATTACAAGAAGTGCTTATGATTGGATAAGGCAGCCAGTCTGAACTCTGATGTTATCAGGAAGAAATCCAGCACAGAGGATGATAAAGACCACCCAAGGAAGCTTTCCTCACTGGGATCCACAGCCCCCGTGTGTGTGTGTGTGTGTGTGTGTGTGTGTGTGTGTGTGTGTGTGTGTGTGTGTGTCTAAAGGCCCAGTGTGTGTGTGTCTACAGGCCCAGTGTGTGTGTGTGTGTGTGTGTGTGTGTGTGTGTGTGTGTGTGTGTGTGTTGGTGGAGGGGTAGAGGAGTGAGGTGGGTCATCAGTGGCTGGGATTTCCATCTAAGTCTTGTTCAAAATAGAATGGCTTGCTGACTATGGTGTGGGCTGTAGAAACTAAAGGGCTAGTCCACTGGTAATGGGTAGTATCTATCTATGGATGATCTTTGTGGCCAACAGTTCAACAAAGATGAATAAATGGCAATGACAGTCCTTGAGGGGCCTAGGATGTGGCAGGGGTATAAGAAGGGGGTACCAAAGAGCAGGTGGGTGATTTAAATGACATCACTACCTCCCACACAGAGCTCCCAGAACCACAGAGCCCTTTCCTGCCCTTCTTCTTCCTCCCTGCCATTCTAAGCCAGCTATTTCCGAACGGGGGCCCATTGGAGCAGAGATCACTGTGCCCTCCCTGGCTGTTGGGGTCACCGGTGGCTGGTTCCCAGGCTTTTTTCATCTGATGTCTCTTAGCATCTCTGGTATTTCCTTGGCTCACCCTCACATCCCGTGGCTTTCCTTCTGCCGTCCATTCCTTTAGTGCCTAGGATTTTCTCCTTTGCCCATTCCTGAGGACAAGTCTTGGTTGGAAGCCCCCGGTCATTGTACCTGAGCAGGCCCACGTCAGACCCAGCTCACCTTCCCCCTGCTCAGGCTAGGCTCTTACTCCAGGGTATTCCCTCTTGGTTTCTAGAGCCTCTATTCACTCCAGTCTGACTGTGAGGCCATCTTTGCTCCTCCCTCTCCTTTATCTTCCAACACCCACCGTGGCCATTGTTCCCCAGGCCTAGCTATCTCTCTTCCTTTTAGATTCCTCTCAAAACCATGGGTTTGTCTCCACCTCCCCAACCACCACCACCACCCAAGCCCCTTCTATCTCTCTTGGACAACTGCTTCCCACAGATAGAGCTTCATGCCTGTTGTTTACTCGGCAGCTCCTATTTTCCTGAGCCCTTTGCTGAGGCCCAGGGCCCCCCACCCCCATCCCTACCTGGGTCTCGGGGTCATCTGATCCCAGGCTGGCTGCTCCCAGCTTGACTACCTCGGCGAGGTGGGTAATGGTGGCTGCTGAGGACTGAGCTGCCTGGGCCAGCTTGTCTGGAGTGGACGCCGCTCCCGACACGAGAAGTTTTGTGTCTTCTACCAAGGCCTTGGCTGTCTTCAGAATGTTCTCTCTGAGGAAGGGAGGGAGGGCCAAGGAGAAGGGGAGAAACAAAGGCCCAAAGTTGTTTACTTGCAGTTAGGAAGGAAGGAAACCCTTCATAGGGGACTTGGAGTGGTATGTGCCATCTTCTTGATGGGGGGGGGGGATGGAGGTGAAGTTGGGGAGAGGAGAGGGAAGCAACTAGAATGCACAGTCAGTGGGAAGTAAAACTCCAGGGCAGGGCTCAGGCCTATGGGTCTGGCTGCTGTCCCCAGCCCTGTGGTTAGGTGAAAGCCCAGCTTCTTTTCTGTAGCTCACACTCTCCCTGCAGAAACTCCATAGCCACAGTCTGCTGCCAGGATGTGTGAGTTGGGTCATTTTGTCTGGGAATTAGAGCCCAAAGGGCCAGGCTCTAGGTGGGAGGACAGAGCACGGGGAATTTCCTTCTTAACTCTGGTCCTTCAGTTAATAAGAGATAGAGAGGAAGAAAGAGGCTGGATACCTGGAGAGGATTTGGGGGTCTCTAGCAGTCAACTTAGAGCTCCAAGCATTTTTCAGCCCAAGTCTGGTAAAAGCTGCAAACTTTGAGCCCCGTTCCCCAGGACACAGTAACTGCTAAATGTGCCTTCCCTGCTGTTCCGATCCTTGGTGGGTGGTCAGAGATCAAAAGATCTATGGGGGTAGGCTGGATCCAGAACTGCCAAAGGCCAAGTTCACATACAGCCCTGTTCATAGCTGGGCAAGGGTTTATTCTCCCTTTCACTTGAGCATCTTGTGGAGATGACAGTGGATACCCAGACAGCTTGAATAGAGTGGGTTATGAGTTTCAGGGCAGGCCAGCCTGAACCTCTCTGTACCTGTGATCTGCAAAAGTCTCGTTGTTCTCTGCATTCAGCGTCCCCGCGGTGGCAAACATGATGGTGGTGTCCAGGTCGGCGATGATCCCCGACACGGCAGTGGCAGCTGTGATGCATGCTTGGGTCCCCTTGTTTCCAGCCTGGAGAGCTGATAACACTAGCGACACCTGTGAGTAGAAAGGGAATGTTTGAGGGATCCAGAAACTGGAGAGAAAATGTGATCCAAAAGTAGGACGCCTCTGAAAATACTGACTTCCTCTCTTTTCTGAGAACTGATGCAGCTTTGTGGGTCCACAGCACAGGTTCAGGGCCAGTAAGAGCCTGGTTATGAATACCAGCCCTGCCATTTTTTACAGGCTATATGAACTTGGACAAACTACGTCATCTTTCTGGGACTCAAGTTTCCTCATCTGTAAAGTGGAGCTGTTACTTCTTGCCTACCAAGGCTGTTGGGAGAATCAAGGAGGAAAATGAAGCCTATATATACAGCAAAAGATCTCCATTGTCAAAGGAGCATTCACTGAGTTTCTATCCTATTTCTGAAACTGCAAGAGGGAGTGAAGATTAGGCTCATACTAAGTGGCCGTTTCCAATCTCTCTAGTTAGGTGTTTGGAAGGAACTCCATCATTCCAACACCTGGTCATCTCATGTTGGAAATCTTCTTGGACCCACTCATTGGGAGTCCAGAGGTGACCTCCATATGCAACCTCTCTACCCACAATGCTCCTCCTGCATACCATTATCCACCACCAAGTAGCAATGCAGTGAGTGACCCAATGCCTTCCATGTCAGAAACTCCAGCTGTTAGCTCCCACTACCCAGCCCCTTCCAACACACCCCCTCAATTCCCACAGACACACTGTCCAACCCAAACCATCTCACATGGCCGCTTATAGTCCAACCACCTCTCATCATCATATCTGCCAGCTCCTGACATCCCTAAACACATCTGTCTGTTCACTCAGGGCCCTCACTGTGACTGTAGGAACCCCCTAACCTTACCCTAATCTTCCCCAGTCATGCACAGACTCATCCTGCAGGATATGGCTCTAAGTCTCCACTCTTGTCTTCCAGAGAGGAGTGTTGCCACTGAGGCTCCCAGCCTACTGTTCTTGCCCTTGGTTTAAAATAGCTTCTTATGGGTCTGCGGGCTCTTTGAAGTCAGGAGCCACGGCTCACCTGTGTGCACACACCTACCATAATTGGCTGACCCAAGGTACACTCTGCCAATGCTTTAAATCAACTTCTTGAAGCGTGATGGCCAGGGTCAGGGAGGCATAGCATAATGGAGCCAGGCACAGGGCTAAGGACGCTGTCTCCTTTGTGCCGCTTGGGTCTCCGTACAGGTTGTAGGATGGGCGCAGAAACCATTCCCAGAGCACCCGCCGTGTCCTAAGGCCAGCCTCCCCCTTCTCGGCCCCGACTCTTTCTCTTCCCCATTTGCCTGACGAGCAAATAAAAGTTGGTATAGAGTGGGCCTGAGAAAGAAGTGTCCAGAAAGAACTCTGAGAATGGGGCACAAAGGCCAAGACAAGTGTTTGGATGTTGTGGTTTTATGTGACAGGTATTTTCAAACAGGATGAAAGGGGAAGAGTCCAGAGAGTGTCTCACCCATTGCCAAAGGTGCTGATGGACACACCTGCTCTCTTCTAGGTAGGACAATCCTGGTGCTCACGGCTGGGGCAAGCACTGCATACATGACCAAGGCATGTAGCACGCAGTAACCAAAAGGCCAGCTACTAACAGCTGGCTACTTTCCTAGGTGTCCTACATCAGAGACCCTCTGTGGAGAGGCAGAGACTAACTGAGGAAGACATGCAGCCCAGACCCCTCCCCACTCCGCACATGCCTGCTGCAAGCTCTTCCCTGGACTATTGGCCAGAGCCATTTAGACAATGGAGAAAGGTTTTGAAGATCGGAGAATGCCTTCCTTGAGCTGAGAGATTTATATCCTCCTTCTGTGGTACCCACAGAAGGCTGGACAGACCCGTAAGCTGTGGAGATGGCCAGAATGAGGCTCAGCCTTGATGAAGGGCGGCTGACAGAGTAGCCTCGGTAGTCAAGATTGCCAGTGAGGAAACCCTACTTCCCCTGCCAGCCCCCTAGTCTTGTCATCAAATTTCTAAACAGGATAGAGCTCTATGTGCTCCAAAGCAAAGGAAAGGGCGAAGGAAATGCCACCAAAGCCCAGTTGCTTCGGCTTGCAAAAGGAACTGTCCTGAGAAATGACTCATGAGGTAGGAGAGAAAGGGCTGGTCAAAGGTTGCCTTGTGAACTGGAAAAGCTGCTGAGAGAAAAAATCTGGAGAGGGAAAAGTTTTGAGAATACTGACTGGTAATTATCTGATGCCTATCTAAGCATCTACATGGTGCAAAAACATTTTTATACACATCACCTCATTTAACCTCCAGAATTCTATTCTTTGGGTTTGAACTCAGGGCCTGGGCACTGTCCCTGAGTTGTTTTGGTCAAGACTAGCACTCTACCACTTTGAGCCACAGTGCCACTTCTGGTTTTCTCATGGTTAATTGGAGACAAGAATCTCATAAACTTTTCTGCCTGGGCTGGTTTTGAACTGCGATCCTCAGATCTCAGCCTCCTGTATAGCTAGGATTACAGGCGTGAGCCACCAGAGCCCAGGTAACCTCCAGAATTCTATAGGGCAGGCATTGGAAGTTTATGTTCTCACTTCACAAATGAGGAAATTGAGGCTTGCAAAGGTAACGTGATTTAGCTAAACTGAGATTCTACAAACAGCTGATCCTGCGCAAGCTGATGGACCATGCGACTGTCCCCAGTCACTTCATCTTCGCTCACCTCCACTGTCTTGGTTAACAAAGAGGCAGTCATTTCGACTCAGCTCTTAGCCCAAGTAGGGCCTCTGGGAAGGAAGATCAGGGCTACTGGGTGGAGTTCCAGCATCAGAGCTCCTCTTGATTGGCTCCTGACCCTGACAGTATTTTCTGTCTGCCAAAGGGCCCTTCCGGAAGGCTGAGCTCCAGGGCTGACTTTCCTGGGACAGCAATTCCCACCGGTGGCCCCCCTTTCCCTGGGGAGGACATGGTTTGAGGGAGAAGCCACCCGGCCACACCAGTCCCAACCATACAGGCTATTCCTTACTTTTTCCGTGACAGCGCGGGCACACTCGATCAGCTCCCTCTTGGTGTAGCTGTCGGTGGGGCATACCTGGAGGGCCCCCGCCTTCTGCACCAGGAAGATACAGCCGTGGCCCAGGTCTTGTACACGCGTGCGAATCTGGAAGCCAATCTGTAGAGGCAAGCCCAGGAGAGGAAGGGAGTGTGACGGGACCCTTGCCACCCAAGCCTAGCCTAGGTGGAAAATTTCTCCTGCATCCTACAGGGAGCCTGGCTAGGAAAATTCCACTACTGTTAGGAGTCTGTGTCTGGTGGAGTATGGAATTTGGTCGCTTTAGCTTCCCTTTTTAGAGGCTAAACAGGCTTGCAGTTCATGGGGCATAATGCTTTCCTGATTCCAGTTACCTTTCCTGGCTTAGTCTGTAGCCCAAGCTTTGGGATAGGAATGTGAATGAGCACAGTTCTGTGGGAGAGTTCTGTTAGTCATTCAACAAGCAGTTACTGAGCTCCTCCAAGAGTGTCAAGGGCTCTTGCATGCATTTTGTTTTATTTTATTCCTCACAACAGCCCTGCAGGGCAACCTGAAGTTCAAAAGATAGCTTTGGATAAAGCATATTTAAAAGGGTTTGGTTCCCCCCCACCCCTCCCCTGAACTGGTATGTTTGCCAACCAGAACACCCTTTCCGCAGCTGTGTCAGGTGGAGAGAGTAACTGTCTGTAAGGCCAGGTTTGAGATCTCTATAAAAATGGTACATTGGGGGCTGGAAGCATGGCTCAGTAGAAAAGCGCCTGCCTTGCAGGTGTGAGACTCTCCGTTTTGTTAAGAGGAAACTAGTCTTGAATTGCAAAGCTGCCAGAAGGTTTTTAACTTTTTTTTTTTTTCCTGGAGAAGTTTTCACGGTGGTGTTAACCAAGGCTTGAATTTTCCGTGGAAAAATAAGCAGCGCAAGCTCCTGCTTGACATTCCAGGGCAGAGCTCTAACTTTTCTCCACGATTGTGGAAAAGACCAAATTGCTGACTTGGCACAGCAGTGTTTGCAGGGCTGACTCTACTAGCTCACCCTGGAATATAAATACTTTCACATGCTGGGATGTGGGGCCCCATTGGGTAGACAAATAATTCCATAATCTTGGAATAAAAAGAAAGAAAGAAAAAGCCTACGCTGCTTTAGGGACCTCTTAACCCTCTCAGTTTTCCCTCTAAAAATCCGTTTGGCAGATATATAAAAGAATTTTTCTTCCTAAGCCACTCGTAATTTTATATTCTCCCTACCCCTTCTTGCTCCAGGTCACACTCTTCTTGTGTGTGGAAAGTAAAACATATCTCAAGACATAACAAGAAAAGGGAAAAGCCTAATGAAATCACCCACAACTATAATGCAAGGCCAATAGCCAAAGAAGCTGTCACTTTTAGCAATGCATTTTCTTCCTTGGCTGGTTACAAGAGTTTATAGTTTGCATTGCATCAGGAAAGTCTGTCCCTGTTCCACACCGAGTGGGCAGCAACTCTGAGTAGAAAGGGCCTACTGAAAACCAAGACAGACAAGGGTGAGCTCTACTTTCAAAGGTTTCTGTGGGCAGCGAGGGCTCCAGACAGCCTTTGCCATCAGTCTGTTTGTAAAGCCCTCTTCAAAGCACTTTTCTGCTTTGTCCCACCAAACTTTTCCTTACTGTAACGTAGGCTCCCTTGGACTTGTTTATGAAATCCAAAATTGCATGCCAATCAGATGAATTAGATGTCTACATAAATGAAGTGTCTAGAATTACAGTCTAGTCTTATTAAAACAGGGAGGTCTTAAAAAGAAGAGAAAGATGGGCCTGTGGAAAAGGATCATCTCTGCCAGCGGTTTCCCCCTCCCTCTTGATAGTGACTTAACAAACTAATTATAACAAACAGAACTATTCACGCTGCCCTGTGAGGAACTTGCGGAATCTCATGCTAGATATATGTATGCAAGTACATACATATGATACTTCTATTCACATGCACAGTTAGGCCACATGTTAGAAAGTGCCTTGGGTCTTCATTGCTGCAGTATCTCTGGGAGTTTTGGTTAACACACAAGCAGGATCACTAAAGTTACTCAGGGATGGTGGCAGGCAGCCATTGCAAGGAGAAGAGCAGCCAAGTTACAGCCTTCTGCCTTGACAGTCCTTTCCTGTCTCCAACTGCGTTTGGGTTCAGTATACAGCTTGCAATAACCGGGCATAGTGGTATGCACCTGTCAACCTAGTGTAAAGAAGAGGATTGTGGTCCAGGTCAGCTTGGGCAAAAAGTGAGGCAGAATATAAAAAGAAATAATCAGAACAAACAACAGCCAGAAAAGTTGTACTGAGGGGCATGGCTCAAGTAATTCCCCTGTCTAGCCTGTGAATTTAAACCTCAGTTACTACAGGTGGGTAAAAACATAAAAACAGCATGTAGAAATCCCCTCTTACAGCTACCTGTCTTACTAGTATAGATATCACCCACTCTTGTCATTCTGTACTTGACTTTTTTTTTTTTTTTGGTCGCTTGTGGGGTTTAAACTCAGGGCCTGGGTGCTGATCCTGAGCTCTTTAGCTCAAGGCTAGAGCTCTACCACTTTGAGCCACGGCTCTACTTCCAGTTTTCTGGTGGTTAATCAGAGAGAAGAGTTTAGATGGACTTTCCTGCCTGGGCTGGCTTTGAACTGTGATCCTCAGATCTTAGCTTCCTGAGTAGCTAGGATTACAGGCGTGAGCCACTGGCACCTGGCTCAGATTGAGCTTTTTCAAAAAATTGTTTTTTCCTCTAAGGAACCACATAGTTTCTCAGGGCCTATGCCCCTTCTGGATCTCCATACCAGATGACACAGGTGACATCAGGCCCCTAGAAGTGTCTCTTGCTGTATCTTCCCAGGGGACTGCTCTATTTCTCAGAGCTATGGGACAAACTAGCTCTGAGAAAGTGGCCCTGGAGCCAGACATTTTTCCAGGTGAACACTTGATGGGTGCAGACTTGCTGAAGCCCTATCGTTTCTGGCCCTTATGGAAAGCTAGGGGGAGGCTTGTGGGTACTGAAGAGTCTACCAGAAGTATCAAGGTAGGCAGGATCTGAGCTATTTCCCAGAAAGCCATCATGAATCCCTAGGTCAGGCTTTGTATCATGAAAGCAGATTCCTCTCAAGAAAGGGGCAGTGAGACCCCTACTCTGGGGAGCCTTAGAAAAACATAAACATGACTTAGGGTGATGTGCTGGGTGGAAATAGAAGGTATAACGGTGGTATGTTGAAGTGTGATGAATTGGTGGATGGGAAGGCCTGTCATTGCAAACACAGCCCTCTGTCTGAAGCTCAGCCCCCAGATTTCTCCCCCTCCCCCAAATAACTCACCCTAAAAGATCTTATGCACAGCCTGAGACTAGCAGTGTGGGCCTGGGGTAAGATCTACACAGCCATGGGAATAAAGGTGCTTGGGTTGGGGTCTTTTTTGGAATGGATCTAATGCTACAGAGAACCCCACTCCCTACCCTTGGGGGTGGGGATAGGTGCTTCTCTGTTTGCTTCTTAAAATAGGGGCATTAAGGTGGCAGACCTCCTCTGGTTCGGCCGTGGCTGCTGCCATCTGGCCCTGGAGAGCCAGGTGGCCATAGTCATTGGTCATTTGTGAAGCCAGTCCTCCCAGCTCCTCCGGGTTAGTAACCGACTTAGTCATCTGGAAAAAGAAAACAAGCAAGACACACACACACACACACACACACACACACACACACACACACACACACACACACACACACACGAAGAAAAGCATGAGAACTGTGTGTTAATACCACTGGAAGCCAAAGGGTAACATTCACTTCTAAGCCCCAATGGGTGAAGGCCATGATTTACATTCAGGGCTGGACACTAGGGAGGGAGGGAATTGAAGCAGAGCTTCATGCTGGATGGCACACAATAGGCCAGAGCTGTGCATGCCCAGAAGAATCCCCAAGGCCAGTAGCTGCTGTTCAGGCCAGATGGGCACATGCTTAGCATTCAGGTAAGGTGGTGCAGGTGCAGCGTGGAGCTGGGCCCTTGGGGTCCATTCTGAAGTTGCCCTATGTGGTCATTGAGGAATTCCCAGAGAAACCACCAGAAGGCACTATCTCTGGATACAGCACAACCCTGGGCCAGGCATCAAACAGGGCAAGAGTAGATATGAGGACAGGGCTGGTACACCATTTGGGAGGAAGGAATTCAGAATATGCAGCTCGCTTGCAAATGTGTGCCACAGCCTGTGGCACAAATTGGTTTCAGCCAATAATAATAATAACAACAACAACAACAACAATAATAATAAAGATGTATATTTTTGTCAGTTGTGGGGCTTGAACTCAAGGCCTGGGCACTGTCCCTGAGCTTTTTTCTCAAGGCTAGCACTCTACCACTTTGAACCACAGCTCCACTTCCAGTTGTCTGGTGGTTAACTAGAGACAAGAGTCTTAAGGACTTTGCTGCCCGGGCTGGTTTTGGACCGTGATCTTCAGATCTCAGCCTCCTGAGTAGCTAGGATGACAGGCCTCAGCCAGTGGTGCCTGGCTTGGCCATAAATTTTGTTGAGTGTGTCACAATGGCCAAGTTCCCAGCTTTGTAGAATGAAGGCATTCTAGATTCCCTGGGACCCCCAAGGCATAGAAAAAATGGGTCTCAGTTAGTTTTACCTAGTTAACATGCTACTTCCTAGTTTTTCCTTTTTCCTCTGGCAAAATGTCATTTTATTGTCAGTTGCAGCTTGTTACCCAGAAATGTCTTCTTGTCTCTCTTTCAGAGATTGTTGCTTCTGGCCTTGCTTCTATCCTCTATTGGGATAATAAAAAAAACTTTTCTCTTTGTTGTTTTTTTAAGACTTTGATATGAAAGGACTTTTGAAAAGCCCCCTTAAGTGGCTAAATGACCCTTAAGGAAGGACAGGAATATCCCTCCCATTAAAAACATCTTTGAAAGGAAATGACATAGGCTTTGGGCCCAAGTGTAGGTTCTGGGGAGCACATACTGAACCCCAAGAGAGATAATGCTATGAGATGCTCTGCTTATTCCCTGTCAACAGGAACATAAAGTCTCTGAGGAGACCCCATGTGGTAAAGTGGACCTTCCTCTAACTCTAGGCTCCAGGCCAGCTACATCAGGAGCCATGCAGTCCAACGCTGGGCTCCTTAGGGTCAGAACAACAAAGGTCAAGACAGGTCACCTGGCCCAGAAGATACTCTGGAAATGCCACAGGGACATTCAAAATGTCTTCTTCCCTTGCTGTTCTAGATAGGAATGCTATAAGACAAGACCTTGATCTGTCTCCTCTATGCCTCAAAGGACAGTGTGGGTTCAAATCCAGCTTGCCACAATCTATAGAGATTGGAACTACTGTGCTAGGTTCCATTAAATAGGCCTTGCATGAATAGGCTAAACAGCCAAGGAAGCTTAGCTTTGTGGTCCAAGCTCTACCTCTAGTGGACACAGGATTAAATGACAGCCAATCAGAGCCTGGGACCTCACCAAGGGATATGAGCCATGAAGTGGCTTAGTGGGTCTCTTCACCTTGGAAGGCCACTTGATTTCTCACACTTATGTGGCTGTATCTTCCAGAATCCTATCCTGTAGCACCCGAGCCTTCAAAAATTGAGAGGAACGTTCTTGCCATACCCCCTATAAACGCTCCAAGACACCATTTGTCATCCTTTGTATATCTTTTTAAACATCAAGCTAGCATTGAGTCTCGCAATACCGACCCTGTCTAATGATTTGTATGACAACAGTTTCTGACCATATTGTGTATTAGCAAAAAATGATCAACAACTACCTCAAACCAAAACAAAACTTCCAAAAGTTAAATGCTTCCTGTCAAGGAAAGACCCTTTTTAATGTAACCATTCCATTTCACTTTGTCTGGAAGATTGGTATGTCCAAGTATTATAATTTGAATGTGTCCTATCTGCTCTGATTTACTCCCAAATATCTTCTTTTATGTTGTTGAGACTATGGAAACACCTTTCCATAGATTTCTTTCCTTTCTAGGTGATTAGGGTGTCCTCCTTTCTCCTTAACTGTCCTCCTCATTTTTTTTTTTAAGTAAGTCATGGGTCCTGAACTCTAGGCCTGGGCACTGTCCTTGAGCTTTTTATTCCCAAGGCTAGTGTCCTACCACTCAAGCCATAGCTTCACTTGTGGCTTTTTGGTGGTTAATTGGAGATGAGTCTCATGGGCTTTCCTGCCCCGGCTGGCTTTCATGAGCCATCAGTGCTTAGCTTTTTCCTCACATTTGTGCCCTGTCCTCATGCCCAGGTCTCAGTCACCTTTAATTTCTTCTTGTGACTTTTTTCCATGAGACAAGAACTCTAGCAGCCTGGGGCTGAGACCACAGGTACCCAGAAAGAGAGGGTAAGAGCTGATTCCCAGGAGGGAACTAGGAACTTGGACCCCACCTTTGAGGACCCAGAGGTGGGGATGGAGAGAATAGTTCTTGCTTCTTACCATTTCCTGAGCTGTGACGGCAATGGCTTTGGAGTACTTAACCACAGTCGTCTGGTAGTCCACAAACGTTCCCTTTGGTTCCGGAGGAGTGCCTTCACCCAGCTACAGAGGAGAGGAAAAGATCTCAGAAATCAATCAAGAACAGGGTGAAGTCTGGATGAAATTTAGAATTAGAAACTTTGAAAAATGGAGAGGAACCTTAAGAGAGGAAGGTTAAGGAGCCCACACACAACCAAATTGCCCAATGTCTGCAACCAGGACTGCACGTAAGACCGTCAGGGGACACAGGCAAGGAGGGACTCAGCTTTGTCTAGGAGGACTGGAGGCATTCTTTGGGAATGATGTATCTCTTCATTTCAGCTGATGTGGCCAGGTCAGGAGGCATCTGTCCTCCTAAAGGATGGGGAAAGGCTGGGGGTGGGTGGCTCAAGCCTGTAATGTTAGCTACTCAGGAGGCTGAGATCTGAGGATCATGGTTCAAAGCCAGCCTAGACAGAACGTCTGTGAGACTCTTATCTCCAATTAACCACCGGAAAGCCAAAAGTAGTGCTGTGGCTCAAAGTGGTACAACACTAGCTTTGAGCAAAAAGGTCTTGGGGATAGCACCCAGACCCCAAGTTCAAGCCCCAGTACTGATAAAAAAACAAAAAAGGTGAGGGAAGTATCCAAAGAAAAGAGAGAGACACCCGAGCACACGGAGGTGTGCGTGAGCCTGTTACTTCCTTAGTATTGTACAGACAGCTGTGCCCAGGGACCTAAAGTGAGGACCCCAAATCCACAGTGGAAGTTCTAAGGATAGTTTGTTGCTTGCCTCACTCTAGGTACAATAGGGATCAAGAGAAAACCAAGCTCAGCACACACAAGAGTTGGGAGCAAGCAGGACTGTCTGTATCCATTGCATAGTTGGGGATATGTTGCTCAGAAGACCTATTATTATTATTATTATTATTTTGGTCCAGTCGTGGGGCCTGAACTCTGGGCCTGGGCACTGTCCCTCAGCTCTTCAGCTCAAGGCTAGCGCTCTACCCCTTGAGCCACAGCGCCACTTCCGGCTTTTTGCTTATGTGGTGCTGAGGAATCGAACCCAGGGCCTCAGGCATGCAAGGCAAGCGCTCTACCACTGAGCCACCTTCCCAGCCCCAAGACCTATTATTTGAAACCTGGGCTCCAAGGGTTATGAATGGTCCTCAGGCTGGTTCATTTCACTGAGTCTCAACTTCTTCACTAGCATCACCTGGTTGCAGGTAAAAAAAAATCAACTGTAAACGTTGGGTGTGGTGGTTCATACCGGCAATCCCAAGTACTCCAGAGGTGGAGACTGGAGGAACATAGTTTGAGGGTAACAGTTAATAAGTTAATAAAGACCCGTCTATCTCAAAAACAAGCCAGGTGTGATGGTATGCACCCGTGGTTCCAGCTACACAGAAGGCAGAGGAAAGAACAAAAAGTTTGAGGCTGGCTAGGAGAAATTATGAGAAGGGATTTGAAAAATAACTAAAACAGAAGGGATTGGGGGCAGGGTGGGAGGGAGCAGGCATAGCATAAGTGGTAGATTGCCTGCCTAGCAAGTACAAGACCCTGAGTTCAAACCCTAGTACAAACAAAAAAAGGATAAAACGAGAGGAATATATAGGAAGGGAAGGAGGGATGAAACAAGAAGGAAAAGTAATGGAAGGAAGTGGAGGACCAGCTTCTTACTGTCTTGCTGCTTGGGATCCAAAGACTAGTCTTCATCTGTGGACCCCAAAGACAGGCCAAGGAAAGAGAGGATGAGGAGGAGGTATTGTGTGGCTCCTTGGATGTCAGCACAAGATAGGTAATTGTTTATAGGAACAATAATACCCCAGTTGGATTTTACATAATGGAGGGTGAAACAAGAAATCTTTGTGACTTGTGTTGTCAGCAGTTTCTCATTGTTGATATCAAGTATTGTACCAGACTTATTTCTCAGCCCTTTTGGAAGACTCTGGAGGAATGGGCTGGGTGAAGGCTGTCATACCATTGGTAACAGGTGTTTGAGAGCTAATTTTCCTGCCCAGAGTCCTGCATGTTATATAGGGCTCAAAGAGATTTGAGGATCTGACTTCCATTTTCCAAGGTTTTGTGAAACATGCCCCGATCACTATACTGACAATGAAAAACAACTCCCCCCCCGCCAAGATGAAAAAGCTGATTTTTTAAACTTCTAATTTTGTACAAAGAAACCCTGGTGCACTTTCTTTACATTCTGTAGTTGACTATGAAGCTTATTTTTCAAAGCTCTGGTGTCACGTTGTCCTGAAAAAATCCAACAGATTCCTGAGATTCATCCAATGGCCTTAAGAAAGGGGAAAATTCTACTAACTTTCTGTCATGAGAAGCCAAGAAATAAATGGAGACTTTGACAAACTAGAGCCTGAAGTCTCTAAAGGGAGACATGACGATCTAGCCCAGGCCTGTTACTTCACCAGTATAAAAAACTACTGCATAATGTTTAGGGATAATTATTTTAATTATAGACTGTCAGTATTATTCCTCAATGGAAATAGAAATAACCAATCTTCTCTGAATTGGCAATTAAAGAGCACTTATTATCCTGAAAAAAGAATAATCGTATGAATGTATTCTCAATCTATCAGTGGCCATTTCAAAACATACTTTTTGGCTTGCTGTCCCAGGGTGGCAATTGGGTGTTGATGTGTTGGTTTTAATGAATCTCAAACTGAGAAGGACTGATATTCAAAATGAGTGAAGGGTTCCTGGGAAAAAGATCAGATTAGGGGTTGAACCTGTTGCTCATTTTATGTCCCTGCTGAACCATGTCAGTGGATGGGTTGTTAAATGATAAAGTAATATTCATACTATCTATTGCCTCTGAGAGTTTACAAAAGGTAGGTCAGAACCAAAGGGAGCTTTTTGAAAGTAGCAATAGATTCCCAGGTACCATTCATGGAGACCTCAACTGAGCAAATCAAAGATGAAGTCCAGGAACCTGCATTCTAAATCCCATAAAGTAGACAGAGGTCAACAATCAATGATCATTTCCATTTTACAAAGGAAGAAACCAATGGTATCTTCACCATATCCACTCCTAATCACAGGTAAATTGGAAGGAAGGTGGGACATCTGGCTTACACAAGTCATACACACTGAAGAATGGATACAATGGACACAGGCCTGGACATATGCATATGAAGTAAAGCCCTTGGGAAGAGAAGACAGTTGCCTCACCCCTGAATGCCAGTTAGCTACAGCCTAGGGGACTGTGAGGCAGATGGAGACAAGGAGTAAAGAAGAGGCTGGACAATCTTACTCCTGGGCATTTACCTAAATGGCCACAAACAAAGCTACACTAAAGCTACCAGCACAAGCATGTTCATTGCAGCATTATTTACCATAGCTAAGATATAGAACCAACCCAGTTGCCCCTCAGAAGATGAATGGATCAAGAAGACGTGGTATATATACACAATGGAATCCTATGCTTGCATCAGAAAGAATGACATAGCTCCATTCATAAGGAAAAAAATCATATTAAAATCATTAAATGAAGTAAGCCAGATGAAACAAGACATAGGCTCCATGGTTTCCCTCATTTATGATAATTAGTATATGTCTAGGATAGTCCTAGCAGAGAATCACAATAGCTCGGTAGCTATGTACATAGAACCAGATAAAATGATGTTAATTAAAATGAACTCCTAGATATGGAAACAAGGTTATTTATTTTTTGCTTTGTCTTCTCTTTGTTTTTGTTTTTAATGTACTGTGTGAACTTATTGTTCCTTTTTTTCCTTCATTTTTTTCTTTTTTCTTTTGGTTTATCCCCTGTTATCATTGTTTTTGATTTTAGTATCCTGTGTCTTATATATATGTTTATCTGATCTGGGCAAGGGAAGGGGAATAACAAAATGATAAGAAAAAGGACAGAGGGTGTACCAATGCAGGAGCGATACTCAGAATGAAGTTTACAACTTTGGGAGGAGGGAAGCCAAGTCAAGAGGGAAGGAAAGTGGGAGAAAAAGACAGAAGGGGTAATAATGTTCGACAAGAAATATACTCATTGGGCTAGGAGTGTGGCTTAGTGGTAGAGTGCCTGCCTAGCAGGCATGAAGCCCTCGGTTCGAGTCCTCAGTAACACATAAACAGAAAAAGCTGGAAGTGGCGCTGTGGCTCAAGTGGTACAGTGCTCATCTTGAGCAAAAGAAGCTCAGGGACAGTGCTTAGGTTCTGAGTTCAAGCCCCGGGACTAACAAGAGAAAAAGAAAAAGAAAATGTACTCATTACCTTACTTATATAGCTGTAATCCCTCTCTAGATCACCCTTATAATTTTTTTTAAATGACCACGTTAGAAAAAACAAAAAGAATACGCCAGACCCTTCCTTACCTTGCTCATGGCCTCTGCAATAGCGTCCACCATGCCTCCCACCAGACCCACTTCACTGGCTGCTTCATTCAGTGTCACCATAATGTCGTCTACAGCTTCCTTCATCAACTGGGCGGCCTCTGTAATGGCATCATGGGTGTGTTGTGCCTGGAAAGGGAATTGAGAAACATTTCCTTCAGCAGAAGAAAATGGTGCTTTGTATTAAGAATCTCTTTAGGGTTGGGAATGTGGCTTAGTGGCAGAATGCTTGCCTAGCATGCATGAAGCCCCAGGTTCCATTCCTCAATACCCTATAAACAGTAAAAGCCAGAAGTGGTGGTGGGGCTCAATTGATTGAGTGCTAGCCTTGAGTAAAAGAAGCTCAGAGACAGTGCCAAGCCCCTGAGTTCAAGCCCCAGGACTGGCAAAATTAAAATAAAAAAAAATCTCTTTGGTTCCCTTAGGAATAACCATGAACAACAACAACAAAACAAACTGGGACCTGGTGGCTTATGCCTATAATCTTAGTTATTCAGGAGGTAGGCTGAGACATTCAGGGTAGCTGCAAGGTCTTCCCATCTGACTATCCTCTTCGTCTGCACATTCAAGATCTGTCAGACTGCTTACTATTTCTGAAGCTATCACAATCTTTTCATAATCCTGCCCATGCCATTGTAGATATGCTTGCCATTTCCCAAGTTAAAGTGAAGGATGCTACATGGTCATCCAGGACATAACAGTGTCATGAGTGACTGCCTAAAAGCTGAGTGAAACAACAGCATGAAGAAAAGCAAGAAGTTTTGATTTGGCAAGGGAGAATTTCATGTTACATTACTGTCTTCAGGGCTAACAATATGGCTCAGTGGTAGAGCACTTGCCTAGCATGATATCGGCCCTACAGCTTTGGTGCCTTGCACCACAAAGAAAAATCAGTCAACCAATCAAATCAATCTTTTTTTTTTTTTTGGTCATAGGTTTTGAACTCAAGGGTTGGGAAGGTGGCTCAGTGGTAGAGTGCTTACCTTTCATACATGAGGCCCTGGGTTTGATTCTTCAGCATCACATAAGCAGAAAAAGCTAGAAATGGTGCTGTGGCTCAAGTGGTAGAGTACTAGCCTTGAGCTGAAGAGCTGAGGGACAGCGCCCAGACCCAGAGTTCAGGCCCACAACAGACAAAAACAAAAAACAAACCCCCCCAAAAACCCCACAGGTTTTGAACTCAGGGTCTGGGCACTGTCTTTGAATGTTTTTGCTCAAGGGTAGCACTCTACCACCTGAGCAACAGTTCTACTTCCAGTTTTCTAGTGGTTAATTGGAGATAAGAGTCTCACGGTCTTTCCTGCCTGGAATGGCTTTCAACTTTGCATCTCAGATCTCAGCTAGGATTACAAGCATGAGCCACTGGGGCCCGGCTCAAATCAATCTTTTAAGTTCAAGAAACAAAAATGGTATTTGCCAGACCATAGCTGAGCCTACCTTTGTGCAAGCTAGATAGTCAAAATGGAGCAGTCACTCAGTAAGTTTTATTCCTGCAATTGTGACACCATACAGTTTCCTTCCAAGAATGCTTGTCTGCATATTCCACCAAGGGAAAAATAACATCCTGATACCTCAAACATATATATTTACTGGTTTCCCTGGGAAGGCCAATAGAAGATTACTTTCCATTTTAGACTAGGAAATCAAATATCACTAAGAGATAAATTAGAGTTACTATTTTTTTTCCCAAATGGATACTGTATGGGAGGAACCTAGTGTTCTACCTGATCACTTACATCCTGACCCCTACCTTGGGATTTCCTCCACCTTCTTTAGCTGCGTAGAGCATCTGCAGGGCTGACTCTGCCAGTGTCTTGGTCTGGTCCAGCACTGTCATTTGTTGCTGATGGTCCAGAATCTTGGAGGCAACACCAACTGCAGCTAAGATCAAGGGCTCAAAGTAGCTTGCCAGCTGTGTTACCTTTCAAGAAGGAAAAGCCATAGATGCATCATGTAAACACAAGGTCTCTGCCAGAGGAAGCCCTTGTTAAGGAGGGAGTTGGAAGCAGTGAGTGGTTGGCCTGGGCACTGTCCCAGAGGTTCTTTTGCTCAAGGCTAGCGCTCTACCACATGAGCCACAGTGCCACTTCTAGCTTTTTCTGTTTATGTGGTACTGAGGAATCAAACCCAGGGCCTCATGCATGCTAGGCAAGCATTCTACCACTAAACCACATTCTCAATAACATATGGTGTGCAATAACGGCCATACAGTTAACACTCAATAAATGCTAGATGTTGCTATTCCTTGTATTGCTGATCTTGCTCACTTTCCTTATACTGTATTAAGGGGCTCAAACATATATTCTGTCCTCGAGAGACATGACAACACTTGAAATAACCTTCTAAAGTTGGCAGCTAAGTGAAAGTAGCACAGCATTTTGAGTATTTGGCACATGAGGTACACACATATAGATCAACTATATCAAAAGGTGCCTATATCCAGATCCCTGGAGCCTGTGAATGTGACATTACTTATAAAACAGGTCTTCAGAGATTTTTCTCTGAAAAAAGAAAAAGAAACAGGAGACAAGGTGAGCATGGAGGTAGGGGCTTGAAGTGACATCCAAGCATATGTTCAAAGTCACCAGAAGCCAGAAAAGGCTTCTGTGCATCTTTGGAATCTGGCCCTGCACATGTCTTTATTCTAGATTTCTGGATCCTAGAATAATGAGAGAATAAACTTGTATTGTTCAAAACTATTTGTTTGTAATACATTGATAGCATCCACAGAAAACATGCCCAGGGAGGGGCTGAGAGCGTGGATTTCCCCTCTCTGCCAGAGAGAAGCTGGTATGGGTCCTGCCTGAGCAACTAACTACCACATGGTGGTGGAAACAATGTTGGAAATTGGTGTTCAATCCATGGTTGGGTGGCCACAGGCTGCCTTTGTCCTGAACATGCTCTTAGAAAGCAAGAGACTGGCCAGGCACTTGTGGCTCACACCTGTAATCTTAGCTACTCAGGAGGCTGAGAGCTGAGGATCACAATTCAAAGCCAGCTTAGGCAGGAATGTCCATGAGACTCTTATCTCCAATTAACCACCAGAAAACCAGAAGTGGTGATGTGACTCAAGTGGTAGAGCACTTGCCTTGAGCTGAAGAACAGCTCCCAGGCCCAGAGTTCAAGTCCCATGATCAACAACAACAATGACAAAGATGGCTCAGTGGTAGAGTGCTTGCCTTGCATGCAGGAGGCCCTGGGTTCAATTCCTCAGCACCACGTCAGCAGAAAAAGTTGGAAGTAGCACTGTGACTCAAGTGGTAGAGTGCTAGCCTTGAGCTGAAGTGCTGAGGGACAGTGTCTAAGCCCAGAGTCCAGGCCCACAACTGACAAAAATAAAGAAGGAAAGAAAGGAAGAAAGAAAGAAAGAAACTGATTTTTCGCAAAGAACCAAAAGTAAATCTGTAAGTTGATGCCACTCTCCAACATAGGAATTAATTTTCTGTACTAATATATGAATAATATATGCCTATAGAATACATTATATACAAACACAACATTGCATCTGATTCACATATGCATGTTTGCAGAAAGTAGATAATGGCTCTCTATACAGGGCCCAAAGTAAGTGCTGGAATAACATCAGACTGCTGTATCAAATTCAGTTTTCCCATGATGGGCACAAAGGCGGTGCCCCCAGCCTCTAGGACAATCCTTCTTTTTCTCCATGCAGGTAAACAAGCAGCCTTTTCCTAATTACAATTTCTCAGTGGAGAAATGCAGTTTGCCACCCTTCAAAAGGCAGAGAGAGAGAAATGCTGACCATTTTCAATCTCAAAAACCCCTCTTTGGAACTAGTGGGAAGTTTATTAGGCCCTTAAACTGTACCGTCATTTGAAAAAAGCCCAGAATATTGGTTTCTTAAGAGCAAATACCCGTGGAGCAGATTTTTGGCTCCTGTTTTTCTTGATATGCACATGGATACTGATAGCTGCACTGATAAATGCTAGGAGGCCCCAGATGCTGCTAAAAATCCCATTTCTGACCTCTCCCTGCTGAAGCACAGGCTGCACAACAAACCGGCTCTTTACAAAGGCTTTGCAAAGTGCACTCCAAACAGGCAAAGCATTGTTTGCCACTTGAAACTGTGGGAAGGAGCTAGGCACTGGTGATCCTAGCTACTCAAGAGGCTAAGATATGAGGATCTCGGTTCAAAGTCAGCCCAGGTAGGAAAGTCCATGAGACTCTTAACCTCCCAATGAATCACCAAAAAGCCAGAAGTGGCACTGTGGCTCAAGTAGTAGAGTGTTAACCTTGAGCAAAAGAAGCTGAGGGACAGTACCCAGGCTCTAGGACTGGCACAAAACCAAACCAAACCAACAAAAAGATGGGCAGGAACTCAGCTGAATGATTCCGTTACAGTGGCTATGTAAGAAAGTTCTGGAAAGTGTTCCAAGCATTGTTTTGCCTCATCACATACAAGAACAGAGGGCATTGGCCACTAGGAAAAGACACTGTATCCTCAAACATGCCAAAATGGATCCAATCAGTCAGGATGACATATATTAAGCTTTAGGGTGGGTGTATCAACTTTAGTCCTCTGGCTTATTTCAAGGCAAGGTACATAAGAGCAACAGGTGATGGGAAATGCTGCAGGCTTTGAGAATAATGACAGAATCAATCATCATCTCTCTCTCTCTGTCACCTTCCCCTTCCCTCCCCCACCAAGTCCCCTGGTGCACATTACCTTATGTCCCAGCTGGGCTGCTTCTCCCCGAGCTGCTGTGGCAATGGGATCGATAAGGTGCCCGATTTCCTGGACTACAGAAGTTAGCTGCTCCTGCAGGGCCTGATAAGGAAAGAATTGTCAAGTACATCTGACAACACTTCCTTTACAGTGCTGTACCAACTGAAAAAGGCCTCCATGAAAGACAAGGGAGGCCATACAGAGTGGACATCAACATCACCCTTGCTTCCCTGCCCTACCCCATGGTGATCCTAGGCAAATCCTGCCCCCCTCCCCCTTCCATCATTCCTCCCATGAGAGATGAAGCAATCGAGAGAAACGTATGTCCTACAGGCTCCTGACTCCTGCAGCCCTGACAAGCGATGTTAGTGATACTTTTAGGTTATCCAGCAGAATTACTGAAAATGTGAAATAGCTGTGGCTTTTCTAAGAAGATGAGAAAGCTTTGTCCAAATGGAGGCAGCTAATTGGGGTCTGAGGGAACGTGCAGGTCACAGTGTTCTCAGAATGTAAGAAGGGAGAGGAGGGTGATGTGAAAATGAGATCAGCTATGAAAACAGGATGATGTTCTGTGCAAATGCCAGGTGGGAAGCGGACTGAGTGGGTGGGATCTCAGTTCACGGTCCTTGGTGATGGGCAGGCAGATATTGAAAAAAATGGTACCTTGGGGCCTTTCTTCTCAAGTTTGAGATGGTTTAGTGTTGCTACCCTGCACGACTGAGCTCAACCAAGGAAGGGAAACCTTTTATTCCCACCCCCACCCCATCATTTGTATTATTTGTTAACAACACTCATGGGCCTATAAAATGATCACTACAGACAGACAGCCATATAAGAAGCATGTAAGTCTGGCCCAATAGGTAGCAGACAATGTCAAGGCCCTTCCTTATATAACCCATGGGTTGGATGTTTCCCAGCCCTGCAAAGAAATAGGGCAAAATAGTCAGACCATGTTGGGAGCTTAAGAGCATGACAAAAACAAGGCTGGAGATCATTAACCAGTAGCAATTAACTAGATCCAATCTCTTCACAGGAACGGTTGGAAGATGACCACTGATGAGACCTCAAGATCTGTTGATCCTGAACACTGGTGGACCTTTCAGTCATGCACACGCCAGCATGGAAGTAGGTAATTACTCACAGAGGAACAATGTCCTGTCTCTGTCATTCTCCTAAGGGACAAAGGTGTACCTGAGCTGGAGGGATTCAAGGATAGGTCACTCCAAGAAACAGGGTAGCCTCACACACAAGCTTGAAAATAAAAGAGAGCTAGGGACTGGGATGGATAGAGAGAAACCTCCCCCAACTCCAAAGGTCTAATTTAGCTAATTACTTATTATCTTCACACTTACAATGTGATTATAGTCAAGAATGTCAGAATATTCCTGCAATTCAAAAAAATAATATTCAGTAAAATAATAACAGAAGACGGCCTGGTGGTTCAGGCCTGTAATCCTAGCTATTCAGGAAGCTGGCATCTGAGGACTCAATTCAAAGCCATCCTGGGCAAGAAAGTCCATGAGACTTTTATCTCCAACTAAAAAACCAGAAGTGGAGCAGTAGCTTAAAGTAGTAAAGTGCTAACCTTGAGCGAAAAAGTTCAGGGACAGTACCCAGGCCATGAGTTCAAGCCCCACAGCCAACAACAACAACAATAACAACAACAACAACATCAACAACCCCCCCTCCCCCACAAAAATGTCTCCAATCTCAAGAAAGAGAATCTTACCCATCTGACTGAGCCAAACAGAACCCAGGGAAGAAACACTCCTAGATACATTGTTATGAAAAATATGAGTTAATTTGAAAGGCAGAAAAATCAAAGAGGGAATTTTATTACAATGGAAGGAAGAACAGAATAACTGCAGATTTCACAACACAAACTCTAAACACAAGGAGAGGGAGAGAGATAATTCAAGCTATGAATGACAACTTTCAACCTAAAGTAGTATACCCAGTGAAGCTATCATTCACAATTGATGGAGAAACTAAAACTGTCTACCAAAAACACAAAGTAATAATTGTAGGATTCTACACAGAGTGAGAATGCTTAGTTCTATTTTTTCCTCTTTCTGGATGTGTGTGTGTGTGTGTGTGTGTGTGTGTGTGTGTGTGTGTGTGTACATGTGTGTATGTGTGTTTAGCTGTAAGGAAACAGAAGTGAATGATGCCAAAGCCCACTACTTGAGAAAGGAGACAAAGCTTAGTGCTGAGTTCAGTGACAGTAAGGTAAATGTCAAGTACCTCTTGGAGGGGAGGCATTGTGTTCTCAATGGAAAAAGAAGCAGGGGTCTTTGCATGAGTAAAAAGAAACAACTCAAATGGAATTTCTATTCTAAACTTTGGAAAAACCATCAAGAAAGGATAAAGTGTCTTTAATAATGGAAGAAAAAGGTCTCTATACCTTAAATACTGGATATGATCAAATTCTTTATTTTATTTATTTATTTCTGTGGGGCTTGAACTCTGGGCTTAGGAGCTGTCCCTCAGCTCTTCAGCTCAAGGCTAGCGCTCTACCACTTAAACCACAGCACCACTTCTGGGTTTCTGGTGGTTAATTGGAGATCAGAGTCTCATGGCTTCTCCTGCTGAGGTTGGCTTTGGACCACGATCTTCAGATCTCAGCCACCTGAGTAGCTAGGATTATAGGCGTGAGCCACCAGCATCCGGCGTCAAATTCTTTATTTTTGAATGGACCAAATACATTATGGTTTCTTGTAAAAATTTCCCACTGAGCAAAAAGTACATTGATAGAACATGACCATAAAAAACAGTCACAACTGACATGCGTAGGCCTGTTCTACTGATATGTTCACCTGAATCTGGTAATAGACACAATCTGTGTTATAGACACAATTTATTGGGTCTAATGATAATTTCCCCTGAGTCTTAGCCACATTTGAACTTTCTACCTCTAGTAGTAGGTATGTTTCTTCCCCAGCCATCCTTCTCTTCCTTTTTCTCTCCTCTCCTCCTCTTCTCTCCTTTCTCCTCTCCTATTCCTCCTTCTCTTTCTCCTCTCCTCTCTACTTCCCTCCCCTCCCTTCCTCTCCTCTCCCTCCTTCTTCCCTCCTTTTCCTTCCCAGCATTACCATACTCTTAAAAAAAAACTTCCCTTACACAAGGGAGGGCCATCTGACAAAACACTATCACTAAGAACATTTTGGTCCTGCTTTCGTCCCCAAAGCCTGATGCTAAAATTCTTCAGCACCTCCACAGCAATCTGATCTGGCCCCAGAGCCCTCACTTACCTCCACAGAGATGTCATCCCTTGTAGCTAGGCTCTGGCTGACCGCTGCCAGAGAGGCCTGCTCGATGTCCCGGATACACCGGTTGATGCCATCAATGGAGTGGTCACATTCCCTCTGCCCAGGGGCCTTGTCCCTGGAAGGGACAATGCAAATCAAACACAAGGTTTGTGGGGGCTCAAGTCCCATGACCTGCTCCACCACTGGTGGTTCAGCACCCCCCCCTCCTGTTTCTACTTGATCAGCTTAATTGAGGATTATGCCTCAGATATTTGCAATGCCTTCCTGGAGCGGACCATATAGGGCTTCCTCTTCTTTCTTGTCTTCCTAGGATTGAACTCAGCCACTAGAGCTTGCTAAGCAAGCACTCACCACCTGAGCAATGCCTCTGGCCTTTTGTTCTGTGTCAGTCCTTGGGCTTGTGTCTCTGTGTCAAGGCCTGGGTGCTATCCCTGAGCTTTTCTGCTCAAGGCTAGTGCTCTACCACTTGAGCCACAGCTTCACTTTTATCTTTTTGGTGATTAATTGGAGATAAGAGTCTCATGAACATTTCTGCCCAGGGTGGCTTTGCATCATCATCATCTTCGGATCTCAGCCTCTTGACTAGCTAGGATTACAGGTGTGAGCCACCGGTGCCCGGCTGCCTTTTGTTTGTCAGGTAGAGTCACCTACTAACTTTGCCTGGTTTGGTCTTGGACTGTGATACTACTTATGTCTCCTGAGGACTATGGATTACACTATACCTGGCTCACATTTCTTAATTAACACTTGAGATACCTTTACTTTTTCTAGTGGAAATAAATGTTAGGCTGTTTTAGGCTAATGTTAGGGAGCAGGAAAGGAAACTATTTGGACTTGGATACTGTCTTTACTGAGTTAAACATAAGATCCTAAGGTTTTTTTTTTTAATTAGTACTATTTACAGTGCAAACATATGATGCTTTCCATATTGCATACCACTCACAAACTCATGGACTACACCAGGAGTTAAAATATTTGACTCTTTGCAACACATTATGAAAAAGTTATTTGTGTCTGTGAGATTTAAAAACAGCTGGGAAACAAAATTTAAGAATGCAAATGGGTTTCATGCTGTGGGATATTAACTTTCATCAACTTCAGAAATATTGTATGTACTTAGAGGATGTTTTTTCTGGCTGTCACTATTACCAAGTTGATCAGAGATGCCCCCAAGTTCTTGTGGGTCTGTATTATATTATTTTGGTCTGATCAAACTATGAGAACATTTGCTAAATAAGCAGGGGTACTCCTATATTTCTGCCTGAATTATTTTCACCAGTAAAGTAGAATCAATGGGAATAGATACCTTGTAATGATGTAATGCTAAAATAAGACAATATAGGTAAAAAGGCATGGGATAATATCTAGTATGCAGTACTTACTGAAGTTAGCTACTATTGTAACTAGTACTATCAAGGGATCCCACAGACATGAGAAAAAAAAAGACGTTGGTGCCAGATGCTGGTGGTACAAGCCTGTAATCCTAGCTATTCTGGAGGTTGAGATCTGAGTATCATGGTTCAAAGCCAGCTGGGACAGGAAAGTCTATGAGATAACCACTTAAAAACTGGAAGTGGAGCTATGGCTCAAAGAGGTAGAGTGCTAGCCTTGAGTGAAGAAAAGCTCAGAGACAGTGCCTAGGCCTTGAGTTTAAGATTCACCACTGACCTCCCCCCCGCAAAAAAAATAAAAGATGATGGCAATGACATACCTTACTAGTAGGTAAGAAGCTTGGTGAGTTTATTCCCCTTCCTGCTCTATTATTCAGATGCAGGCTGGGAGCAATTTCCAGATGGGAAACTGACCTGATTGATGTGATGAGACTCTTAATGGAGTCAGACACGGTGTGGGAATGTCCAGCCAGCACAGACCAGGTAGGAGGATCTTTGGGGTTGATGGCCAGAGAGCACGCAGTGCGGATGAGGTATGATGAGCTTTCCAGCATGGTCTTGGCAGATACCAAAATTGGTTCTTGTGCCTGAGAGCCCTAAAGTCAAACAACAGACAAATCAAGGCAGGGTACACACACATGAATGAATATGCTGGGCTTAAGAATGTCTGTTTTCTGTCCAGTCACCACTTCTTGCTGTTTGGAAGGAAACCAGCCTAAGAAGGGTCTGGATGGTGGGCACTGGGATTCTTGTTCGTTCTGATAACAGTTTTGGGTATGATAGATCTTATAGACCTGGGCAAAGAGATGGTTCTCAATCTACAGAGCTATTGTTTCTCAAGAGATTGTCAGTGAACTCTATGACAGCATCCACCATCCTAGTTTCCTAGGTGTGGATTGACAAAAAGACCTCTTGGAGTTTTAACTGTTCACACTCACCCAGTGTACTACAAACATCTTAGGCCAGAGAACCAAATATTTCCTTTGTTGTGAAGGCTCTCATACCTCAGAACTGATCTGGGCAGGAATGCTGACAAACTCAGGGTTCGAGGCAAACGCAGTCAGGTTCTCCACGGCTTCGATCAAGGGAGCAGTGGCAATGCGACACTTATTGCGGTTGTCTTCAGAGAAATCCCCATCCAGGGCCTAATGGAGGAAAAACAGGAGGTTATATCCTACTGGGAAGCATGAATCATTCCTAAGCCATACCGATCAGCTCTCTGGCTAACGGGAAAACTACTGAAAATGTTCAGTCAATTCATGAACAACAATAACTGATTGGAGTAGTCTCTGTCATTGGGTAGAAGGGCCCAGTGAACAATCCTGATATAAAAGCTCTAGGTACAGCTCACAGGACATCTGGTTAGCTGTCATGCAACTCCTACTCACAGGAAACAGAATTGAATTTGACTATGCTTGCTTTCTACTTCCTCTGGCTGTGTTGTCACACCTGGCCACCGAGCCACTTTCTCTGCTTGGGAGGCTCTAACTGTTGGGCTCCTCTGTCCATTTCCACTCACACTACATCTATTTCCTCCCAACTGATAAAGATCCATACTTTGCTATTCCTGACTACTCTAAGTTTACCTAGATGTTCCCATATGCTTGATGGAGTTTAGACTGGCGTGACCACCATCTTGAAAGGAACACAATGGAATCTATTGGCCAGAAACACACAAAACTTACCTCAACCAGATAGACACACCTTACAAGCTGTGTGTGTATGTGTATAAAATGAAAGAGGCCACACACATAAGGGTACCTACTATATCATTCCATTTGTACAAAGTATAGGACTGGATGAAACTAGAGTGTTAGAAGTTGGGTCACTCTGAAGCAGTTGGGATGAAAGGATCCCAGGGGACATGGGCTTCTGGGTGCTGATAATGTTCTGTTTGTCAACCTATAGTTACCTAGGGTGTTTAGATTGAGACATTTTGTGGAGCTCTGAGTGGGGTTTTCCTCTATTTTCTGCTTCTTTTTATTAATTAATTAATTAATATTAATTAATTAATTTATCAGTCGTGGGGCTTGAACTCTGGGCCTGGGCGCTATCCCTCAGCTCTTCAGCTTAAGGCGAGCACTCTACCGCTTGAGCCATAGCACCAATTCTGGTTTTCTAGTGGTTTATTGGAGATAAGAGTCTCACGGACTTTCCTGCTTGGGCTGGCTTTGAACCGTGATCCTCATATCTCAGCTTCCTGAGTAGCTAAGATTACAGGCATGAGCCACTGGCGGTCCACTTTATTTTTATTTTATTTTTTTAACTACAAGCAGTAGGCTAGGGAGCTTCACTCACATAGTAGAGAGTTTGCCTGGTAAGCCCAAGACTCTGGCTCAAACAAGCAATAAAAACTAAAGATAAAAAAAAAAAAACCAAACTAGTAGCAGGTATTGGGTAATCATATACTGCTGATGGATGAGAGAATCCATTTACAGTATCTAAGCCTGTGATCTAAGCCTGGCTGCCCCACAAAGGGTTAACAGGAGGAGGTCAAGTTCCCAATCCCAGACTCCACCTCCTCCATAATAAGATTGTTAGAACCAACAGTCTGTGACCCAGAGACAGCATTCAGCAAAGGACTACATGGGCAAGGGCAGTTACGTTTGTAGAAGAATGTAAATTCCCTCATTAAACCACCAATTAAACTTAATCCTTATGAGCAATATATAAAAGCCAACTTAGATAATTAGTGAATGAAAAACCCAGTATCATGCAACACACTGGATCTGAGATGGGAGTATTCTATTTTTCAATAGGGCAAGAGGAGGCAGGCAGGGTCAGTTTGAAGGCTATTTCTGAATAACAACTACATTCCAGTCAAGTCTTGGCAGCTTGGGATAGTAATTACATCTACAATGGTAAGTGTTTCAGAAGCATTCCCATAAACCCACTAATTCAACATATTCACCAATATGGCGCCTGGCCTCGCCTTGGTTTATGCCCTTCCCCCACTGACAGGCACAGGCCTTATGGTAACTTCTCTGATTTGGTCATTCTGCTATTTGTGGCTTACAGATAAGCCTCCTCTCTGCCTGCCACTTCTTGCATATAGTAAAGGTTGAATTTCCACTGCTGGCACTGGTGACGTAGATGGGAAATCTCGAAGCACACTGATGTCATTGTGCAATTAACATCACTGACTTGTGGAGGCTGGGTTCCCCAGGCCTCTGAGCAATCTGAGAATATGAGTGGGACACCAGGTGGGTACCACCTGGCAGAAGCATGTTTCAAGTGACCCCAGTTTAGGCAAATGAAGGAAGCAGGTATCCAGCCAGGTGGACTTTGGAGTCCAGGATGCTTGGGCCCCACCTCCACCAACCACTTTCCCTTGGTGTTGCTCAGCCTTCCAGCCTTCCACCTCTCCATGCTTACCACCCCTCTCCCCCTGCTTCTCACGGCTCTCTCCACCTGGAAGAAAAGGAAACATTTGACCAAGCCACCAATGCTCAAATGAATAAGATCACTACTTATCAAAGGAATAATTCTCCATGGGTATAGTTTCACCAACAGGATATCAAAAGGAATTATATTTTTGGTCCAGCCTAGATCCTAAAACCCCTTTGTCATATAGCCCCCATTGCTATTCCCAGGACAGGATACTGAATGACATGAACCCAAATGCTAAGCAACATCAACCATATTTTCTCACTTGTAAAAAAAAGAAAACAGTTATTTCTTCTGAAGGAGACATTTGTCATAGGGGGAGGATGGTTTGCACAGATCATTATTTCACTTCCAAATTCTGTTTCCAGTGGGCACAATGGAGCCAGTCAAGCAAACTGAACACTCCAACTCTGGCAGTAGGCACAAGCGCTTCCCTGCAGATGCTGCGTATCACTGAATGACCATTATACCAGCCATAAGGAAGAAATTCACTAGGCTGCAGGTCCAGGCACATTGAGAAAACAAGGACACTCCCCACCCCTCATCCAGCTGCTTTAAATGTTTTCAACAGTCTCACAGATAGCTGGGAGAAATAATTTCTGTGCACAAACAAACAAACAAAAAAATCGACGACTCATGGCTTTTGGGGTTAGAAAGGACCTTAAAGATCATTTTATACCAATACCCCGATTTTCCAAATGGTGAAATCAGGACGTGGAAAGTAACACTATTTACCATACTAAGGTCACCATGTACTTTCTGGCATGCTTCAGACCATGACCCCCAAGCCTCTGGCTCCCTTCTCTTCTGCTGCCCTCAGACAAAGGCAACAGAAAGCTTAAGAAGCCCCAGAACTGTTTCATTTTTTTTTTCTTCAGAAGAATCCTACTTTAGACCAAATCCAAACATAAGGATGACCAAGAAAACATACTTACAGCCAAGTCAAATTCGATTAAAGAGAGCTGGGGCGATCGGGTGTCTGTGGTACACACTGGAAATGCCTAATCGCAAAAATCTGAGCTTTCCCTCCACCGCAAGAGGCAAGGCCAAACTTCAACTTCTCAGAAAAACAAAAGCTAGGGGTTGCATAATTTCTACTTGGCACCCAAACCTGAGTGACTGCACATCTAAAATAACATTCCATTCCCTACATCAGATTCAAGGCGAGGTAATAAGCACAGCAGGCAAATGTGTATGTGGTCAACAGGAGAGAGATGGTGGGCCATGGGCAGAGACAGAACACTTCCTAACTTGCTAGCACTGAAGACATCCTTCCTTGGCTAAGCAGGTGGAACACATGCAGAAATGTTTCCTTGCTACACTGTGCTTTGGGATTATAAAGAACACCATCAGGAAAGATCTTGAATTTTTGGAGGCACACACGTACTCCTTCTCTTGCCCTTTGTGTCTAGGAGGCATAGCAGCTGGGTTCATGATTGTATATCCATCATGGTGAGGAGATTAAAAGCAATAGTAAGCAATATAGCACATGAAGGAAAGTGCAGCTGCTACATTGAGTAGTTAGGGAATTAAAAATTCATTTCTATAAGTAGACTGCAAACAAAGCTCACAGATTCCTGCAAACCCAGCCACACAGTGGAAACTGAAACCCTGGGCATATTTTGACAAGTTGGGAGCAATATGTTCCTTTCTGTTCTTCCTGTCCTGCTGCTGGTTCCCAGGATACTGGCGGGTGAGAGGCCTTTATGTGCCCCACACTCACTCTTTGAGGTTTATCACAGCCTATCTTTGAGGCCATCATAAGCGCTCATTTGCTGCGGGGCACTGCATAGGGGCTTTGACACTGTGGAGAATAGGAAACAAAGCTATCCCAGACCGTAACAGAGATGCTTTCTACAAAGACAGACCCAGGATTTAAAACCAAGGAGGCAGCAGAAAAGAGAGAGGGCTCCTGCAATTTCTATGGAATAAAGAGCTTCTCCACCTCCTTGGTCCATCTAAATATAATTTGTTTTTTTTTTTAATGATCAGAAAATGACTAAGAAAGGTTCATTATGCAGCACCCAACAATGACGTCATTATTTTTCCATTCCAATTTCCCTCAGACTTACACTTGAACTCTATAAATATAGCAAAGTTTTTTTTTTTCTTCCCAGGCTGCAGAGATGAATAGGTCTCTCCATCTTAAAGAACTTGAACAGCAGGCTAGGGCTAACAGCAGGGACTCTGAGGGATTTTTCATCCCTCACTTAATGGCTGGCTTACCTAGACAGAATTACTTAAATCATTTGGCCTCAGTTTCCTCTCTACAAAAAGTAGCAATGATAAGCATTTTTAAAAATGTAAGCTTGGACATGGAGCTGTGGCTCAAAGTGGTAGAACACTAACCTTGAGGAAAAAAATTAAAGCTCAGGGACAGTGCCCAGGCCCTGAGTTCAAGCCCTATTACCCTGAAAAAAAAAAAGAAAAAGGAAAAAGGCAAGATAGCTCATGCCTGTAATCCTAGCCTCTCAGGAGGCTGAGATCTGAGGATCATAGTTCAAAACCAGCCTGGGTGGGAGGATCCATGAGACTCTTATCTCCAATTAACCACTAAAAAACTAGAAGCAGAGGTGTGGCTCAAGTGGTGGAATGCTAGCCTTGAGTAGAAAAGCTGAGGGACAGTGCCCAGGCCTGAGTTCAAGCACCAGGTCTGGCATGCACAGGTGCGCGCGCGCGTGCGCACACACACACACACACACACACACACACACACACACAAGGCAACCTGCATGCACACACGTATGCACATGCAACCACACACGTCAGCTTCATTAGTCTCTTCTATGATGACACCAGGGCGCTGGCTTTAACTTACTTATTCATTCATTTCAACCTAGCTTATTAGTGCCTTCAGATAGGGCTTATTGTTTATTTATTTATTTTTAAAAGACTCTGTTGAAACAACTTAGGAACTGCTGACTAGGGTAACTGCCCTGCTTTTACCAGCCAGTGTCCAGCTGCTGCTGCGCTGGACATTCTCTCCTTTAGCCTCAGCCAAGCTCATCCTATTGACTGATTTCTCCAAGGGAGAAAATCCTTTTTGTAGCAAAAGGAAAATGAGGAGTTCTGTGTCCTATCCCCTGGAAGGCACTAGGAGAAGACTTGTTACTCCAGGATTCCTGACAGCCACACAGAAGGCCCTTCTCCCTGACTGGGAATGAGACAAAAGCATCAGTGTTGGGTTGGGGGTTTAGCTTAGTAGTAGAGCATTTGTTTCATATGTCTAGGCTCCTGGTTTGGATCCTAGAATTAGGAGTGTGTAAGAAGCACTGCTGTTTATGGTCTTTCCATGAATCTTGCCTTACATGACAAGGCACTTGAAGGCTGGAGAAAGGTGGAGCGGGGTTCTATGTGGTTTGCCATTCAGGCTCTGGCTCTTTTACCCTTAAGTCAACTGTCAGGCTTAGGGAGAGGATGTACTTTTCTTATCCACTTAACCAAGAACATAGCCTGGCTATTTCAGCTTGTTCCTTGCAGGGATGTCCAACCTCTCCTGTTCACTGTCCATGAATTTAAGCACAAGCGTGAGCTCTTAGGAACATAGAGGCTCTATTTTAAAAGTTGATGTTCCATTTAAAATATGTAAACGGGATGAACAGAATCGATATGCCATGAGAGTCTAAAAATGATTTTTCCACTCTTTCTCATTTCCTTGTACCTCCACATCCTCTCCTAATTCACACATACCCAGCAGCAATGGTAAAAGCCCTATACTGGCCTAACTCAATTCGGTCAGCACAATTGATGTACATATAGGATGTTCATGTACAAAGCCACGAGAGGTCCTACACCCCACCCCATTTAGTCCAAATTCTATTCCAAATGCACCAGTTTCAGAATTTAGACAGGTCCTTTCCTATCACTTTAGGGGGTGAGGAAAGACCAAGGTTTTTGGACTTTCCCAGTGAGCATCTCCTTTTAGTGATAACTCCTCTTTGATCAGTGAACTTCACAGGCATAGGTTTTAGGAGGGCAGAGCCCTCAGCCCTGCTCTTCTTTCAGCTCTGGACAGGTTTTCCAGAGGCCAGTCAGTCCCACAGTGTAGTTACCTTACCTTGATGGTCTTCACCAGGTTGGCTGTGCTGTTGGCGACCTCCTTGGCTGACTGGACAAAGTGTCTCTTGGCCACAGGGTTGGCGGTCTTGGATGAGGCAATGCGGCAGGCATTGCACAGAGCAGAGGTGTGCTTGGCAACAATTGTGGCAGCCGACAGAACCTGTAAGGCACAGAGCTAGGTTGCACCCTTCAGTGCAAAGGGGCTGAGTTCCTCTTTAACTCAAGTTCCAGAGCCTAGGCAGCAACACATGCATCTTGCTTTGCCATCCCCAAGATTACTCCAAGAAAGGAAAGAGCAGGAAATATAAAGCAAGAGAGAATAAAAACAGAGAAGGCAAGGAGGTAATGATGTACTGATGGGAATGAGTTGGGCCCCCAGCCTGGGCCAGCTAATCTTTGGAACCCCAAATAGAAGGTCAATGGTTCTGGCTCTATGCCAAGGCCTACACATATGTAATAGAACCATTTCTTGTGGCCACATTAAAGTAAGTGGAGAAACAAGAAAACATAATTTAAGTAATATATTGTATTTAATAGCTTAAATCATCAAATGACAAGTACTGTTCAAGTGATTTTTATGTGTGTGTGTGGTTGTGTTTTGGGTTATTTTGGTCACAAGTCTTTGAAATCTAGTATATATTTTATACTTACAAGCCACCACAATTTGGACTAACTATATTTCAAATGGTTAATAGCCACATGTCGCTAGTGGCCACCATATTACAGAACTCTGGTCTAGTCTAAAAGATTAAGATAAGCTGGGCACTGATGGCTCAGCTCTATAATCCTAGTCACCCAGGAGGCTGAGATCTGAGGATCATGGTTCAAAGCCAGTCTGAGCAGTAAAGTCTGTGAAACTCCAATTAACCATCAAAAAGCCCGAAGTGGAGTTGTGGCTCAAAGTGATTAGCCTGAGCAAAAGAGCTCAGGGACAGTGCTCAGGCCCTGAGTTCAAGCCCCACAATCAACTCAAAAATTAAAAAAAAAAAGGTAAAATAAACAACAAGGTACAGCATTCTCCTCTTATCTTTGAGGTCTGTGGACTCTTTGCAGGCTTCACCCCTACTTACCCCATCTGCTTTCTTGAACCCACCAGTTCTACTTTGCAGAGGATGCTAATAATCCTCCGGATTCAATGGAATAGGAAAGAACTCTCAGGTGCACTGACATAGCAGCCACAGGTCCAGATGGGCCCTGTATTGCCTTCTTTACTTGTTTCCTTCTCTTGCCTCAACAATGCTGTTCCTGGGGTTCAGAGTCTCCTCCCCAGCCTGCTGTCAGTTCTCCATTGCTACTTCTCCCTCGGTTTAGTCCTTAATAAGTGGCCAATAGCCCACAGTGTTCTGGTAGTAGAAGTGTCATGGAATGTCTCACACATGGTTCTAAAACGTCTTTCTGGATCCCTTCTGTGCTGTAAGTCTGACCCCCACTTTGAGGTCAAGTGCAGTGACATCATCTCTGTATGACACCTAGCAAGCCCCTCAGAGAAGCCATGACATCTTTCTCTGTGCATCCCTTGAAATGTCATGATAACTGCATTTTCTAAACTTTGCCTAAAAGACTTAAGAGCTAGGGGAATGGGAGAGACAGAAAATAAGGTCTCATCCACGTTGACTCTTTAATGCCAAGTACAGGATAAGCCCTCAGGGAATGTCCCTGCATTGACTAAGTCAATGAACTCATTGGGATCCCTTCATTCTCAGTGATGGAATTCCTTCACTCTCAATGCAATCTGGCACTCCAGCTCTCCCAAGCATCTGCAAATCTCTGCTTACATCACACTTTGCAATACTTTTCATGGTCATTATCTACAGAGCTGCATTTACTGGCTTTACAAATATAAAGAATAAGATTGTTTATTAATTTCCCACAGGTCCCACCCACCACACCTTCCCTGATTACCTGTGACGGGCTGCTGCCTGGATCCACTAGGTTCTGGCATGCCATCTGGATTGCCTGGTTAGCCCTGGCAAACTGGATGGGATCCACTAGGCCCTGGTGGCCAGCTTGGCTGTTTGGATCAGAGATGCCAACCAGGTATGCAGCCTAGAAAAGGAGAAGACCACAGCTCAGGTCTTGTGATGCTGGATGAACTCATGAGAGATGATGGGCTGCAGGCATATAGGTAGGTGCTCCTACAGCAAGCTGGTCATATCCCTTTGACAAATAAAGGTAGTGACAGGCCTGTGCCAGCTTGCCATGCCAGCAGGACGCTGCTGCAGGCTTCAGGGCACAAAGTCTCTTTGTTCTTAAGTAAAAGACTTTAAGAAACTTCTCTGGGAGGCATATACATGGTTGGATGTATCCCTCATTGCTCCCGCAGCCATCATCATATAACCAGGAAGATACCTGGTTTTAGTGTGAAACAAACTCTGACACACAAATGGGGATGGGAAAAAAAATTATGTGCAGATTGACAGTGTGGATTGACAGCTTCTGGACCAATCCAATTCTGGAGCCTGTCCTACCAAAGGCTTCCAATCACACAGAGGGGCGTGTCCTTATGGTATAAGCCATTATTCCCAATAGCAGAAAGAATTTTTTTAAAAATATTTCTTTTTGACGGTTGTGGGGCCTGAACTCTGGGCCTGGGCACTGCCCCTCAGTTCTTCAACTCAAGGCTAGTGCTCTACCACTTGAGCCACAGCACCGCTTCCAGCTTTTTCTGTTTATGTGGTGCTGAGGAATCGAACCCAGGACCTCATGCATGTGAGGCAAGCACTCTACCACTGAGCCACCTTCCTACCCCTTAGCTGGGTTCTTGAGTAAGACGAGTGAGATGTTTCAGAAGACTATGACAATCATGGCAGCATTGGGTCCCCAAGAGGACCAGAAGCTTCCCAAGAAAGCTGTCTCTTCGGATTCCCTTTGAAGTAACTAGCAGGAGATGAACATGTGAGCAGGAACATTATTAGTTCATTTATCCTGAAGTCTGTGGAGAAGGATGAGGGCACAGAATTGTATCCCCTAAACTAAGTATATTCTTCCAAGTACCAGGTAACTGCCAGGGATAAACCCTGCAAGCTAGTAACGTTTCAAAAGTGTTGGCCATATAGTCCCGGCAGTGATTTGAAAGGTACAGGGCTGATGAATAAGAGGAAAAAACATGCCATATTGTATTTCTGGATGACGGTACCTACTTTTTTTCTCCCTTGGCTTTTAGAAAGCCTGACATTTTTGCACTTCTAAGGCCCCAGAAAACTTGAATTATTCAGTACTTACTTTTCCCTACTAAAACAACTCACCTGGAAGAGTGACCTTTAAAAATAAGCTGCTCTCTGATCCTGTGTGCTGGGCTCTCCTTGTCCCTGCTTCACTTGGCCATGGGAGAACTAGCTGATGTACGAATGAGATGTTCTAACCAGAGCCAGTGTGGACTGAAGCTTCTGGACCAACCCAATTCTGGAGCCTGCCCTACCAAGGGCTTCTAGGGTAGTACTTGCAGAAAGAACAAGAGCTCCCCTTTGCCTGGACACAGGGGTCCAATCACTCCCAGCGCAGGGCACAGGCTGGAAGAGCTACACAGAGACCAGCTTCTTACCTGGGCTGCAGCCTCAGTCAGCCCACACAGAGCCTTAGATGCAATGCCCACACATTCCCCAAAGGCAGGGAGGTCCCCGGTCTTGGCATTCTGTGAAATTCCCGCCATCGACTCGCCTAGTACCTGCAAAACAAACAGCCAGTGGTATTCTGTGGCAGACTGCTTCAAGACCCAGAGGGAACAAGAGGCTATCCTTGCAACTTTACCATTTGAAGCCACTTAACTTTAATATGTACCATCTTCTCTTTTACTTGTATTAAGAAGAGGTACAAGGAAAACTGCCCAGTTTTTGCTCCATAAGGAGGATTAATCATCAACATATGAGCCCTTCATTCAAATATCTCTTTTGTAAGGAGATACAGTCAACATAGACAATGAAATAAAATCTATGCAAGGCTTCCATAGGTAAAATAGCCCAAACTAAGAATTATTCATTCTTAGAATACAAACTTATGTTCATTGAAGTCCTACCCAGAAAGCAGAAGATACACTCTTTCTGGTATAAAGCGAATTTCAACAGATCTTTGTTAAAGTTATTTTCTAAAAATTTTAAGTAGTTTGTCTTATTCTGAGAATCACCGGTATATTCTTTCCTGCTGGGCTTCAAAACAATGGCCCAGAGGGATCCAGTACCCTGTATAGGTCATGTAAAGGTCACAGGACAGAGGCAGGGCATCTACTCCTACCCAGTCTGTCTCTATCATCATGTTCCTGAAGATTCTGCTTTCCAGGGTCACTGATGATGGAACAGAAGGATGTGACCTTTGAAGGGATTATGGCATTGTCAAGTCTAAAATCTGATTCATAGCTCTTCATTTGTTAGTAGATATCTTGGAAGGGGAAAGGAAATCAATTCCCTACAATTGTTTAGATGGACAAAATCATCTAGTTTATGTGTTTAGTTAAATGTGATATCTACAAAGATGTTAAACTCTCTCCTCCCTAAATCATTTCTCTGGGTCTGAGTATATAAAATGTATCTGTAGGCTCCATAGTGAGTTCTATTTTGAGCTATTCACCTACATCCTTGCTCAAACAACAGCGGCAGCAGCAGCAGCAGCAACAGCAGAATCCCAGCTCTCACTCAGATCTATTGACTCAGAAACTTAGGGGTAGGGCTTAGCAATTGGTATTTAACAAATCTTTCAAGTGACTCAGGCAAATTGAGCTTTAGGAAGCACTGAGCAAAGGCTGCATAGACTTTCCCATGCTCACTATCACACGGGGCCATGGGCAGCTGCACATACAAGTACCTCTGGTCTAGGCCCATTGGAAAAGCATTGTCATGGGTTGGATTATGGCATAGCCCAGGGTCAGGGTGGGGTAGGCTTACCTTGGAGTTTTCCATCACACTCTCAATGCAGTCAAAGTAGGAGAGGTCACTAACAGGTTCATTAGGATTATCCAGCATCCCCTTGACAGTCTACAAAGCAGAACATAGAAGATGAAGTGAGCAAGGGGCTCAGAAGGAGAGGCAGTCAACCTAAATTACAACCGTTTACTTCCCCTCCTGTGACAGGACTCTGGGCACATTGTTCATTTACTCAGATTATGGTGTCATGATTTCCAGCTTCCCTATTGGTAACTCAGCTAAAGCACTTAGCTTTGCCAGAAATAAGAATCTTAGTTACATTTTGGAGAAATGTGATAGTTACAGGAGACAGTTTTTCATATATATAATATTATGTTTATATAGAATATATACATAATAATTCAACATTTATCTTTAACAAAGATCTATTAAAATTTGAATATATAGAATATTTATATATTGATTATATTGAATGTTTATATATACATATTATACATAAAGCATATGTATATATATATACATATATTTATGTATACATGTACACACATATAGATATATATGTATATACATGTATCTATGTGCAGATATGTGTATATATGTATATATATGCACACACTCATTTATGTATACCTATCTATCTATCTATCTATCTATCTATCTATCTATCTATCTATGTAAAAGAAATTTGGAAGTCAATGCAAGGTGATATAATCATGGCCACATAACACAAATGGACTGCTATATAGTGCTAAAGAATTTATATTACAAGTACACATTCATTCAAGACTGAAAAGGACCCTTGGTATTTCAGTTCTGGACTCTTGATGGAAGAACATGAGAGAAGGTAATGCCCCAAGCAACCCACTGGGATGGTTCATTCATTTTTAATTTTGAAAATATAGGAACTGTCTACCCTTGTTTAAGTTCCCATCAAGGAAGTGCTTCTCCAAACCCCTGAAAAACTTCGCTAGCTTCCTTGGTGATGATCATAGATAACTACTTGTGAGGGACTCTTTCATTGCCTAAGAGTCTGGGGTGCATCTGTTCAATCTCCTTGTCATTGGAAGATGAGAACCCAGCAGCCTCCAGGGGGCAAAGACCTGGAAGATCAGAGTTCAAAGCCAGCCTGGGCAAAAAAAAAAAAGTCCACAGACTGCATCTCAAATTGACCAGCAAAATGCTTATTAGGATGCATTGCTGAAGTGGTAGAATTTCATCTGGAAGAGCAAGACAAGTGAGCATGATTCCTTGAGTTCAAGCTGCAGCACTGGTAAACAAACAAAAAGATAAGGAAAGAGGGCGGCACAAAGAATGAGTGCATTTATTAAAGAACCTCTTCATATTCCTTGGATAATCAAGAATGTTTCATAATGGTGGCAGACAAGAATAGCGTTAAAGTACAGTATATACCTAGGTCAACATAGCTCGGTTCTATCAACGACCCTTACATCTTACAGTGTGAACTGAGCAGCACTGGGCAGTGATTCAGCCCTTTGTAAGCATTGCCAACTATTCTCAGAAGCTTTGGTCCTCTTCTTTTTTTTTTTTTTTTGGTTGGCCGTGGGGCTTGAACTCTGGGCCTGGGCGCTGTCCCTCAGCTCTTCAGCTCAAGGCGAGCGCTCTACCACTTGAGCTACAGTGCCACTTCAGGTTTTCTAGTGGTTTATTGGAGATAGGAGTCTCACGGTCTCTCCTGCCCGGGCTGGCTTTGAACCGCGATCCTCAGATCTCAGCCTCCTGAGTAGCTAGGATTACAGGCGTGAGCCACCAGCGCCCGGCTGTTTTGGAATATTTTAAACATACAACAGACCATAAAATGATTTTAAATCTGCTTTCTAGTAAGTTTTGTTTGAATGACTGTTCCTAGCTATTTCCTCCAATTCTTTTTTTAAAAAGTAGCTATTTTCTGTTAACATATTAGGGATATATTAGAACTTCTGGTATAATTTTGTAGCCCAGACTATTTTCTATACAACAAGGATTTAACCCTTTTGAGCAATGCTTAACAGGTCCTGGGATATACCATGGATAATATAGAAAGCGAAGGTCCATTTTAATTTTTGTTTTAACCATGCGTGAAATATGTGGTGAAGTTTTATTTTCCTTTTTGGATATATGAATTTCAATTGTCCTAGACCCATCTGTTGAAAAGAAATTCTTCCTGCTTTTGCAAGTTTTTTTTTTTTTGACTACTGATTGGCTGCATTACTTTTGATTCTCTATTCCACTAGCCTAGTGTATGATCTTTCACGAGTACCACATGGTGCTGATTACTATAGTTGTATTATATGTCTTAAAATGAAAGAAACATCACTTTAATTTTTTTTATTTTTTATTTATTTTTTGTGGGTCATGGGGCTTGAACTCTGGGTCTAGGTGCTGTCCCTGAGCTCTTCAGCTCAAGGCAAGAGCTCTACCACTTGAGCCACAGCACCATTTCTGGGTTTCTGGTGGTTAACTGGAGATGAAAGTCTCATGGACTTTCCTGCCTGGGCTGGCTTTGAACTGCAATCCTCAGATCTCTACTTTCTGAGTAGCTAGGATTACAAGGTATGAGACACCAGTGCCCAGCTAATACATTTTCTTCAGAAGTAAACCTCTTCTTCTCAGAGCGAAAAGACCACAGAACCTAAACAAGCTGGGGACTCAGTACTGCGGAGAATAGGAAAATAGGGCAAGGTGAACTATGAAGGGTCTGGCTGCCTCAAAAATAGCAGTGGAGCTGAAGACTCAAGACAACCAAACCAGGTCCCCATGGCTCAGTTTCTTATGAACTTACATGAGGTCTGGAGGAAACACATGGTTCATTCCTTGTCCTGCCCTAAGTCTCCTCGGGTTACATCTCCACTGTGTTCACAGCAATGGGAACAAGGAAACAACTTTTTCCATCAGGCCTAACTGTCCTGGGCCTGTTTGGGACTTTTGTCATCACCATGGGACCTGAGATGAAATTCAGTCTCCTGTAACTGATAACCCCCAAATGCACCTATCAGCAATAGCCCTGTCTTTCTCCACAGTCTAGCCCCTCCCCTCTGTTCATTCCATTATAACTCTTCAGTCTGTGCAAGTTACTCTCTTCCCCCTCTCTGGGCCATTGCCAGGAAGTAGAGAGATGCTCACAAGTTTTTTTCTAATAAAGCCTGACTATCATTAAGGTCATTCCTATCTCTGACTCTAATTGCTTCCTGTAATCTCAAGCACTTTTCTTACATTTCCACTTTTCTTACAGGTCCAGGGGGAACTCACTCAAACCTTCAAGACTTTCCTGACACACAAATATACCCCTAGCACCCAGCAAGTGGGACTGGCTCAATAGCAGGTGGTGATACACATCTGTGTGATGAACCCATGAAAAGAATGAACAGGAGGTTTGTACCCCAACAGAAGTCTGACTTACTGACTGGCTGCTGCCAGAAACTTTCTGAGTGAACTTTCTAGAATGTTCCCCAAACCCATGAGAATAAACTGGCATCTTCCCACCTAGTTCTAGCTCAGATCATCTTTAGTTGAGGAGTTTTCGGTATTCACTTAGTTGTAAGATCCTCAGGCTGGGAGCTCTGGTCATGACTGAGTGCCAGGCATACAGGTAGAGTGCTTTTCACCTAGGCTGCAGAGACTGCCTTAATACAGGAAAGCCTGTAGATTCCTAGATCCACAACCTAGAAGCACTGTTTCAGGATGTCTTGTGGCTTCCAAAAAGCCAACTTGTATTCTCTACCGCTTCCCATGATTTAAGTGTGAACATGTTCATCCCAGAAATTCTAATTTGGAAATGATGGGGGGAAGAAATTGAAGACAATGAAAAACATCTAAGTTTGGATGCTTGAAAACATCAGTTGTATTATTCAAGGCATTTTGTTAAAAAGAAGAGGAAAGGGAAGGAGGAAAAGGTAGAGGAGGAGAAAGAGGAGGAGGAAGAGGAGGAGGAGGAACAAGAAAAAGAGAAGGAGGAGAAGAGGATGAAGAGGAGAGGAGTAAGAGCTGGAGGAAGAGAAGAAGGAGGAGTTTGAAGTGTAGGAGGAGGAGAAGGAAGAAGGTAGAAGAGAGAAGGAGGAGATTCAGGAAGGGAGTAAGGTAGATATATGAGAAACAGCTGTTCAACAGAATAGACATCCCAAGCCACCGCCCCCCAACATCACAGGATAAGGGGTAGGGTGGCACCAGAACAATCACAAAGCAAGCATGAGCCAGTGAAGGGGAGATGAAAAGATCATTTTCCAGCCCTGATATCTCTGGCTATTGTTTGGTTCTCAAATGCATTATCTCTGATGAAACAAAGAAATTCAAGGTTTACAAAAGAACTGCTCTGAAGATGTCTAACCCTCCACAAAAAAGAAAAGAAAAGAAAACAAAGGCAAACCCACAAGCCAAGTGCAAGAGAGGCAAGATTTAGCCATCAGTATTGTAAAAGATGGAAAGAGCCTAAGGCTGATGTAGCTCACACCTTTCTTTACTTTGTAGATGGGAAAGTTTAGATAAGTTGAGCAACCTGGGCAACATGACTGAGTTAGTCAAGCATTAAAGCTGGGACTAGACAAGTTAAAGACATAAGCACAAAATGAAACAAAACAAACAAATAAAAACCCAAACAGAATTGAAGATGATCACCATTTTGAAATGGTTTCCAATTATTCTCCACCCTCCTCATAGTCTCTCCTTGAATTTCTCCACACTCTTAGCTTTCCTATATATCACAGTAGATCAAATGCTACTGAGAAGACACCCTTACCTCCACAGGATCCTTAAATGCCCTCCCTCTGGGTTGGGGAAAATGTCTGAGCTTGTTCTTCTAAGATCATCCTGTTACTGTCACTCCATACACCAGTATCTCATACTACTTAACTGGTGACCTGGAGTGGAAACTGCATTGCTTACTTTGCTGAAGGGCCAGCAATAGAAGGAAGACACTGGTTATCCCAAACTCACACTCATGATTTAATTCAGTTTACAAACAATTTGGTCTGACTACTCTACCTCCTCACCCATCCTAAACCCAGAGCTCTTCAACATGTGATGGATGGAACATGTCAAGTCCAGACTAACATCACTGCTGGGCACAGAAGAGGTACTTAATAATAAACACCTATGGAAGGGCTTTTTACACACTGCTATACTCTGTTTTCCAGCACGTTCTGATTCCCTTTGCAATAAGCATGCATGACTTTTATAATGTGAAATATAATACTACTTAAAAAAAATCCCAATAAGCTCCTGCCTTTACAAGCTCTGAAAGTTTTAAGTCTAAAAGTCTCTACTGAAGAGGTTGTAAGAGAAGACATATGGGAAGTCTGCTAGTGGGTGTAGAATATGGAAACAAGACAACTGTATAAAATACTAGAATCTGCATCACCATCAATAACATGAGGACAGCCCCAATTCTTTGCCCATCCAAAGTGGCAGGATATAGCAGTATATCCTTTGAGCTGTAGAGACAAAACTTAAACACACAGGACAGCATACCTTGTCCCATTCTTACCTTGCAGCTGCAGCCAGTAGATTTTTGGCATTGGGAGCTCCAGGATCTACAGAGAGAGACTTGGCCGCTAACAGCAGCTTGCTGGATGCCATAGAGATATTCTTGAGGTTGCCTATCACTTGGATCTGGTCTTCTTTTGTCTGGGAGGCCAAAAGGAGTTGGTTATTAGAAAGTTCCCAGGCTCCTAGGAAGCATTCAGAGAGCAAAGTAGTAGCATCCAAAAGGGAAGGCAAGTTACCTGAATAGATACATCAACCAGCCTGCAGACACCTAACTCATTGAGACACTAACTAGTGTCTACCTCTCCCCAAACAGATGCTCAGAGCAAGATGCATGTAGTAGGGAAAGAAACCTATGTACAAGTGAGTAGGCCAAAATCTCTGCTTTCTTCTAAGTGGAAGCACTAAGGGAGGGGGAGGAGGAAAACCAGAGAGCGAGCTGCACCAAGGCACAGATCTCGCTCAACAATGCTGGGGTTGTCGTCTCTTGTACATCTCAGCCTGGCACAAACGACCAGCATTGTTTCAATATTCAGAGCTGACAGCATCCCAGAAGGTCCAGATTAGGGGAAAGGATACATTTCTTACCTGGTTTGCCCTCTGAGGTAACAAAGTGAGAAATATCCTAGTGTATTTTTTTTAGGGAGTTTACAGTAGCTTAGGAACAAACAGCCCTGTAAGCTGACACCAGACCATTCATGCCCCCTTGTTAAACAAGTGGCTTATCTGTTCATCTGGATGTGGTTGTGTGTGTGTGTGTGTGTGTGTGTGTGTGCGTGTGTGTGTGTGTGTGATCCTGGGGCTTGAACTCAGGGCTTGGGCACTGACCCTGAGTTTTTGTTTTTGTTTCTTAAAGCTAGACTTTGCCACTTGAGCCACAGCTCCATTTCTAGCTTTTTGGTGGTTAATTGGAGATAAGAGTCTCACAGACTCTCCTGCCTCTTCTGCCTGAATAGGTATGATTTTAGGCATGAACCACTGGCACTGAGTTTGAACATGGTAACTTTTAATACTCTCATAGCCAGTATTAGACATAGGTCATGCAATTGAGTCCAATACACTTTAAGTGCATATATGCTTTTACTATATTATTCCATATTTGCTAAACATTCTCCCTCCTCCTCCTCCTCTTCCTTCTCCACAGTAGAATATGTAAAAGGATGGATTCTAGTAAGGATCGTGGGAAAAGTTATTCCTGGCCCCTTGGAATACTTCACACACAGCTGATAGCATCTATGGGCATGCCATTCCTTTCTTGTGAGATCTGAGTGCACCGGGGCTTGGTTCACAGGATCTCTATTCCCATTTGCCCAGTTGGCCTCCAAGTTAGTCAGGAAATCAGCAGTTGTAGGTCAGCTCCCAGTGGCCACTTCCACACTCACCTGTGCCTGACCAGCCATCTCAATGCCAGCGTCTAGGAACTCGTCAAAATCATCACTGAACTTTCCAGAAGCTGCAGCCAGCTCTCCACTCTGGCCCCGGGTGGCGTGGACCACTTCCCCAGCAGACTGGTTCAGATCTGCAGCTGCCTGATTCAGTTCACTCTGGGCTTCTTGGAAAGGCTTTGTGCTTGGAGGTAGCTATGGGGACAGAAGGCACACCCCATGGGAAGTCTTAGTTTGATGACAAGGATAAAGGAAGGCATTGTGGAAAGAAGACAAGATTGCCCAGAGATGGATTTCTGAGTCATCAAGATGTAAGCATTGTGTGTGGGCTGAGCCCATGGTAAGTTTGACCCTTCCTTCCTTCCTTCCTTCCTTCCTTCCTTCCTTCCTTCTGGAATACCAACTCAGTGAACATATCATGGGTCTCAAAATGGTAAGAACAGTTGTTCTCAGGTACTCATGCTTACCTGTGTGGCTCAGGTAGGCCACCACACCCAGGGAGACTGACTCCAGGATCCAGACTCTCTAGGTAACTGCCCTACTATCTCTCTTTTAGGATGGAAACTTTTAGTATTTTACTAAAAGGTGATGCGGTCCAACTTCACTTCATATTCTTCCAAGTGAACAGCTACCAATTTTGTATCATTGGTAGTCTTTGTTAATAACTTAAAAAGCAACAACACACCCCAATATAGTGTCATCTACAATCATTAATGAGAAGTTTTAAGGAGCTATGCTAGATTATATTAGGTATCCATATACATGAGCTGGACACCTGTGCAGAAAGGAAAGACAAAAATGAGCATAGGCTCTCCATCAGTGGACTCATAAAGCAGAAACAGAACAACTCAAGTAAAGCCCTCAAACTGCTTGCTCCCCCAGTAAGCCATGGACACACATGTCCCTCCACCACCAGACCTGTCACTATTGGGCCTGTCCTGATAAGAAGCCAAATGATCAGGCACCTCTTTCCTGGTTCACAGGGATAACCCAAGAGCAAACAGCAACATAGGCTCCCAGAGAAAGCAAGCTTCAAAAGCTCTATCTTTGAAATGTCATTGGGCAAAGATGAAGTGGCAGAAAAAAGCCTGGGGCCAGTCAAGATCTTCTCACCGAATCTACTAGCAGCTTCTTGCTGGACTCCCCGATGCTCTTCAAGGCCACATCCACATCCTTCTGCCCAGGGAGGCAATTCACGCAGTTATTCAAGGAGTGAGACACAGCTTTGGCCACCTGTATCGGGGCAGGGAGAGGGGGGGAGGGACACACCACAAGAAAGTTGCTGTCAGTATAAACATATTTATGCACATTTGTTGGGAATGAGCATGGAGAATAGGTAGAGCTGGCACAGGCAGCAGCAGGCCCCTGAGACTAGGTTATTAAATTAAATCACCTTGCTCCAGGCACTTTCAACAAGAGCAAAATTCCACCTTGGCACTGGGGTCAGCGTCCTGGGAGACAACACATTAAAGTCAGGCTGAGTCACAGCTCAGCTTCAAACAGAGAACTCTCTGATAAGAGACCAGGTTTTGAAACACAGGTTCTGTGTTCCTGTGAGCCCTGCTAAGGTCTCCAATGCGGAAGTGGGCCTTCACGTCTTTGGATCATGATTCCTAACTAGGTCTGTGATTGCTTTCTGCTCAGTGGCCCAGCTGCAACCTCACTCTTCCCACGGGCAAACAAAGTTCCAACACTTCCCAGAACGATGTAGAACTGCCAACACACTGCCTTGGAAGAGCACTAGAGCAGCTTCCTGTGGGAAATCTTTGGTATCTCATTTAAAAGGGAAAATTAGGAGCTGGGAGCCAATGGCTCACACCTATAATCTTAGGAGGCTGAGATTTGAAGATGGTGGCTTGAAACCAGCCTGGGTGGGAAAGTCTGTGAAACTCTTTTTTGTTGTTGTTGTTGTTAGTCGTGGGGCCTGAATTCTGGTCCTGGGAGCTATCCCTGAGCTCTTCAGCTCAAGGCTAGCGCTCTACCACTTGAGCCACAGTGCCACTTCCAGCTTTTTTCTGCTTATGTGGTGCTTATGAGGTGCCTCCTGCTTGCAAGGCAAGCACTCTACCACTGAGCCAGCCTGTGAAACTCTTATATCCAAGTAATCATCAAAAAGTCAGACGTGGAGCTGTGGCTCAAGTGGTAGGGTGCTAGCCTTAAGCAAAACAGCACAGGGATAGTGCCCAGGCCCTAAGTTCAAGTCCCAGGACTGGTGCAAAAATAAATAAACAAATAAATAAAAATAATACAATAAAAGGGAAATTAAGGTCTTTAGAAGTGAGTTGTGTTACTCTTTTTAACCCATAACATCTTCTCAGTACCCTTATCTAAAACTTTCCTTGGCCAACTGGTCTATCAGTGTAGAAGAATCATCTGAAGAGATTAAGTGAGAGGGAGTGAGAGGTAGAAAACTTCAGTGTCACACTCTCTTATCTGTCTCATTTCCCTTGCTACTAAACCCCAATCAAATATGTTATATCTGGAGTCCTAAACCTCCCAGGGCAGGATTCAAAGATATGCCTTTCCCCTCAGTTGCCTGTGAGCATGAGCAGATCTCACATTAATACAAGGAATACTAGGTGAGACTCACAAAGGTGAGGTGGTCACAGATGGCCAACGTTGTTAGGACATTTTGGAAACTTCTCAAAGCACCTGTGGCAGCACAAAGCATTCATACAAGAAAAATGTGCCCAGGAATATGCCCACCAACACAGGTAGGTCAGTAGTGGTAGGACTCTCCTTTGTAGACTCACCTGAGCTAGTCTCTGTTGACTCTCTGCATCTCCAGGTGCAATCAGGGCTTGCTTAGCTTCCTGGATGAGCATGGCTGAGCCCTCCATCACATCTCGAGCAGAATCTAACATGGCGTGGGCAGCTGCAGGGTCACTTGTAGATGCAGCCACTCCACGGGCAGCCTGGGCCAGGGTTTTCAGAGCTTGTGCTGTTTCTCTAGCAGCTACACCTGGGGGGCAGAAGCCAATGAGACCTTCTGTTACATTCCATGGAGAAGGCACACTTTTCCTTGGGAATGAGCCTGTGGACTAGAGCCTGACTTGCAGACAAAGGGTAAGCATTGATTTTTGTTTTACGTGTTTGTATACTGGCCCCAGGGCTTGAACTTAGGGCTTGGGCACAGTCCTTGACCTTTAGGGTTTAAGGTTAGTACTTTACCACTTGAGTCACAACTCCATTTCTGGCATTTTGGTGGTTAACTGGAGAGAACAGTCACAGACTTTCCTGGTTAGGCTGGCTTCCAATTGTGATCCTTAGATCTCAGCCTCCTGAGTAGCTAGGATTACAGATGTGAGCCACCAGCACCTGATTTTTTTAGTGTGAACTGTTGGCATCAACCAACCAGAGAGAGGTGTTATAACACATACAATGAATGCTAAGTGCTGCTTCCCATGAGACAGCTAAGTGCTGTCTCATGTTCTGATTGCCTACTAGACCTAGAGCTTCAGGTTCATGGTGTAACACAGGTGGATGTATCTGTCTGTATTGATGCAAAGCATTGTAGGAGATTATTTTAAGTCATTCTATACCCACAAAACAAAATGAGCAAATCTGATTTGCTGAGGAACTCAGTGAATCTGTCTATCTGCTATTGCTATGCCCTTCCCCAACAGGATCTCTCACACCAGAACAAACCATTATTCTAACATCTGTTACTTGAGACTTGTTGTTCTAAAATTTTTTTGTTTTTGGGTCCAGTCGTGGGGCCTGAACTCTGGGCCTGGGCGCTGTCCCTCAGCTCTTCAGCTCAAGGCGAGCGCTCTACCACTTGAGCCACAGCACCACTTCTGGCTTTTTTCCTTTTTGCTTATGTGGTATTGGGGAATCGAACCCAGGGCCTCATGCATGCAAGGCAAGCACTCTACCACTGAGCCACCTTCCCAGCCCTGTTCTAAAATTTTATGTGAACAGAACCACACTGTATGCCTTTTTTTTTTTTCTGTCATGTATAGCAATCCATTCTTTTAGCTTGCTATGTGGTATGCAATCATCTGGATGATACCAGCATTTGCTTACTTGTTCTGCTGTTGGAAGTTGGGGACTAGTGTGAATAATACTTCTAAGAAAGTTCTTATGCACACATTCATGTGGGCACAGGGAACACAAATGTAAGAGTTGGACAGCAGGCCACAGAATACTTATCTAGTTTTAGAGAGAGAAAGAGAAGGAGGCAGGGAGAGAAGGAAGAAATGTACTAGTTACCTAACTTATAAAACAGTATAAATTTTTTTTTTTGCCAGTCCTGGGGCCTGAACTCTGGGCCTGGACACTGTCCCTGAGCTTCTTTTGCTCAAGGCTATTCCTCTGCCGCTTGAGCCACAGAACCACTTCCAGAATTTTCTAAGTAGTTTATAGGTGATAAGAGTCTCACAGATTTTTCCTGCCTGGGCTGGCTGCAAACTGCAATTTCAAATCTCAGCCCCCTAAGTAACTAGGATTACTGGCATGAACCACTGACACCCAGCTATATCACCTTAATGACAACAATAAAAAGAAGAAATGTGCTCATTACTTGACTTAGAAAATGGTAAGCCTTCTGTATATCACTTTTATAATAAAACAAAAACAAAGACAACAGAACCTTAAATGGCTATTTGGATTTGGGTATCCCTGTTGGGAAGCATGAGACAGATGATGGAATTGGTGTTAAAGTATGAATATAAACCAGTGTGTGTGTGTGTGTGTGTGTGTGTGTGTGTGTGTGTGTTTGTGTGTGCATGCGCCAGTACTGGGGCTTGACCTAGGGCCTTGCTCTTTGACTCAGCTTTCCTGATCATAGCTGGTGCCCAATGACTTGAACAATGCCTCCAATATGGCTTTTGGTTAGTTATTTAGAGACATAGTCTCATGGATTTTTCTGTCCTAGCTGGCTTAGAATTGCAGTCCTCTAGATCTCATGCTCTTCAGTAGGTAGGATTACAGGTGGGAGCCATTGGTGCCTAGCTTAAACCAGCCCTTTGAGACTACAACATGACTTCATGCAGAACAAACATGGTCTGGCCACATGGCACACCATGAAGAAGGAGGTCATAGACACCAGGAACACAGCAACTTGAGAAGTGCGAAGTTGGCGCTGAAACTCATCTCAAGCAATAGTTTCACATGAGGTCCTGCCTGGACAGTGTCTGATCCATAGCACACATTCAAGATGGTACCAGAGCTAGGTCATGGCTCCCAGCTTCCAGGATACACACTTCTCAGTGAGGGCATCTAATTAGAGCACACTAAGTGCATGGAAACCACACACACATCCACACCTCTCTCGGCTTTCAAGTGAGCATTTGAGGCAGGTCTGGATGGTCTGCAAACATTGCTTCTGCTATACAGCACAGATACAGGGGTGGTCTTCCCAGTATTGAGGACAACGAGGCTCTGTAATGGGAAAGGCCTCAAAGCCATAAAGCTAGACAGCTTCATAGCCATGGACTCACAAATCTGTAAGCATTCAGCTCTGTGCATCCCACAGCTGGGGTAGAAATCTACAACCTGATCCAGGCAGATTACAAAGCTGCCAGTCTACCATTTATCACTCAGCCTGGGGAATGAAAAACTTTTAAATCCAGTGTTGTTGTTGTTTAAAATGGCTGAAGAGAAGCCCAGAGAGAAAACACAAAGGAAAGTAAAGCTAAAGTGAAGGAAATAAATGGAGTGGAGCTATCATTCCATTTCATGTTTCAGCTTTGGCGTGGGGTAGAGGGATGCTGTCACGCAGAAGAGTGCCAGATGTGGCTAAGCCCTTATTCCCTCTACCTCTGTTACTGCTGTGGTCTAGACAGCTGCCTTGCTTTGCAGGTTTTAGTAGATGCTGAGAGCTGAGTACTGACCACTGAAGATACTTTATTGTCATTTGTAGACCTCTCTTTATATCTTCCTGTTAATTATTTGGACCCTTTAATCCACTTCTGTTTGAGGTCTCTGAGAATTTGGAAGAATGAAGTATTTGTGAGACTCAATCTAGGCACACGTTTGCAAAAACCATAGGTTTTAGATTTGTGTTGAAAGCCTACTATAACATTTCCTTTTCCTATAACTTTCCAGAGGTTAGTCCTAGAAATCTATAATTGCTTATATGTTTGTAGTCCAACAGAGTGACCCACAAAATAGTTTGGGAATTGTTTTATTTCTCTTGGATGCTTAGTAACAGGCCCGTGGAAAGTGCTCGCAAAATATGCAGCAAACTGCTAAAAGGGAAGGCAAGTTTATTGCTAAATCAGAGAACATCCTTTCCAGACATCCGTTCCCCACCAGTGCTTTGCACCTGCTCCCACAGCATCACCAGGCATAAGAGGGCCTCACCTGTATAGTGCTCATTGCCTTGAGCAGCGCAGGTGAGGAGCTGGGCCATGGAGGAGCCCACTGCTTTGGAGGTGCTTCCCAGGTCCTGGGCACATTTTTCCAGCTGTCAGAATATCCAAGAAAGAGAGAACTTAGAGGAAAAGAACCATCTGCCAATGGTCGGAACAACAGTGTAGATCTTGAGCTCAGTTCTTAGGAAAGAACACACATACCCATGATACTAAGTTGCTGGAGGGCAATACGGGAAAATGAGCTGGGCTTTAGAATAAACAAATCTACAGCCTGCCTCTTATTACTAGCTGTGTGAGGCTGGGGTGCACTTTCTCCAAGCCTCAGTTTCCTTAGATTGTAATACTTACCAGTGAAGGTTTCTAGGGAAGGAATGTAGGCTGTCTCAACAAATGGTAGCTATTAGCATTATAACTTTAGAAACTAATTTAGAGAGGCTGCAATAAATCCTGAGCAGGTATTAATTATATCTTGGCAGGAAGTGGGCAGATATCCAGCTACACCACCTTCCTGGCATGTCAGACCATTAACAGTGTGCAAATGATCATTATACTTTTAGAAGCTCAAACTGAAAGGAAATGCATGAGACATGGAGATTGGAGTGGTGAGACTGTAAACGTGGCCTTTCCATAAACAGCAAGTCAACCTGCTTTGTAGACTGAATAAAAAAAAAGCAGAGGATAAGATTGGTAAAATTTCAGGTCAGGTATGGATAGTTATTAGGGGTGAGGACAACATTCTGGAAGGGAATTCTGGAAGGCACTTCAAGAGAGAAAAAAATCCATAAGAATCCATACCCAGTTTTAACCTTGCCATATCTTTCTTTTAGAAGAAAACAGAGCCTCAATCACTTAGCCTTGACTACAATAATATTATCACAACATACACATTTACTTTTTGTTTTTTAAAAAACAATCCTTTTTTTAAAAATTTAAAGGTTTTTTTTGCATCCCTCCTGATCAGTTGTTTTATGTAAAGTTAGAATTCATACCATACCAGTCTATCGTGGGCACCCTGGAGTTCAGAGTTTGCAAAGAGACACCTGGATCACTTTACAAAGCTTCTGGCATGAGTTAATGCCACCTCAGTCATTACCTGAGTGACTTGAGTTAAGTGATTTAACCTCTATCTGTTTCTTTATCTTTACAATTAGTGGAAGGGATTTAACAAATATTTTCTAAGTGTTTTCTATATTCCAGGCATGTTCTATGGCTCAGTAGATTGCTCCTGAAGTTCCTTTACATTGTAAATGTCTTTAGTTCATTCAAAGAATATCAGAGTTATGAGTACAAGCTCTTAGGACCAGGAATATGCTGGTCTAATGCTTGTCTAGCATGTTCATGTTCAATCCTCCCCACTATAGGCAGGGCAGGGGGAATGGAAGTTCTCAGAAAAGGTTTTAGAGTCCTGCAGATCTGGACTGAAACTTCAGTTCTGCTGCTAATTGGCAGATACCCTGGAAGAGAGTAGAGACAACTTCTGTGCCTCTATTTTCTCAGAAATGGATTTAATAAAACTTTGGTTATTAATTAGGATTTTCATTAGGATGGGCTAGACTGATTATATGTAGGGTGCTTAACGGGAACTTAATACATGGTATTTTATTGGCAACATTCAGGAAAAAAAAAGTAAGTTCATACAAATGAGGATTGGTATATTTTCCCCCAAGAAATTCCTGATGTAATCATTAGGAAGCACCAATCCGATCCAATCAGACCTCTGACAGCACCATTCCACTTGAAACAGTAGGAAGTTACTAAAGTGACTTGCTGTTCTCCATTCCAGGACTCTCCACTAATTTTTTTTCATAAAAACATGACTATTGACTATGTTTTCCGTGCTTACCATTAAAATCTCATTGCCACTCATCTCATAGAAAAAATATCTGAGACACACAGGAGACACTGCCCACAGCTAGTGTTTTCTAGAAGCTAGCCATGACCAACTTGAGGCCTAGTATTATTAGCAGCAGAAGCACTCCTTCCAGAAAAAGCCAGAACACTGAACTGAAACACTAGCATTTGTCTTGTGTATCAAAAAGACAAATAAATATTAAAGGATGCCTCTTAATACTTAGCCAGATCCTAGGTAGGCACACAAACCTTCTCTACAGGCCACTTAGGGAAATGGCTATCCTGATGCAGTCCTAAAGAAATGTGGGTTAATCTATCAAATTGCTCTCAAAACCTGTGAAATTCACTAACTGAATTTCTTCAAACACCTCTTGTGAGGGCAGCAAGAGGAAAAACCCATACTCTGCTGACCGAGTTGACTGCTGAACCCGGATGACTTACTGTTTCCCCCGGAAGTGGTTTCAGCTGACTCTCCACAGCGGCCATCTTGGCATCCTGCAGCTCGTTCTTAAGCGTCTGGACTGTGTTCAGGGCTGAGTCGATCTCCATAGGGCCACAGGCTTCATGGGCCTATTTAAAGAGTGGGGGAGTATATGTACACAGTCTGCTTGAGAAAGGGACTCTAATTATTTGCTACCTTGGAAATATTTTTTTCTTTATATCCAGTGATTGTCTGAACTTGGTTTAGGAGGAAAGGGGGCCAGGGATCTGTCCAGAGAATAAATCATCCTGTCAAGATGTCAGTCTTACTCTCTCTAAGTAGATGGAGATGCTTGAAGTCTCTTTGAAGCAATTTTAATCCTTAATAGGATGGAGCTTTCATTCCCTATGCCCAGAGTAAGCACAAATAGGAGGACTGCAGTCCAGACTTGGCTGCACACAAAGTGAGACTCTATCTCAAATAATAACCAATACAAAGATGGCTGGCAGAGTAGCTCAAGTGGTAGGTACAGCACCTGCCTAGTACATACAAGGCCTTGGGTAGCAACAACTCCTACCCCCCCAAAAAAAAAAACAAAAGCAAAAACCAAAACAAACAAGCCAGACCTAGAAGAAATGGTCACTTACTGCTATAGCTTAGATTCAAAATTTCCTGTAAAGGCCTACCTATTGTAGGCACTGGAACCTTCCCAAGGTGAGGTCTATTGGAAGGAAATTAGATCAATGGGGAAGGGATGCCTTTTAATGAGATATCCTGTGCCTCTTTCTCTTCCTTCTTGGCTGCTTTGAGGTGACCCAGTCTCTGCCATGTGTGTGCTACCACAGATCCGAAGCAACATCGTCATGTGACCAGACCATGAACTAACAACATAGGGACCCTAAGCCAAAGTAAACACTATTTCCTTTTAACTCAGTTCTCTCAGGTAGGGTATTTGTCACAACAACAGAAAGCTGGCAAATATAATTATTTTGGTCCACAATCAATCAGGCACCAAGACATTATCTACTATTCTCCCGGAGAATAAAACATAAGACTACTGCCTGTCCCAGAACAGGAGGAGGAAGAAGAAGAGGAAGTGTGCAAATTACAGATGACTTTGTCAAGCCATTGTAACTAGGGAAGACAGTCAAAGGGAGTCAAAGCCAATCCACAGAAGTATTTTTTATGGTCATGCAAATGGAACAGACAGCTCTGCCATGCGGAGGCCTGGGCAGGACTCACACCACAGCAGCAGTAAGGAAGGAAACTTCCATTCCCTTATGAGCGAACTGGCAGGACAAGGCCCTACTTGCCTTCTGAGAGGCGGTGCGCAGCTCAGCCAAGCTGGTCGCCAGGTTCTTGGCACACTGACTCAGCTGCATGGCTGCGGCCTGGTCACTCACAGTGGGTACTGCGGCCTTGGCGGAGGACACCATCTTGCTTCCAGGCTGTGAAAAGATGAGCAGAAAGACAATGAATGTCCTGTGCTGCCAAGGGGCAGAGAGAGCCAAGAGCCATCTCTCCACAGTGGTCAGGAGTTATTCTACTATAAAGAGAAAAGCATTGAACACCAACTAGTTTCCAATCCTGACCCCCTGAGTACCGTGTTAGACCAGCTAACACAGGCTACTAAAGTCTAGATTTTTTTTAAAAAGGTATATGACATGGTGGGAGCAGCAGGATAGAGTTTGGTTTAGAATTCTCATTTTCAACATTTCTAAGACAACCCTGTTTTAAATGAAGTTCTTTGTATTTCTCACAATAGTTCTTTACTATGAGCTTGAAACAAAACTACTAGACTGTGTAGAAAAATGATGGCAAATAAACCAAGAAAATAGCCAGGTAGGAGCTGGGAAGGTGGCTCAGTGGTAGAGCACTTGCCTTGCATGCATGAGGCCTTGGGTTTGATTCCTCAGCACCACATAAGCAGAAAAAGCTGGAAGTGGTGCTGTGGCTCAAAGTGGTAGAGCGCTAGCCTTGAGCTGAAGAGCTGAGGGACAGTGCCCAGGCTCAGAGTTCTGGCCCCACGACTGGCAAAAAAAAAACAAAGAAAAAAAAGAAAATAGCCAGGTACTGGGGCTTGAAGGCAACCTGGACAAAAAAAAAAAAAAAAAACTAAAAGACTTTCTGTTTAAAATAACTAGTAAAAGGCTGGGGTGGAGGTATGTATCAAGTGATAGTATGTCAGGCAGGCAAACAAGCAGAGTGAGCTTAAGTTCAAGGAAAAACAAAGAAAATGATTTCACATTTCAGAAACTAGAATAATGTTACCAGGTGTGGACATCTGTGTATGAAAATTAAGAGCATATTATTTGTTTTGTCTCACATATTGTTTTGATCAGCCATATGGTATCTGATTACATGTACCTGTTAACATTCCTCAACTCCCCACCCCTACCTACCTCATAGTTGGGTACACATCCGTTTTTCTGAAGTATAATAATAATGATAAATGCATAGCTAAATTTTTGTGTACATTGATAATTTTCTCCGTGTAATTATTTGTGTGGGGGCATGCACGTGCTGGTTCTAGGGCTTGAACTTAGAGCCTAGGCAGTGACCTTGAGCTTTCTTTTCTTTTCTTTTTGTCGGTCGTGGGGCTTGAACTCTGGGCCTGCGCGCTGTCCCTCAGCTCTTCAGCTCAAGGCAAGCGCTCTACCACTTCAGCTACAGTGCCACTTCAGGTTTTCGAGTGGTTTACTGGAGATAAGAGTTTCACAGACTTTCCTGCCCGGGCTGGCTTTGAACCACGATCCTCAGATCTCAGCCTCCTGAGTAGCTAGGATTACAGGTGTGAGCCACCGGCGTCGGGCTACCCTGAACTTTCTTGCTCAGAGTCATAGCTCCACTGCTGGCATTTTGGTGATTAATTGGAGACAAGTGTCTCACAGATCTTCTTTCCAGGGTTGGTTTTGAATCGTGATTCTCAGATCTCAGCCTCTTGAGTGGCTAGGATTACAGGCCTGAGCCAATGGTGTCCAGCTTCTCATGTAAAAATGTAAAAGTAGAATTTCTGGATCACAAAGCAGACATACTTTTAAAGCTTTAAATATGTATGTTATAAAAACTGCTCTTTGAAAAGTTGTAAGAAAGTAAATGGCTGGATTATAAGTATTAAGAGCAAGAGTTAATATTTTTAATATTTAAAAAAAAGAATTAAAATAATAAAAACCAACATGAGTAGAATAACAAAAAGAATGAATAACAAAAAACGACCAACAGAACCATATGAAATATGTTGAACATTATAAAGATCCAGGAAATACAAAATCCAACACAAAATATTCCATAGTGAAAACTGGGAAAAACATGTTTTTTTAAAGCACTCAAAAGACATATGAAAAATATGCTTTGTTTCTGGCTAGTTGTAAATTTAGATGCAATCAGCCTTCCGGAAGGACAATACTAGGACATATTTGAAGAAAGTTTAAAATACATATACTAATGAGGGAAGTAGCTGAGGGGTAGAACACTTGACCAGAATGTTCAAGGTCCTGGAAGTTCCATCTCCTGTGCTAAGCTTTTCGATCTCTTGCCATTTATTTTAACCTTGACATTTCTTGCAAAGACCTACATGTCCATGGCAGCAAAGTCAAAATTACAGAGAAAAAGGAAAAACAAAGCCAAGGCCAGACTAAAAGCAGGAAGATGTCTACACTGATTTGTCTAGACACCCTACAGCCTTGCTGGGTTTGGGAAGAAGCACAATGAACAGAGAAGTACCAGCTAGGAATGGTGGCACATGCTTATAACCCCAGATACTCAAGAGGTACAAGCAGGAGGATTCTGAGCTTGAGCCCCTACCTCCAACCCCAGGCAAAGTTACCAAGTCTTGATAATTGGGGGGCATAACTCAAGTGGGAGAGTGTTTGGCTAACAAACATGAGGAGGCCCTGGGTTCAATTCCCAGTACTGCAAGAAAACAAAGAAAAGAAAGAAAGAGAGGGAGAGAATGGGGGAAGAGAGAGAGAAAGAGAGGGAGAGGGAGAAGGAGAGAATAAGAAAATGAGAGAGCATGAGAGGGGAAGAGAGAGAGAGGTCTTATTCAAATCTTAAGTTCCAATGTACCAAAGGAAAAAAATGAGCTGATTATAATCGTCTTTGTAGAAATTTACCCTAGGGTAGTAGGAGCTTAAGAGGGGAACACAGGTTTGAACATCTAATGATGATCACTTTACAGGTTGCTTTATGATGGTTGAAAAGTTAAAATTCTGTTTGTCCCATGATACATACAGAATAACAGCATCATCGTAGATTACTGAAAATCATAAATGCCAATGTTATTTTAAAAACAACCTAGGGGTTTCTATACAATGAATACCAACTGAAAAAGATTATATACATATACTGATGTATGTTTGTGTGTATACACAGTGAAAAATAAGGAAACATATCAAATTTCCATGTTTATCTCTTTCATGTTTATCAAGTGCAATAGCACTTGAACTTAACTGGCAAGTAGGGGAGCAACTCCTCATCCTTGTTCTAGACATGAGTGGAGAAAAATGCTGATAAAGCAGAGCCTTTGACTCAAAGAATGTGAACCTTCCCCAAAACTTATTGTTTTCACTATCCTTACTATTCAATTTTCCTGAAAATAAATCTGCCCCTTAGCCCACAAAAGGACAATAATGCTGTCCAGCTGCCCAAGTGCACAAGAATCAGTCACAAACACATGATCACTGTGTTTTCTGTCTGTGAAAGACAGCCTTAAAAGCACTCTAGAAACTAGAAAACATAAAGCAATATCTAGCTCTGGGCTTCTCATCTCACCTTGCAACTTAGGATGCCTTTTCAAGAGATACCTCTGAGAAAGAAAAATGGAAGGGCAGGCCATCTCCATAGAGCAATTTGTCTACACGAGCATTTTGCATAGCTCAACCAAACTTCATTCTCCTCAGACTGGACACACAACCAGGCCCTGCCAGTCAGGGGTTCTGGGTAAGACCTGTGGTGCCCATGTGTGTTACCTGGAGGAAGTTCTGGCTGGAGATAATGAGAGCCAGCTGGGCACTGAGGTCTTCCGCTTGAGCCTGGCTCCCTCTCACCCCTTGTACCAGCTGGGGGATGTGATCAGCCACAGCCTACAGGAAACAAGGAGACAGGTACTGAGCACAGACAATGCATTGGTAGCAGGCTTCAGGTCCTAGCACCATTACTGTCATTGCTGATGAAGGTGCCCGGTGCATGATGGTACAAATCTGTATTCCCACCTCTGTGGGAGGCAGAGAAGAATTGCAGTCTGAAGTTGACTCTGGCAAAAGTGTGAGACCCTATCTGAAAAATAGACTAAAACACAAAAGAACTAGGGGGGAGTGGCTCAAGAGGTAGAGTATCCATTTAGTTCTGAGTACTGCCAAAAAAATAGAGAATTAAAAAAAAAAGATAACAGTGCCTAGTGCATCCTGGCCTGCTGGTATATCTCCCCCCCCCAATCCACTTTAGTAAGGGTTAAAAATACTTCCATGGAAATGTCCCCTGACCCTTTCCTGGACTGCTGCTTACAGTAATTTGCTCTACTTGGCCCTGTTCACCTGAACCTCATTAACAGCACACCTCTCACTTCCTGGCAGTGACACTCAGATACCTAGTATCTTTAGTATCTTTGCAGAAGAGGGATGGAAGGCTCACGGTGGATCATGTCCCTGGATACAGGCGTCATGCTCTCTCTGAGAAGGGGAAAGACTATTTTCCTACTCCTTTCTAGTAGCTGAATTGAGGCCCAAACAGGAAAGAATACCGTACAGCGAAGGTTCTTACTCTCAGCAAGACCTTTTCCTTCCATAAGCTGCCACGCACTAGAGGCTCAGGAACCAGTCAAAGCCAGGACAAGATGGGGCAGTGGGGATGGGATGGGGAGCGAGGCCACAGGGGAGTGTCTTCCAAAAAGACACTCTCTTCCTCCCAGAGGACATCTCAGTCCTCCACTTGGAAGCAGGACCACAGAGCTCAAGGTGATCCCCCACTCCAAAGCAGGACAGTGACACCTTTCATGCATGAGTCATTAGAGGAGATTTGAAGGAGAGGAGCAGCTAGCTCTCCTTACCCAGGTCCAATCACATGCCTGTCATAGGCCCAGTTGATATACCTATACTTTCAGTATATCTCTAGCCAGAGATACTGCCCTAGCAGGCAAGGGCTCTGAAAGTAAAGGTTGTGACTGGCATCATGCACAGGTCTCTCAGAACAGTCAAATCCCTGGGCTCAAAGAGAGGGCGACAGAGGTGTTTGTAGGAAGCTGTTTCAACGAAGCATGGATGTCTGGGTCTTGGGATATGGACAAATGGACAATAACAGTAAAACCCAAAGCACAAGGTCAGAGGGGCAATAAATTCTCCAGGTAGAATTAGGAGAACGCAGGAAATTCACCTGCTAGAACTAATCTTTCCAAAAGAGAGAAGTAAATGCTTCCCTTACTATTTCAGAGTCTTCAAGGACTCCTCATTGGTTCGCTCTGATTAAAACCTCCTAGAAAGAAGGAGGACAAGGGGAAGACAATGACTTCATAGACTTAGCAGACAAAACCCAGACCTGGAATTGGAGCTGGAAGAAACTGTATTAGAAGCCCTTAAGACCTGTCTTAACTCAATTACAGACATATGGCCTGCTAATGCTATCAGCCATCTACAGGTGACCAGCATTTTGTGTGTGGCAACCTCACCTTGCAGCTCTGGACTAGCTGCTGCTGGGCTGCAGGGTTCTTGTTGGAAACAGCAGCATTCTGGGAGGCCGCAATGGTCTGGGTGGCTGCAGCTGCAGCCTGCTTGGCAGCAACCTAGAGAGGAAAGGAGACAGGTAAGTCCTAAAAAGGCAAATACATATACATGCATGCAAGCCACAGGGCTGGGGTGTTGGGTGTCCATTGAACAGATGATTCTATATATTTTTTTAAGTTGGCCATGGGGCTTGAAGTCAGGGCCTGGGCTCTGTCCCTGAGCTTTTTCCACAAGGCTAATACAACACCACTGTGAGCCACAGCTCTACTTCTGGTTTTCTGGTGGTTAATTGGAGATAAAGAGTCTCATGGACTTTCCTGCTCAGGCTGGCTTTGATACATGAGCCTCAGCTCTCAGCCTCCTCAGTAGCTAAGATTATAGGCAGGAGCCACTGTCACCTAGCTGGATTCCAATTCCTTCAAAAAATTTTTTTCTTTGTGTATACCAATACTGGGGCTTGAACTTAAGACCTGGGTACTATTCCTTAGCTTTCCCACTCCAAGCTGGATCTTTACCACTTGAGCCACAGCTCTACTTCTGGCTTTTTTTTTTTGCTGGTTAATTGGAGATTTTAGTCTTATGGACTTTCCTACCTCAGGCCAGCTTCAAATTGTGCTCCTCAGATTTCAGCTTCCTGAGTAATTAGGATTATAAGAGTGAGCCCCCAGCACCCAGCCTCTACCTTCAAAAGGCAGTAATGGTTTGGTCTGGCCTGGCCCTGGCTACCTTGCTTGGGTTTTTTTTTTTTTTTCCCACAATGCCTGCCCAGAGGCTTGGTTCAGACATGCTGAGACTGTCCCCTTGGGGTACATAATTGGGTTCATTCTCTCTTCTCCTTCAAAGAGCATCGAGGTCAATTTTCTTCCAGGACACAGCAGACTGCACAAGGATGAATGCCCGTGCAGACAGGCAGTTAACCCAGCCTCCATTCCCTCACATTTTAGAGTTGAGTCCCCTGTGAATGTTCGCAAAAGCAAATATTTATTTACACAGTGTGTGCCTATTGCTAGTTTCAACTCTGGTCAGAATAAATATTCTGAAAATACCAAAAGTAGTTCATCTCACTCTCTTCCATACTCCTCTACTGAATCATGCTTCCTATCCTATCTTCCACAGACCGTATTTTCTACAGGAGCCCTAGGGAAAAAAAAGTCAGAGCTGCTGACAAAATAGAAAATGTTTTCAGTACACGTCCTTTTTGAATGTGTACATCCTAAAATGCAAAAGAATTAAAAAGAAAATAAGGAAATCTCAGTTTCTCCTTAAAAAAAAAAAGCTTGTGTTAATTAGCTTTTGTCTGAATGTTTTTGTACTGTCCTAGGGCTTGAACTCAGGGCCTGGGCACTGTCCCTGAGCTTTTTGTACAAAAATCCAGTGCTCTATCACTTGAGCCATACCTCCACTTCATGGTTGGTAGTTTATTGGAGATAAGCATCTCACAGACTTTCCTGCCTGGGCTGGCTTTGAACTGAGATTCTCAAATCTCAGCCTCCTCAGGAGCTAGGATTATAGACATGAGCAATGGGTGCCAGCAAGATGTTAGCTTCTGGAGAACCACAAACTGAAGCCATTTTTCAAATTGTGTAAATACTTCTAAAGTACCTAAGCCAACCATCAAGGATATTGATTTTTATTTAGCTTTTTTTATATGGGCATTATTTTAAAAAAATGCAAGTAACTCTTTGCAATCTAAAATGGGAATCTGAGAAGCTAGTAAGTCTCTTTCCTGACCTCCAGCCGGTTGACAATTTTTTTCTTAATTGCGTTCTGGGCGGCAGCATTTGTTGCTACCCGGAGACCTTCTGCAGCTTCTCTCAGCCTCTGCTGCTGGTCTTCATTCTCTGGGTTAGCTGCAGCCCCCTGCAAAGGTAAAAATGAAGATTTCAAATGGTCCAGAGGCAGCATGTCCCACTCACTGAACGCATGACTTTAATGTTACTTTTTCCTGGATGGTAAAGCAATACTGAAAACAATATCTTCATGGCAAAGATGTTCTCCTCAGAGCAAAAATCAGGGGCTGATATCTAGCTAAATGGTATCTGGCTCATGGTAATAATTAAACACTATTGATCACTCAGTCACCGACACAAATCACCCTGAACCCAGATACCAGGGTCTTAACAGACATGAAGATATTACATATCATCCCATTAATAATACAGATTTTATGTTTCTATGTATCAGCTCAAAAGAAATTCAATGCCAGTAAAAAGAAATCCATTTTACTCCTACCAAGTTTGTATTTATTTATTTTATTCTATTAGTGTGTGTGTGTGTGTGCGTGTATGTGTGTGTATGTGGCGTATATGTGTGCCATTCTTGGAGCTTCAAATCAGGTCCTTGTGTTCTCACTTAGCTTTTTCACTTAAGGCTGGTGATCTACAACTTAGTCATAACTCCACTTCCCTGAGTTTATTTTTATTTATATATTTTTCTGTCCTAATGCTGGGGTTTGACTTTAGAGCCTGGGCACTGTCCCTAAGCTTCTTTTGCTCAAGGCTAGCACTCTACCACTTGAGGCACAGTTTCACTTCTGGCCTTTTCTGAGTAGCTTATTGGAGATAAAGGATTTATGGATTTTCTCCCAAGGCTGACTTCAAACCGCGATCCTCAGATCTTAGCCTCTAGAATAGCTATGATTCCAAGTATGAGATACCGGCTCCTAGCACCTGAGTTTATTTTTACACAGGATATAACAGGGCCTGGAATTTCTGCTATTAGTATGGACAGCTGTCCCAGCATCATTTATTTTGTACAGAAGGGTAACTATGGTTGGCAACCACTTTCTATCAATTGAGAAGTTTATTTTTTAATGCTTTGAACACAAAGAAATGACAAATGGTCTGGAGGAGTGGGGTATGATTTTTAAAAAAATATTTTAATTATATATATACATATATATACATATATATTTGTCCAGTCGTGGGCCTGAACTCTGGGCCTGGGCACTGTCCCTTAGCTCTTCAGCTCAAGGCTAGCGCTCTACCACTTGAGCCACAGCACCACTTCTGGCTTTTTCTGCTTATGTGGTGCTGAGGAATCAACCCCAGGGTTTCATGCATGCAAGGCAAGTGCTCTACCACTGAGCCACCTTCCCAGCCCCAGGGGTATATCTTATTACACAGTGTATACAGGCATTCAAATATCATACACGTGTAAGTATGTACCAAGTTGAAATTTTCACTTAAAAAGTATAAACATGTTGGCATCAGTGGCTCACGCCTGTAATTCTAGCTACTCAGGAGGCTGAGATCTGTGGATCACAGTTCAAAGCCAGCCCACACAGGAAAGTCTGTGAAACACTTATATCCAAATTAACAACCAAAAAGCTGGAAGTGGAGCTATAGGTCAAGCAGTAGAATGCTGGCCTTGTGCAAAAGAAGTTCAGGGACAGTGCCTAGTCCCTGAATTCAGGCCTTAAGACTGGCATGCGTGCACGCACACGCACGCGCGCGCGCGCACAAACACACACACACACACACACACAAATGGCTGTGCAGATAAATCTCTCCTTTCCCTGTCTCTCTCAGGGAACTAATGATGCACATGTCTTCATGGCATTGTGGAAACATTTTGTTACACAGGTACATATAAAGGTGGAGACTCTAGTAAACGCACAAGGGTTAGGACAGAGGGAGCACCAGGGATGGGGAGGGAAGAAGGGGGGGACTGTGTTCCAAATAGATGGTAAGAGAAGGCTATTAAAGGCTACATGTAGGAATTGCTTTCTTGGAGACTCTGAGTTGGAGGGTAGAACATCTCTCTTCCCTACGTCCCTTCTCCAAAGACTCAATCCCTCATAAGAGCAAGAAAGGTTCAATGTATGTCACAACATACTTAAAATGAATTTACAAGTTTAGTTGCCACAAGTCTATTCCAACAGAGCCAGGGAGATAGGATACAATGTGGATATGTATCATGAATCTTATATTCATAGAGATTCTTTAAATATGTTATTGCAGGGACTAAAAGTAGAAGGTGATTTTTACACTCTTTTCAATCCGTATCTGTATTTTCTATTAATGGCAGAAGATATGTTTATATAGAAGCACAGAGAAATATGGGCTGATCCATTCAAGAGTCCTTACTAGAGACAGGCTAGCACATTCCTTAGAGATCGAAGCATGATCTTGAGCTGGAAATGAGAGAAATGCATTTTGCTTTTTTGGTTGTCATGGAGCTTGAACTCTGGGCCTGGGTCCCTGAGCTCTTCAGCTCAAGCCACAGTGCCACTTTGGAGATACGAGGAGGTAACATTGCTCAGTAGGAAATATACTCATTACCCTACTGTAACCCCTCTGTACAGTATTTTTAAAACTATATATATATATATATATATATATATATATATATCTCACTGGCTTAAAGCCAGGCATCCCCATGCTATGTCTGTAATCCTAGGTACTCAGAAGGCTGAGATCTGAGGATTGTGGTTCGAAGTTAGCCCAAGTAGGGCTAACTATCTCCAATTAGCAACCAAAAAGTCACAGTGGATCTATGGTTCAAGTGGTAGAACACTAGCCTTGAGCCAAAATAGCTCAGGCACAGTGCCCAGGTCCTGATTTCAAGCCCTAAAATGAACAGAGAGAGAGAGAGAGAGAGAGAGAGAGAGAGAGAGAGAGGGAGGAGAAACACTGACATTTAGAAACACCAGTTCTAACATGTACAATACTTATTCTTTTTTTCCCCCTGCCAATACTGGGTTGGCAATATGAACTCAGGGCCTTGTACTTGCTTGCTTGGGTTGGCACCCTACCACTTGGGCCATGCCCTCAGCCTTGTTTTGTGCTGGTTATTTTGAAGGTAGACGGTTACTGACTTTCTGCCTGGGCTGGCTTCAAACCAAGATCTTTCAGATTTGACCCTCTTGAGCAGCTAGGATTACAGGCATGAGCCTCTTACACCCAGCTGCCAAAATGTAACTCTTAGCTCAAAGCTTCATACAAGGTGAGCATCCTTAGTCCGGAAATCTGAAATCCAAAATGTCCCCAAAGTCTGAAACTCTTTGAGAGCCAATACGCTGCTTAGAAGATGAACCTCAGATTTCTGGATGAGGGATGCTCAACCAGTGAAGTCTTTGTAAATATCTCCAAATCCAAAAAGCTCTGAGATCTGAAACATTTTTGGTCCCATGTATTTTAGGTAAAAGATCACTGACCTATTATAATGTTGAAAATTGCTGCTAGCATGTAAGGAACAGGGATAAGGCAATAACTAAAACCATGATAGGAGTTAAGAAGTCAAGTGGAGGGTAAGGTCACACTGAGGCTGGAGAAAGAGAAGTTGTAGGTGTTTCGCTGTCTGCTGCTGGGTGAACATCTCTGCCTCCACTGAAGAGTATCTTCTACATGTCCAACGATCTACTTTGCTACCTGCCTTAGGTCAAATGTTCCAGAGCCATACATGTTTCAGCAAAAAGTCTCTCTGACTATCCTCCTCCTTGATCTTGCCTTCCAAATCCTTACACTTAGTCAAGTTCTTTGGAAAACCCAGTGCAATACCTTCGCAGCTTCTACCATGCGAGCAGTGGAGTCTGCCAGGAGCTTTGCTGCTGCCAGGAGCTTCTTCGAATTCTCCATGTCGATTTCTGCTTCTGCATCGGACCTCATGGCATTGACGAGATCAGAAGTGGCCTGGGCTAGGACCCGGGCCTGGCGTACCATTTCACCTAGAGGATGAGACAGAGGATACAGGCTGTTTGTCTGCCTTCCAAAGTGGACACAAGTCTCACCAACAGGTAAGGTTGTTCCTTTACCTCTCAGGCAAGGAGGATAGAAGGAAGAGAATCTCTAGGATCTACTTCTAAAAATGCACTTCATTCTTTTTTTTTTCTAGTCCTGGGATTTGAACTCAGGGCCTGGATGCTGTTTCTGAGCTTCTTTTGTTCGATGCTAGCACAATCCCACTTGAGCCACAGCTCTGGCTTTCTGGTAGTTAACTGGAGAGAAAAGTCTCATGGGCTTTTCTGCCCCTGCTGGCCTTGGACTGTGATTCTCAGATCTTAGCCTCCAAAGCAGAGCAATGCACTTCTAAGCAAATCACACTCAGAGCTGAAAATTCCCTGTGTTGCCTGGACCCCACCTCCCATTTAAGTACATTTAAGTCCAATCTGTGTCTATGAGGAACAGACATGATGATACAAGTAACCAGAGAGAAGCATCTTCTAAAGAGAAGGCAAGGAGCAAATTACAAGGGTTTACTTTTAGTAAGTACTTATTTAGGAAATGGTTTATCTCACTTTTTTATACAAAAGCCCCTATAATAAACTCTTTGAGCAATGTACATAGGGTAAATTTAGCTTTAAATTTTGGGATTTGCATGCTATCATCCAACAAATGAGTAATACCACACCATCTACTTTGTGCCATGAGTTCTCACTGAGAAGAATATGGACTCCGGGTTCAGGCTAAGGTGCAAAGGAGATTCTCAGCCCATGCTTTCTCACAACATCTCCCTGGCTCTCCTCCTTTTTTTTTTTTAGGAGTAGTTTGGATTTTTGCCTTATGTGCCTGCGATTTTATTTTTACTGAAATTAGGAGATTGTTATCAATCATCATTAAAAAAATAAAACACCCTGCTGCCAATAGCTCACAACTGTAATCCTAGCTACTCAGGAGTCTGAGATCTGAGGACTGAGGTTCAAAGCCAGCCCGGGCAGGAAATTCCATGAGACCAATTAACCACCAGAAAATTAGAAGTAGAGCCGTGGTTTAAAGTTGGTAGAGTGTTACCTTGAACAGAACAGGAACAGTGCTGAGGCCCTGAGTTCAAGCCCCATGACCAAAATAAATAAAAAAAAATAAACGAATAAATAAAACTACTCCCTGTCAAGGACTTATTCTTCTTGCAAAGGTTCTTTGACAAGAATACTGCAAAGCTGTAATATTAAGGGGAAAGAAAAAACTTTGATCAATGGGTTGATTGATTAATTGTGTTACTGGGGTTTGAACTCAGCCAGGTACTCTCCCACTTAAGCCATACTTCCAGTCATGTTTTGCTTCATTTGTTGTTGTTGTTGTTGTTTATAGATCTTGTACTTTTTGCCTGGTTTGGCCTTGAACCATGTTCCTCTTATCTATACCACCCAAGCAGTTCTGATGATAGGAAGGAGACCCTGTGCCCTGTGAAAAAAAGTCTTTTATACACATAAAAGTATGCTGAATTCAGTGCTGGGTCTAAGTTAGATTCTAGGACAGTAAAAAGACATGAATGGAAAAACTAGTGAAATGCAAACACTGTCTATAGTAAATAGTAACATACCAAAGCCTACCTCCTACTTTTAACAAATGTACCATGAATGAGTGAAGCTGTTTGAAATAGAGGAAACACAAAGCTCTGGGGGGAACTCTGTTACCACTGCATTGTTTGGTAAACCTGGAAGTATTAAGAAAAATAAAAGATTTGTGCAAACACCAAAATAGAAAAAAAAAACCCACAAGATCTAATTCTACAGAGAGTCCTATTTTGTTAAATTATTTAAAAAGAATGCAGAAGAACTTAAGGTAATTTTCTTATCTTTTCAAGAATACTACTGTGGTATCACTTTTGTAAAGGCCAAACAAATTTGAAAACCAGCTAAGTGTCTATTAAATGGTAAGTGGTAGCTGTGTACTGGTTGCAATCCTAGCTATTCAGGAGACTGAGCTCTGAGGACAGTGGTTCAAAGTCAGCCCAGGCAGGTAAATTTGTGAGACTCTTATCTCTATTTAACCATCTAAAAGCCAGAAGTGGAGCTGTGGCTCAAGTGGTATAGCACCAGTTTAGAGAGAAAAAGCTCAGGATGGCAGCCAGGCCTTAAGTTCAAACCCTAGGACTGGTATAAATACACAAAAAAGAAGGTAACTGGGCCTGGGAATGAATGTATTTGCTAGCAGGGAGGAAGAGATCCAAAGAATCATGGGTTGAACACAGCCTGGGAGAAATGTTAATAGAAAATAGTATTTATAATACAATTCTATTCAGATTAACAGTATGAAAACCTCCTTATCTCATACACAACTGTGGGAAGGTCAGGATATTGGGGTAAATGAGTAGATTTGAACTTCCCTTGTGGCAGTTGGGGAAACGATGATATGTCAACTCTGTCCTCTTGCAGCCATTTTATAACATATATACCTTATAACATGTTGCATACCATAAATATATAAGATGAGTAAGTGGGCTGGGCACCGATGGCTCATGCTTGTAATACTAGCTACTCAGGAGGCTGAGATCTGAGGACTGAAGTTCAAAGCCAACCCAGGCAGGAACATGTGACATTTTTTTTTAAATCTTCAACTATCCAACAGAAAGCTATCAGTGGTAAATATCAGCCTTGAGCAAAAAAGCTAAGTGAAAGTGCAAGGTCTTGAGTTCAAACTCCAGTACCAACATACACATTTAAAACAGAAGATAAAAATCAGTAAGTGGTTGATTCTTGGGACCTAGAGGGCAGTGACAGGCTGAGTCTAGGGTTGAAAAACTGTACTGTTTAAGTTTAAATGTACATAGTACTCACAGTACAGTCCATTATGATGCTCTGTCTGCATCTCCCCAGTACAGGCTTAGTCTAGGTGTTCCCCTTGCTTCTTCCTGTTCCTCTGACCACCTTGATATTTTCCCCTGTGTCCCTATGTGGCATGCCATGACCCCCTCTGGGCAACCTGTAAGTAGGATAAACTTCTTTGTGTGTGTGTGTGTGTTGGTTGTGGGGCTTGAACTCAGGGCCTGGGTGCTGGCCCCAAGTGCCTTTGCTCAAGGCTAGTACTCTACCATTTTGAGCCACAGCTCAACTTCCAGTGTTTGAAGTGTTAATTGGAGATAAGAATCTCACGGATTTTCTTGCCCAGGCTGACTTTGAACCACAACCCTCAGATCTCAGCCTTCTGAGTAGCTAGGATTGCAGGTGTGAGCTACCAGCACCTGGCTGAGGAGAAACGTCTTTATTCCAAAGCTTGTTCCTGTTTCTTTTGGTGGCTATTTTGACTTTACAATATTGCATCCAACAAGAGTGATTTTTAGAACAAAAGAGGTTTACTGTGAATCTCCACGCTAATAAAAAACCCAGTTCAAGTCTAAGGTGTGAGTTAGGACTCCCGTGTCTTTTTCTGAGCCTCAGTGGGAGACTTGGACCAAGGCTGATAAGAACTTGTCTTCACCAGTTACCCTGGTGAACTTTGCTTTTCCTCATCGCCATGCTGGACCCCCCCAAACTCATCTGCTCCCCACACCCAGGTGTCTCACCTGCATCGCCCATGGAGCTGAAGATGCTTTCAGTGACACACATGATCGTGTCAGTGGCCTGGTCGTAGCGGCCAATGGGCTCTCCTCGGCTGGCGAATTGGCGCACATGCTGCAGGAGGTCGTGCAGGGCCTGGCTGACCACGCTGGCGGCAGCACTGACCTGCTTCAGGAGCTCACTGTCCCCAGTGGCCGCCTGGCAGGCCCGAACACAGTTCTCCACCGATCGGTCCACCAGCTTGCCTGCCTCGATCAGCTGCTCCTGGCACACTGGGGAGCTGATGGTTGGGCTCACGACCTGAGCAAAACAGAAATAAGGCTTGGCTGCTGCTGGTGATGTCTAGTCCCCAGTACACCCTCTATCTCCCTTAAGCCCTGGGTCTTGGTTCCTCAGAGTGTCAAGAATGCACCCAAACTACTGCTATGGCTCTTCACATTGCACTGATAGCTTTATGAGTTTAGATGTCCTGACAATTTACATCCACAGAGAAGTTTCTGAAAGCTCCTTCCTCTTAGGATCTCTGCAGTGAGTCTTGTAGGCTCACTATCTGAAAGACTTTCATTTGTTTTAGCACCTGGCCCACTGCTATAAGGTACTTTAAGAACCAGGGGGAGGGGCTGGGAAGGTAGCTCAGTGGTAGAGTGCTTGCCTTGCATGCCTGAGGCCCTGGGTTCGATTCCCCAGCACCACATAAGCAAAAAGAAAAAAAGCCAGAAGTGGTGCTGTAGCTCAAGTGGTAGAGCGCTAGCCTTGAGCTGAAGAGCTGAGGGACAGAGCTCAGGCCCAGAGTTCAGGCCCCACGACTGGACCCCCCAGCCCCCCCCCAAAAAAAAAGAACCAGGGGAATCACATGACCTTTCTGAGGATTTTGGCAGAGTGGTCATAGCAGGCAGGAGAGAGACCATGGAGGTCACCTTCAATTGCAATTGCATATCCTACCAAGGACAGGAAAAAATGACATATTGGGCAGCTCACAGGTCAATGCAGCATGAGACAGCATGAAGCCCAGAAATGGATTTTTTTTTCTTTTTTTGCCAGTCCTGGGGCTTGAACTCAGGGCCTGGGCACTGAGCTTCTTTTGCTCAAGGCTAACACTCTAACACTTGAGCCACAGCACCACTTCTAGCCTTTTCTGTTTACGTGGTACTGAGGGATCAAATCCAGAGCTTTGTGCATGCTAGGCAAGCACTCTACCACATTCGCAGCCCACAACCCATGTTTTGGGAAGACAGGAGTAATGGAGTGGAAAGGGCACCTGGGGCCACGCAGACCTGAGGTATCACCACAGTTCTGACACTTATTCTTTCTGTGATCACTAGCTCCTTACTAACATCTGACAGTCTCAGGTTGCTTGTCAGTAAATGAACGAAGGATGCTGGAGCTCTTGCAGGGCTGCTGGAATTGCTGACAGGGTGATGTATGACACAAAGTGGGCCTATCTTAGAATAATTCACACCCTTGCTTGGGCACTGCAGGGTGGGAAGAACTCCCCAAGAAGCTCTGGATTATGTTTTTGAGCCTGTTTATAATGCTGTACCATACAATGCAAAGACTTAATTCTATGTACTGCAAATACAATGCATGGAGATGTCCAGAGGGGTGAAAATGATTTGCATATAAAAATGACTGAGAGCCAGGCACTGGTGGCTTACATCTATCATCCTACCTACTCAAGAGGCTTAGGTCTGAGGATTGTGGTTCAAAGCTAGTCAGGGCAGAAAAGTCTATGGGATTCTTATTTTCTAGTTAACCCACAAAATGCTCTATTACAGGTGTGGCTCGAATGGTGAAATGCCAGCCATGAGCAAAAAGGTGAGAGGAAAAGTGCCGGACCCTGAGTACAAGCCCAGATATCAACACACAAACACACTTGCACACAAATGTACACCACCCACATGCACAACATCTCCCTACACACATGCATACACACACACACACACACACACACAAATAGACGTAAGAAAAGAAACCAACTTCCCAAGGACTTGGGCAAAGAGTAAATGATAAAATCAGGATTAGGCAGCTTATGCCCAAATCCTATCATGTCACCTGAAAGAAGACACTCTAAAACTCTTTGTGCACATTCTGCCCCAGAAGGAAGGATCAAGATGACAGCTGGCTTACCTTGGCACATGCCACAAGCTGGGATGTGGAAAGGGCACACTGAGTAGCAGCTGCGATCACCCTGTTCTGTAGGACGGTATCTTCTGCCACTTGGGCAACATTCTTTGCCTTTAACACCAACATGGCGGCTGCATTGGCAACAGCTTTGGCCAAACTCATTAAAACATCCTAAGAAAAAGAGATCAAAGACCAATTCATTTTTGTAATCAGATCCAACAGCTTAAAAATATGACTTAGTATCCACCTAGACAGCTTATTAAAATTCTATCCTTTCCCACAGTATTTTAGATTTTTTTTTCATTTATTTTTGACAAGTCAACTTATCCCATCCTTAAAAGCAATAGGGAAGCCAGGTGCAGGTGGCTCACACCTGTAATCCTAGCTACTCAGGAGGCTGAGATCTGAGGACTGCGGTTCAAAGCCAACCTGGGCAGGAAAGTCTGTGAGACTCTTTTCTCCAATAAACTACTCAGACAAAGTCAGAAGTGGTTCTGTGTGGCTCAAGTGATAAAGCACTAGCCTTGAACAAAAAGAAGCTCAGGGGGAGAGCCCAAGCCCAGAGTTCAGGCCCCAGGTCTGGCAAAAAGAGGCTTGCATCCTAGTAACACAGTTTCTTCCTACATCCATTAAGATGCATAGGTTTAAATCTAAAATAGGATCATTTGAGGGAAGGACATTTATTTTAACCACTGATATACATTTATATCCTTAGTCACACTGAGTCTTGAGCACATCTCTCTAGGTGATTGATGCAGTGAGTCAGGAGATACTGAAAATATATTCAGATGGCACAAACACCATGTGCTAGAGGCAGGCTATAATTCATAGCCTCCAAATCATCATGCCCCAGTGTAAGCTGAAGATTTATTTATCTTTTGGGTTTCTAGTTTGCACAGGAATCCAAGTTATCATCCAAAAGTCAACCACAGCTCTGCCTCTAGGGGGCAGTGTTTGATATGCACAAATAGCTGGCATATATATATATATATATATATATATATATATATATATATATATATATATATATATATATAAAATGGAGAGCCAAGAAATGCCCTGAGCATAAGTTGTTTTCAGCCTTGGTCTCCTTCTAGATAGGGATTAAATTCCTATGGAAAGTGGAAAGAGAAGCCATAAATAAAAACTAGTGGCAAGATTCTCTGATGGAAGATGCTCAGGCACTGGTCATTTAGAGCTAAGTTCATGCTTCAACTCAATAAATCTTATGCTCTCTATCAGATCTGGCCTACCAGATAGATTGTCACCCCTGGGCTTGACCTGAAGAATAACTGTGGATACATTTCATTCACTTCTTTGCTTTTTATGTGGCAAGTCATTTATTTGATTGAGAAATAACTTTGCAAATATATGAGGCATTGTTATTTTGAGTAAACATGTCAAGGCTTCCCCTGGACCCTCCCCAAGGAAATATAGTCAGAAGTCTTATTAATTCCTCAGCTAATATAAAGTGCTTTTGGTTTGAAATGAAAGGGCACTCACAGAGTCTTTACAATGATATAGTTGATGAGAAACTATATTGGGAAGAGGGTTTGGGCTGGACAATTTTACACAGTTAAAAGACTGTGTAAAGCAGGATACCCTGAAACTCATATGAATAGACCAGCAAAGCTGGTTGTAAAATGGACACAAACCAGGTGGTCTTAGAAGAACAGTTTCATCCAGTCTGTGATGGCCCCTGGGTATTCAAGGGAAATGCCTGTGAGTCTGAAAGTGAAGGAGCTGGCTACTTGTTTGTCACATCACTTTTAGGAGCTGCTCCTAATGCAGCCAGCTTATGGTTCTTGGACATCAATTTTAAAGTTCAATGTAAACAGCCTGAGTGTCAAAAATTACTAAAAAGCTTTTTAAAACATCACTTCCCAGAGCAGGTCAGATTATCCTTTCTCTTACAGATGAATCCATCTTTTCAAAGAAGAATTAGGATTTCGTCAAGTAGAGAAGATTGTTCTAAAGGGCTTTGTTAGAATCTTTTAAAGAAATCCCATTCCTCTTATTAATTTTATCCAAAACAAATACAGTTGGAAAAAAAGAATGTGATAGGACAACTATAGTTGCTGACAAGGCCTTTGTCAAACTTTTCAACAAGACTACTATTATGTAGCTCATGTAAAATAAACCCTTGTTAACTCTGGGAGAACACACAGTACATTGAAAACCCAAAGAAAGTCTATGATGGGATCTCAAGACTCAAGACTTTGAAAAACAGCTCAAGAAATTGAACATCACTAAGTCAGGGGCTTTGCATGCCTGGCATAGGCTGAGACTTACCTTACCATGCTGGCCCTTAAAAGATTTACTTTAGGAGACTTCTTTAAGGTGTTGGCTCCTACCCTAGAGACCTCACACTAACAAACATCCAAGTCACTCCGAATCTGACGGCTCCCTAAGCAAGTCTGAACAGAAACCAACCTCAGGAAGCAAGAGTTTGCATTTGAACACAATGAAAGCAATGGGTAAAAGAAAATAAAAGCCCAAAGCTTTAACAAAAATAAAAGGATGCATGGAGTATCTTAGGAAAGAGTCATGATTCAACCATATTGAATACTTTGGGGAAGGCATTATTTCTAAGCATTTTGAGATAATTTAGTCTATTTAAACAGTAGCAAAATCTTAGATGCCGAAGTCTAAGAAGGCACCTGACCATCAAGAATTACCTGCACTAGGAAGCTGTGTGCTGCTGCCTTACACCTGTAATCCTAGCTGCTCAGGAGGCTGAGATTTGAGGATCATGACTGGAGCCAGATGGGACAGAAAAGTGCATGAAGTTCTTATCGACAATCAACCAGCAAAAAGCCAGAAGTGGAGCTGTGGCTCAAGTGGTAGAACACCAGCTTTGCATGAAAAACTCAAGTGAGAATGTGAAGTCCTGAGTTCAAGCCTCACAAAAACAAAATTGCCACCCATTTAGCAAGAAAACAGAGGTCGGGCAAACAGAGGTCATTGCCACAGGAAGTAGACAAAGACAACATAAACAAAAATGCAGGAATAAAACATATTTAGAGTGTCAGGTAGTTAATCAAGTCATGCTATTTTCCTGAATTTGGTGATATTTGAGGTCATAGTTCCTTATACATTTGAGACATCTTGAGATTTTCTTGTAGATGAACATTTTGCTATCTAGTTACATGTTGCATCAAAAATTAATAATCTGGTAAAAAAAATACAATGAGGGGCTGGGAAGGTGGCTCAGTGGTAGAGCGCTTGCCTTGCATGCCTGAGGCCCTGGGTTCAATTCCTCAGCACCACATAAGCAAAAAAAGAAAAAAGCCGGAAGTGGCGCTGTGGCTTAAGTGGTAGAACGCTAGCCTTGAGCTGAAGAGCCAAGGGACAGCGCCCAGGCCCAGAGTTCAGGCCCCACGACCGGAACCAAAAAAAAAAAAAATATACAATGAAGACTAATGGCATTCTGTCATTTTCCCAAAACACATAACTAGACAGATTTGGTAAAGGACATTTTCCAGGGAGACTACTAGGGATGGATTTATGTAATTAAAGCCAAACTGCGGATTTAGGAAAAGTAGGAAAGTAAGCTGCACTGGTGCACAAATATGTGAGAAATGCTCATGAGGGCCTCTGAACCTTCTCTGTGCAGTTGGGGAGGGAGCAGACAAGTTGAGATCTTGTCTGAGCTGCTGTGGGGTCTCTGGCAGTGTCTCAGGCCAGCTGCCCACAGTGGCAACAGCTGCTGTTCACCAGGGGGAATAAACAACACATGTCCCCAGTGCTGAAAACTCGGGATCACAGGAAGACTTCCGCACACTGTGATTTTGGACAAGGCACAGGAAATAGAGCCACCTTGAATACAAAGGAGAGTGCACACTGTTGTGTGTATACGGGAGTGTACAGGCGAACATGGAATGCACACATTTTCACGCTTGCATGTGAACTCAAGAATGCTGGAGAGATAGCTCAAGAGGTGGAGTGCTGCTTTGCAAAGGTGAGCCCCGAGTTCAAACACCAGTGCCATCAAGATAAGGTAAAACAAACAAAAAAATCCCTGGTGACTATGCTGACCAAAGAGACTTGTTTGGTGTAGTTACTGGCCCAGTGAACTTCTCAGTTAAGGATTACTATGTGATTGTTTTCAAACTACTTAGTCATTACTTTGGAATCCTGTGATGACATAGATTTCAGTTTGTCTTCAATCAGGTTTATTTAAATTAATTAAATTTTTTTTTCTTTGGTGGGAGTGGGAATTGAACTTAGGGCCTTGTGCTTACAAGGTAGGTACTTGACCCCTTGAGCCATACCTCTAGCTCTTTAAACTAGTTTGCAAAGTGTCATTCATTGTTTCTTTTTTTTCTAACAATGTAATAGTTTATACACACACACTAACAACAACAACAAAACCCATGAAAATACAAACTAAAAAGGAAAGACGGTATCATTACAAAGTGCTTTCCAAGAGGAACTAAGACTGACAGGAGTTGAAAATTCTAGAGGAACAAATACAAGGTAGTTCATGTCTATTTTCTCTACTTTGGTATTTAAGAACATGCAGAAAATTGAGAAGCCATCCACAAGGCTAAATATGTGCTTTACATAGTTGGTGAAATGAGATTTTTCCAATGAGAAACTTTTATTTTATTTATTTTCCTTCTTTCTTTCCTTTTTTTTTTTTTGTTGTCAGTCATGGTGCTTGAACTCAGAGGCTGGGTGCTATCCTTGAGGATAGTACTCTACCACTTTGAGCCATACCTCCACTTCTTCTTTTCTAGGGTTAATTGGAGATCAAGAAAGTCCATGAGGGACTTTCCTGCTTGGGCTGGCTTTGAACCATGATTCTCAGATTGCAGCCTCCTGAGTAGCTAGGATTTCAGGTGTGAGCCAACGGTGCTGGCTAAGAATCTTTTAAATAAACACAAAAAAACCTCTTTTCCCAAATGATACCACCAACCCTTCTTCTTGACAGCTCAGGGAAGACTGGGTTTTCTTTCCATTACATGCTACCTGCTCAGGTCTGAACCATCACTTAGCTTCTTTTCCAAGACTGAGAAGCAGCTACGAGTATCTTACTTGGAATCGCTCATCAGTCTCATTCTCTCCGATCTGTCTCAGAAGATCTCCACTGGCTTGGCCAATGCTTCCAGCAGCTGTCAGGACGGTCTGCCGAGGCTAGGAACGATAAACACGCTTTAGTTGGAAAGAAGATGCATTTTCCCTACAGTGTCATCAGATATGACGGTGCAGACAGGACTCAACACTGGACTGGCTTCTTTCAGACATTATTGGCAACCTTGGGTTGTTTGCCAGGTTGGAGATATAAACATCCTGGTGAAACTTGTACACAGAAACACCTGGTATCCCATAAGCCAGTAAGAGGTGGGTAGGATTTTAAAATGCCCAAAGATGAGCCTCATACAACTAGTATGGAGTTGGCATGTGCTATATAAAACTTAGGGTATAAACGGTATCCCTTTTAAATGGATGCTAGTCATATGTGTTAAGTTCCTAGAATTGCAGGCATGAACGTACTTCCCATGAGGGAAGGGCTTCAAACTAAGACCTCAATCCACTCTAAAAGCAGAAGGATGACAAGTAGCTCAGAAAGTCCAAGTTTCATGGTACCCAAGGGATGGCAGCTCTCTCCTTGGCATCCGAGTGACTGCTTATCCAGGGTGCTCACCTCCCCAGAAGTAGGCTGCACAGCTTTCAGCAAGTCAGACACTGCTCCAGCGAGGGTCCGAGCGGCTCTGAGCAAGTCCTCCCCGCTGCCCACCTCATCATCCATGAGGGCTGCCAGCAGCTTCACGCCCTTGGACATCTCCGTCAGGTTGGAAGAGATCGTGGTGATGGCACAGCCCACAGCTGTGTAGTCTGTGTCAGCAGGGTCACCTGGAACAGAGAGGGACCATCACCGTCACACGAGAGGGGTGAAAAATGAGGATGAGGTAGGCCTCGCTTGGCAGGAGGTAAGTAGTGCTAGGGAGAAATCTTCAAACCCCTACCCACACTGACAGGAGCTCCTTCCCCACCATCCTGCAGGAGGCAGACAGAAACAGCCTGGAAGGATTAGTGAGATGCTCAGCTCTCACCCTGTCTCCATGGAGACCTCAATACGGTCCTTTTATCTGGAGGCTTCCTATACTGAGGTATGGAGCGAGGCTCCTTGAGAATTCCACAGGAAGTCTCAGCATCTCCTGGCCTTCTTCCTCAAGTCCTATCAGGAGTTCAGGGCTGCATATGGCTTCCTGAGCCACTTGTACAATGCAGGATGGAGCCAAACTACCTTGCAACTCTCACTTGACTGCACACAAAGCTAGGAGTCATGCTAAGTCAGGAGACTACTGCTGGACACACCAGATGAAGAGGTGGCCAGCAGATCTGTCCATTCAAGACCATTTTCAGACTGGGTAGGCACCTCAAAGGGAGAACGTGGGACCGACAGATTTTTGAAGTACTTAGGGCCATGCGCTCAGCCTTCTTGCTCATAGCTGGTGCTCTACCACTTGAGTCATACTTCCAGTCTGGCTTTTTGCTGATTAGTGGAGATAGAGACTTAGTGGACTTTTCTGCCTGAGATGGCTTCAAACTATGATCTACCAGATTTTAGCCTCCTGAGTAACTAGGATTAGAGGCATGAGGCACCAGTGCCTGGCTAATGTGTTTTTTTTTTTTTTCTTTTTCATGATGATGTATGTTCTCCAGAGAAACAATGAGATATTCCTTACATTTCTCCTGGATCATTGGGAAAAAATGTCTAGAGCAGTCTATGTGTCTAAAAATAGAATATCCTCTCAGAATATAAAAATCTGTTGTTTCAATCAAAGAATATTTTTTTTTTTCTTTTGGCCCCAAACCACAAGACACTACAAATCACCCAGAAACTTACCAGCCGTTAGGTTAACGACTGAAGCCGTTCCAGCTGTAATCGCATCAACTTGAGAATGGATTTCGTGTTTGGATTCATCCACTTTGTTCTGAACCCACACCCTAGATGCCTGCAAAGCCAGACAACAGCAGGACACAATCACAGCACAGAATTACCCAGGAGACCAGAGAAGTCACATCATAAAAAAAAAAAAAAAAAAAAAAAGACCAGCATTTTGGCTACCCTCTCTTTCCTGAGCCAGCACTGAATGGGCCCTGGAACCATCTTAAAGCAATATTCATAATAGGTCTCTTTCTTGTTCAGAGATGCAGAATGGATTATAAATCCTTTCTGGGTCTTGAACGAGGTTTTGTTGTTGCTGTCTGAAGTTTTAAAATTTTAGGGAAGAAGTTCTACATGGATTCATGTAGGTAACTTCATTTGAAAAAGAGAAAAAAAAAGTCTTCTAGTAACACTGCACATTTACACAAATGTCTGTTGGTGATTTTCACCTTGCTTTTTCAGGAGCAAGCTGAGAATTAGGGTATTTCAGCTCACAAGGACTAACTGTCATCTCAGGAAGTCTCTCTCTCTTTCTCTCTCTCTCTCTCTCTGTTAGTACTGGAGCTTGAACTCCGGGCCTTGCACTCTTGGTTGGCTTTTTTTTTTTTCTTCCCCTACTCAAGGCTGGCAATCTACCATTTGAGTCACACATCTACTTTTTGCTGGTTAATCAGAGATAAGAATCTCCTGAATTGGGGGCTGGGAAGGTAGCTCAGTGGTAGAGTGCTTGCCTTGCATGCCTGAGGCCCTGGGTTCGATTCCTCAGCACCACGAAAGCAAAAAGAAAAAAGCCGGAAGTGGTGCTGTGGCTCAAGTGGTAGAGCGCTAGCCTTGAGCTGAAGAGCTAAGGGACAATGCCCAGGCCCAGAGTTCAGGCCCCACAACTGGACCCCCCCCCCAAAAAAAAAAAGGAATCTCCTGAATTTATCTGACCAAGATAGCTTTTAATTGTGAGCTGTGGATCTTTGTCTCCTGAGTAGCTAGGATTACAGGCATGAGTCATTGGCTCTTAGCTAAAGAAGTATCTCTCTCTCTCTCTTTTTTCTTTTTGGTTGGTTGTAGGACCTGAACTCTGGGCCTGGGTGCTGTCCCTCAGCTCTTCAGCTCAAGGCTAGTGCTCTACCACTTGAGCCACAGCACCACTTCCGGCTTTTTCTGTGTGTGTGGTGCTCAGGAATTGAACTCAGGGCCTCATGCATGCAAGGCAAGTATTCTACCACGGAGCCACTTTCCCAGCTCAGAAGTATCTCTTTTTGATATAAACTGTCAAAAACAGATTTGTCTTTGATAAGCAAATGCTACTTCTTGTAGATGTGAGGCCACTCGTAGAAAGACTGAGAGGGTGGGCCAAGACCTCTGCTCTGAATCCAGTTTCACCCTAATATGTGATAGGATCTTTGGCAAATACCTACATCCTATGCCTTCTAGTGTAGGAATTTAAGTTAGCTTTTTGTCAGTCTTAGGACTTGAACTCTGGGCCTGGGTGCTGTCCCTCAGCTTTTCAGCTCAAGGCAAGCACTCTACCACTTTAGCCACATCGCCACTTCCACTGGAGATGACTTTCCTGTCCGGGTTGGTTTTGAACTGCGATCCTCAGCCTCCTGAGTAGTTAGGATTACAGGGGTGAGCCACTAGCGCCCAGTCAAATTTAACAGTTTTTAAATAAAACTATCAGTTCTTATTGGAATTTTTAAGTAGCAGCAAGTCTCTACTTTCTGGCATTTAAGGACTTACCTAACAACTGATCACTTACATTGATAATGCTGAATCTGTTGGTAAAACAATGATCGATTTCTAAAATGTCCCCCAAATATTAATCCAAGAAGGCAGGTGTCCAACACTAATAGTACTATATTGAATTCTAAACCTTTGAAACATGGTGAGGCAGGAAAGTTCTGTTTCAATATTTTAAAGCCCTGACATTGTTCTGGAAATGGGAGTTCGCCACTGATGATCACTTATTGCTTGACTTGGGAGGAGCAGTGACCCCCAGACATGGAACACAAACCAAAAACAGCCTTCAGAAATGACATGGAAGGCAGCAATCCTGGCTAGACAAGATGAAGCGGCAGATGAAGCTACAGCTTGGTTCTGGTCCCTTTCATGGCATTAGTCTGTCCTACAGCAGAGGTTTTCTACCTGACAGCCTATTAGAATCACTTAGGGATAATGATTTAAAAAAAAAAAAAGCACCCACCCACCCTGACATAGACTTATGTGGCCTGAGCTAGGATTTAAGGCTTTGTTTGTAAAGCTCCTCAGGTGATCCTAGTGGGCGAAGCCAGGAGGAAAAGAAGATGCTAGCCAGTGTTGCTGAAACTTCAGTGTGCTGAAGTTTCTCTCGGATCGTTAGTACTGAGGACAGAGCAGCTGGGGACCTGGCTGAGATGCAGACTGACTTAGTGGGTTGGCAGGTCTGTGAGGTGGTACGTCTCCCAAGACCCTGGGTATTGCTGCTGGCTGGAGTGGGGACTTCCACCTGTTAGCTACAGGAGTTAGTTAGCTACAGGAAGGGCTTCCCACCTGCTGCAAGGCTTATAATCCTGTGGTAAGCCAGGAGTTCCCAAAACGTGGGAACTCATGCAGCTCAGCAGCATCAACATCACCTGGGAACTCCTTGGAAATGTATTCTTAACACCCCTTCTAGACCTACTGCGTCAGAAAACATGGGTCTACAGACATATGTGTATATATATATATATACACACACATACATATATATGTATACATATACATCCATATATATGTATACATATATATATATGTATATATGTAATTTTTTCCTTCCCCTTCTAGTCCTGGGGCTTGAACTCAGGGCCTGTGTGCTGTCCTTAAGCTTTTTTTGATTAGTACTCTATACACTTGAGCCACAGCTCTACTTGTGTCTTTTTGATGGTTCATTAGAAATAAGGGTCTCATGAACAGGGTTGGCTTCGAACCATTATCTTCAGATCTCAGCCTTTTGAGTAGCTAGGATTACAGGCATGAGCTACTGGCACGTGGCCCAGCAATGTGGTTTTTTCTTTTTCTTTTCCTACAAACTCTTCAAGGGATTCTAATGTGTGCTAAAGTCTGAACCATTAGTAATAATAAAAATAAAAGCAGTGAATACTTATTGACCTCTTCCTATAGGATAGGTGCAGTGCTAGGAAGCAGATACTCATGTCTTCATAACAGCCCTATTAACAGCTGACAGAGTAGAGGTTAGAGAGAGGAATCTGCCCAGATTCACATAGCTAGTGAACAGGGGAGATGGGATCAGAACTCAGAGCTCCTGACTCTCAAATTCAAGTTCTCAGTCCAGTGATGCTGGCAACAGCCAGTAGTGGCAATGGTTCTCTTCCGTTAGTGCAACTGAGAGACAAAGACTTAACCTCTTGGGAAACACACGGTTGTCCTCATTGCCTAGCTGGAAATAGATATTCATCTAGCCGAATCCAGACAGCGCATGTGTAATCATGCTTCCTACTCAAACAGAGATTCAGAACGGAAACTACAGATCAACATTTACCATATCCTGGCCGAGGGGTGGCAGCGAGTCGAGCTCACTGAGATCATCGTGGACCTGTTGGACGGCGTGCATGCTGGTGTTGATGGTCCCCATGAGGGCCTGCTGGGCTGAGGTCTGCAAAGGCAGAGGCGTGTGAGGCAGTTAGCACATTCCCGGGACTGACAGACACATGTAAAAACTCCAGGCAGAACAAGAGCAAAAGTGAACCTGGAGCTCAGCCAAGGGCACAGCTCAGGAAGCACCTGACCTAGCTCTCCATTTTAATCCGGGGCCAGAAATAGTAGAGTATATTAATAGACTTCCAAAAAAAAAATGAAGGTGATTGCTATAGAGGCATTATAATCAGAAGAGCGTGGAGAGCTTAATTAGCTGACAAGAAGGTTGACAGAGAGTGGTTGGAGGGGAACTAAGGAGGGCTCTCTGATCATTAGTACCGAGGACAAAAGATCTCACGCACAGAAAACATGGGTGTTAAGCAAGGATATTTCTCTATCAGTACTGAAGGGTTCCACCCACCTTTAGCGTCAAAACATGCTTTCCCAGTCAAATTATTACTGAGGGCTTTCAAAATTTCATGTTCAATATCCAAAGACCAGTATGATGGAAAGGAGTTTAGTGAGGGTGGGGGTGGGATCACTAATGATCAGGCCTACCACTCAGGACTCTGAGGGTATTGTGATGTATCAGCTTGGTGCTGCTGTGGCAGAGGAGCAGGGTTCTGCCTCCATAGCTTGATCTATGCAGGAAGATCCCTGTCATCACAGAGAAAACCTCTAGGGCTAGATAGAGGTGATGAGGGTCATGCCATGAAAAGTATGCAGTCCAAGGAGCTATGATGTGACCTGATGTGACCTATCACCCTTTACCCACAACACCCCAGAAGTAAGGGTGGGTGGCACAGGTAGGCTTACCAGCGGAGGCATATGGCCTCGGTGCATCTGCCCAACCATGACCTGCTGCTGAGGTGAGGGCATGCTGCCAACATTGAAGGTCTCAGGCCCACTGGAGCCTGAGCGCATCACAGCCGGTAGCGCCACTGAGCCGTGCTCCGCCTTCCCGGTCCGGTTGAACTGTTGTTGCAAGATGGTGGACCTATATGGGGAAAGGTGGCTATTCACTGCAAAGTGCCACATTATGCATGCAGGGAGAAGATGCTGCAAGAAGACACTATGTTGGGGGGCGGGGCGGGGGGACAGATGGATGGAGAATCGGGAATGAAAGTGGTAGTATTGGGTTGCTCAGCTGAACATCACTGAGGTGAACCTATCTGGGGTCAATAGTATATGTAACTACCCTCAATGTCCCCATTTAATCAGTTCATGGTACCGTGTAAGTAAAAAAATGGAGGTTATTGATCCTTAGAATCCTTACTTTGAGGGAGAAATGTGCAAATGAACTTAAGGGAAATCTCCCCACAGCCTATCACCTTCTTTAGATTCAAGTCTATAGCCTTAGGAGTCATCTGCAACTTTTCTGAATGATTTCAACTTGAGAGTGGGAATAATTATACCTTTTTGTTTTTGGTGCTGGTCCTGAGTACTATCCTTGAGCTTTTTTTTTTTTTGCTCAAAACTAGTGCTGTACCACTTGAACCACAGCTCCACTCCTGGAGCTTTTTCCTAGTTGATTGGAGAGTCTCACAAACTTTCCTGCCCAGGCCTGGCTTCTAATCAGAATTCTCAGATCTCAGCCTTCTGCCAAGCTAGGATTACAGGTGTGGGTCACTTGTGCATGACCGGCAACTTACAGATTTTTAGTTGATAGTTTTTGAGAATAGTGGTAAGAGGCAAAGGACTTTTACTCACCTGAAGTAAGAGGAGAAACTCACAGGGAGGGTATAGGGTATCTGTGTACATCTGTGGGGGTGGGTGGGTAGGAGGGCTACTCTGTCTCAAATCATCACAGATCATCCCTTATTGTCTAAAGCAAGGCTTGTCCACCAAGTTAGGGTCCCAAGCCACAGATATCTATAAAGAAACATCAAGGTCTTCATAGGGGGAGATCCATGGGAGGATGAATCTAGGGATCACAAAAGGAACTGGGAAGTTTTCTGAGGTCTCAGCCAGAGATCAATATAGGAGACAATAGCCTAGAACTAGACCACCAACTGGATCATTCTGCCTGATTGCCTTGAGCAAACCCTCACGATGCCTTAAGTCATAGAGATTTCAATGATCCCAGGCAGGTGAGGAGGGCCCCAGCATTCTGGACCCAAACTAGATTGTTCTAATGCAAAGTGAAGTGCATTAGAGTGTTCTGAGTGTTTCCATCTAACAGACACAAACAATTCCCAGGTATTGAGGTGCGGTGTCAGAGGGTAACAAGCACTTGAAATGTACCACATCACAGGGGAGAAATGGAAAAGCACCTTCACAGAGTAACCAGGAAGTTAATGGTGAAAAAGTGGAGGGAAGGCCAGAAAGGTTAGAGAAACAATTACCATGGCCAGGTAAGTTCATTCTACTGGAATATGCTAGAACTTTCTGGAAATGTACTATGGGGTGGGAGTGGGGGTGGATATCATCATTCTGCCACACAGGTGCATGGCAACTAACTTCTGCTCTCTGGTTTCCCATAGATTTGGGACGGTAACATCTGCAGCTGGGGTCAAAGGAGACAGATTGCTGGATACACACAGTACAGTGTAGACAAGAAATATTACCAAAATTCTATTAAACACGCAAACAAGTGTCTGTGCAGCTTTCCCAACAGGCGTCCCCTATTAATTAGATATTCCTTAATAAATCTGTCTGCTCATCTATAAACGGTGCTAACCTGAGATGGTTCCGAATTCCAAGTAATGAAAGTAATCCCAATGCTAGTGATTGTTTCATGCTCTGTGTCTGTGACTCCATCATCCAATCAAAACCTACAATGTGGTGTTATCATTCCCATTTTGTAGACAGGTTCATGTAGATAGGGAATTCTGGATCATGGAGTAAACACACACGCACACGCACACACACACACACACACACACGCACGCACACACACACACACACACACCCCAAAACTAAACTAAAAAACAAACCCAGATCCCAGATCTGAGCTCTGCAAAACTGCTCTGGACTCCAAGCTCTTACTGACTCCTTTAGTAGCCCTCTAGCCGCTGAGGCTATGCTGGTACATGGTGAAAACTCCATAGACAGTATCTCCTCCACTCATCTACTGCCCAGGTCTTGAGAACCCTCTCCCCACAAAGAAGCTCTGTGAGGTTGGTTTATTTTGACAGTAATACTCCAATTCATGAGATTTCAGCCAGAAATGTACAAGGGGACTCAGGGGGACACATGAGGAGTCATTATGTCTCCAGTTGGATTTGAGTCCCTACTGCTCAGTAACTTCCTGAAGGGAGCAAGTCTCACCTCTCTCTTTTACTACTCTAGGTGATGGAGCAACAGGCCAGAGAGCTGGCAGGAGGAAACCTACATACTTAGGAAGGTGTCCACTTACTTTTTTGGGGAAACTGATTCTTCTAACATAGTTGACTCTTCATCTCCTTCTAGTCCAAATCTGTCTTTGCTTTGTTTCTGGAGGAAAGACAAAATACAAGAACAAAAAAGAGCAAGTATTAACACTGGACCTTTGAAAAGAATATAGGTAAAAATGACCAGGTTCACCCCAAATTCCTTGTGTTGGATTCAAATAAGTGACGGGTGAACAAAGGCATGATAATGATAAAGGAAATACAGAAATTATTTAAATATAAATTACATATGATATATTTATTGAATTATTTTTATGTAATACATATATATATATAAATCACTCATGTATTTATATAAATACAAATATATATATATATATATATGTTTTCTATCTTATTACAGAGATTTTTACACAACAAAACTTCAAGGCTAACATTCTATCAGAACTTGATTATTTGAATTGGCTATGTTAAAAAACGTCAAAAAATTTATTTGTCTGCACATCATGATGACACATAGCCCATCAGACTTGACAAAAACAAAACAAACAACAAAAACAACACTCCCCAAATCTACAAAAGAGCAGTGTTTGCCCCTCAATCTGGTTTTCTATGGAGGTTGGAAAGCAAAATAGCAGCAATAGGAGAGGAAGATCCTGTGGATCTTACCTGGCAGTAAATGATATCAATATGTGCTGTTAAGGTCAGACAGCAATTTTCCTAGGAGCTCAAGGTCAAAGACCTGTTAGGTAATCTTAACATCACAGATTCAATTTTTGCATCAAATACTTCAAATATGAGCTATATTTTTAAATTACAATCATATAATATTAATTATTTCCCCCCAGTACTGGGGTTTGAATTCAAGGCTTCACTCTTGCTCAGCTAATATACTAGTCTGGTGCTCTATTGCTTGGGCTATGCCTCCAGTCCAGCTTTTCTGCTGGCTTTTGGAGATGTAGTCTAGCAAACTTTTCTGCCAGTTTTGGCTTTGAAGTGTAATCTTCCAGATCTCAGCTTCCCGAGTAGCATGATGTGAACCACCAGCGCCTGGCTTAAACTAAGCCTATTTTAATAAAGAAGCCTTACTTTTCCAACATGTGTCAATACAACATACCTTTTTGAGGATGATGTCAATATATCCTGCAATCAGCTGGGATATTTGCTCGCCCTCTGTGGTTTGTACTGAATAGTAGCTTTCCTGATACTCCCCAAAATCCTGAGAAAACAGCATTAAAGAAGTATAGACATGTCAGATCTACAAGGAGTTTATAGTCTAGGCAGTTAGGAAACAGAATGACTCAGACTCACTTTTCTCTGCTCTCCTCTCTAAAGGAAATAGTATACTCTACAACCCATTCAACAATGGAAAACTGGGAACTGGAAAAGGACACTGGCTGGGAGCCTCAGAACTTGAGGAATCCCTATGCAATAAATTCTCAGACTTTCTTTTCTTTCCCTCCTCCCTCCCTTCCTTCTTTCCCTTCCTTCCTTCCTTCCTTCTTTCCTTCCTTCCTCTTCTTTCTTTCTTCTCCCACTTCCACTTTTTTTTAGTGCCAATCCTGGGGTTTGAACTCAGGCCCTGGGAAATGTCCTTGAGCTTTTTTGCTTGAGCAGCTTGAGCCACAGCTCTACTTTTGGCTTTATTTTGGAGAGGAGGGGGGAGTTAATGGGACCTAGGCCTTCTTGCCTCAGATGGCTTTGAACCATGATCATCAGATCTTAGCCTCCTGAGTAGCTAGGATTACAGGTATGAGCCACCAGCACCTGGTCCTTTTGTAAAATTTAATTTTAATGGGTTCATTATGTTATTCATGCACACTTTTCTTACTTCTGGACCTTACTGCCCATGAAGTGACACCATCTTCCTTTTCCCTCACTGACCCTCGAAGGCCAGAGAAATCCAACCTGCCCTACAAATATATCCCCCAAATCCCTGCAGGGACTCCTGTCATCCTTACAAGTGTGAAGCTCTTGGGTGAGGCTGCCCAGCGCTTGACTGTGGTGAGGGGCCACTCCTGCAACACCTCCTTGCTCTTCTCATCCACACGCATCACGGAGTCTTTGGTGATTCCCAAGAGGCGAGGCACCAGCTTGTTCTTGCCTTTCATCTTTTCCTGGAATGGGAGAGACTAGGGGTCAGTGGTCTGCCTTTGAGTTCATCACATTTTGTCATGTTTCACAGATCTAAGATTCTCAGGCGAGGAAGAGACATCAGGAGACTGGAAAGATCCACAAAGACATGTTTCCTAGAAAGGGATACTATTTAATAGAGCAAGTTGTTCCAAAACCAAAGCTTCTGTCAGAAAGAAGGGACAGAACTCAAAAGACATAGGTGAATTCTAAATACCACTCAAGGAGCTAACCCAATAAGGAACAAAGCAAGTTTTGAAATTCAGATAATTTGAAACAAATTGAAACTGTCAATTTTTTTTTATCACTATAAGAACATGTGTGGGCTGGGAAGGTGGCTTAGTGGTAGAATGCTTGCCTTGTATGCATGAGGCCCTGGGTTCGATTCCTCAGTACCACATAAAGCAGAAAAAGTTGGAAGTGGTGCTGTGGCTCAAATGGAAGAGCGCTAGCCTTGAGCTGAAGAGCTGAGGGATAGTGCTTAGGCCCAGAGTTCAGGCCCTTTAAAAAATAAGTATATTTCCATTTCGATTTTTGTTTTTTGTTTGGTTTTTTTTTGGTCGGTTGTGGGGCTTGAACCTGAGCTTCTTTTACTCAAGACAAGTACTCTACCACTTGAGTCACTTCTAGATTTTTTTCTGAGTCCTTTACTGGAGATAAGAGTCTCACAGACTTTCTTTGCCCGGGCTGGCTTTGAACCACAATCCTCAGATCTCAGCCTCCTGAGTAGCTAGGATTACAGGTGTGAGCCACCGGCACCCGGCTTCGATTTTTATATTTGGTTATTTTTGTACATCTACTGATCTTAAACCATTGTTTATAGTTAGTTTTAGGGTTTTAAAAAATATAATGTCTATCAAACTAATAATGAATCTTCACTTGCATTCATATCAAAATCAACTCCAAATAATACTTTAGGAAGAGCATACACAATGATTCTTGAGCTATCTGGTAAGAAGTGATTTACAAAACACAAAAATATGAGCCCAGAAAGAAAAATATTAATGGCTTAACCTCAAAATAAACATAATTTGATTCATTTCAGAAAAAAGAGAAGAAACAGAGAGAAAGACAGGGAAACTGAAAGGAAGAGAGAGAGAGACTGAGAGAGAATGGGCTAGGTAAAGACTCAGAGGGAAGGAAAAGAGGGGTCAGATAGAGTTATAAATTCACAGAGAAGGACAAGGCAAAGGAGAGGAGTAGAAGAAAAACAAACATTATATAACAAAGATTAGAAAGCAAATGATTGGAGAATGAATGCATGAAACAAATATAAAAGACTATTGACTCTGGAGTATTCTAAAAATCAACAAAAGTGCTAAAGAGTACGAACAGAAAATGTTTTAAAAATAATGAATCATACCCCTCCATCTCTCTGTATCTTTGTATCTCTGTGTATATGTGTGTCTCTCTCAGAGAACGCCATCCACGTCAAATGGCAGAGTTTTAAAAAAATTTTATTTTTATTTTTTGGTCCAGTCGTGGGGCCCGAACTCTGGGCCTGGGTGCTGTCCCTCAGCTCTTCAGCTCAAGGCTAGCGCTCTACCACTTGAGCCACAGCACCACTTCCGGCTTTTTTCTTTTTGCTTATGTGGTGCTGAGGAATCGAACCCAGGGCCTCCTGCATGCAAGGTAAGTACTCTACCACTGAGCCACCTTCCCAGCCCAAGCCCAAAGCTTTCTGCTCTGGCTCCTGGCCCCTGCCCAATGCCTCCCTGTCCCTGCCCTGCTGGTAATGGGGCTTGAACTCATAGCCTCACACTTTTGCTTGGTTTGCTTATTCACAGCTGCTGTTCTACCAATGGAGCCACACCTCCAGTGTGGCATTTTGCTGTTAATTGGAGATGGAGTCTCTTGGACTTCTCTGCCTTGGTTGGTTTTGAACTGTGATCTTCAGATCTCAACCTCCTGAGTAGCTGGGATTAAAGGTGTGAGCCACTGATGCCCGGGAAAGCTGAGAGGTGATCTTATGGAAGTAACAAGTTAGAATATAGTATCTGGCTCTCTGAAGTGTAACACCCTGATTCAGTCTAGCTCAAAGGAAGCTGGCTTGCTTCTCCAAGGTGTAGAGTCAAGAAAAGCATCTGAAAGGACACCATACTTCCTTCTGTTACAGTTCTTATACACGATGGAGAAAGAAACCTCCTTCATCCACTCTGCCTGTGGCTTTTCCACTTTAGTCCCTGAAAGTAGTTTCAACTCCACTGTTGATATAAGGAACACAAGAGCCTTTGCTCCTTGGTTGAGCTTTCTCCACGTGTAAGAAGCAGATGGCCAAGCACCACAGGAAAACAAGCAGAATCTAGTGGATCGAGCAGTTGGATGAGGTCAGGCAGTGAGGTCTAGCAAACCCATTAGCAAGGGCTTGTCATTCACACATCAAAGGTCTGGATAGACTCGCTCAAGGTTGGATTTCAAAGGCACACCTGTTTTGTTCTGGTAGGAACACAGACAATGCCCATGAAAAAGGAGCAGAAAGTCATCACAATCCCATGCCCATCTTAAGATGCATAACAAAGTAGTATATTTATGACATGAATTGAATTTGGTTGGCAGTGGTCACCCACTTTTGCTGAGACTAAAGGAAGGTGATAGTCAGGAGTAAGAGGTTTGGGGGAGACACACAATGGTATGCTTGTTGCTCCATGACATTTTAGCAGCAACCGTGACCCAGACCAAGGTATAACTAACTGTCCATAGGCTGCATGGGCAGACACAGTCAGTCAGTCACCAGCCCACCTACTCAGGTACTCCATGCACTCATATTTGGGCTGCACTTAAATTTGGGCTACCACTAGCAAGATGTAACATCTACAAATGCCTGAGGGTCTTGGTGACAATCCTAGCTATATGTCAGATGACTCAGTGGAAGGAAAAGAAGGTAGCCAGCCAACCCAACTCACCTTCACAAGGAAAAAGGACACCCCGTATGTCCGGAGGGAGCGGGCGAGCTTGACGTACTTAACCTTGGCTTCTATTTCAGACATCTCTCCACAGTTCTTATGCTCCTGCAAAAGTGACAGTGGGTGGGTGGAGTGTGGTTGTTCACTGCAGCTCTGCCAGCAGGTGACTTAGTGAGAGGTAGTCCCTGTTAGTTGGTCTACAACAGGGGCGATCGCTCTGGGACACGATGTCGGCTGACCGAGGAAGCAGAATACATAGAAATGTCCTAGGGCCAGGACTAGTTCAAGTTCAGACAAGAACATGAACCCAGGCCAGCCTACCTGTTTCACAACGATATACAACATTTCTTGCACATGCGTAACTGGTAGGAACTACATCAAAATTGCAATCACATTTTCAAAGAAGGTGTATATCCCAAAAGTCCAGGGCCCACACTAAATGACAGTAAGAAAAATGTTCCAGTAAGGAGATGTTATTCTAACATTTATTCAAAACCTATTTTTTCCATACAGAAGGGCCTACATATGATTGCAAATGAATGTGCTTAGAATCAACACAGGATTAAAAGATACGTGTTATAATCATAAGGTTTATGTTTTATTTTGTTAATGCTTTGTGTGTGTGTGTGTGTGTGTGTGTGTGTGTGTGTGTGTGTCTCGGTCCTGGGGCTTGAACTCAGGGCTTGGATGTTGTCTCTGAGTGTTTGTGCTCAAGATTAGGCTCTACCACTTGAGAAAGAACACCAGTTTTGGCTTTTTTGGTGTTTAATTGGAGATAAGAATCTCATGGACTTTCCTGCCGAGGCCAGTTTTGAATTGTGATTCTCAGATCTCAGCCTCTTGGGTAGCTAGGATTACAGGTGTGAGCCATAGATGTCCAGCTATAGTTTAATTTGTATTTCCATTTCACTCCCAAAGAAAACTTTGACATTTTGGATTAATTGTATATTTCAGGGTAACGTTGGTAATAAACGTTCTCTTTATGGTAGCCTAAAAAGTACAAGTCTTTGACCTTAATCATGGAATAATAGTAATTTAAAAAAAGACAGTCTGGTGCTGGTAGCTCATGCCTATAATCTTAGCTACTCAGGAGGCTGAGATCTGAGGATCATAGTTTGAAGCCAGCCCAGGTAGGGAAGTCTATGTACCTCTTATCTCCAATTAACTACCCCAAACCCAGAAGCAGAGATGCGACTCAGATGGTAGAACACTGTCCTTGAGTGAAAAAAGCTGGAGAGTGTGAGGCCTTAAGTTCAAGTCCCAGTATTGGTGTGTGCACGCGTGTGTGTATCCGGTACTATAAGAATCACGGCTTTGGAAGAAAATGCATGCACATTTGTCTCAGAAGGGCCATGTAACCTTTAGCAAGCAAGTATGGAATTAACATAATAAATCTGTCCCAAGTGGAGCTGTCTGCTATTTCACTCTTGAGTCGCCTGTCATTTATTACAGAGGAATATGTGCTCGGGCAACAAACCCATCACTTCTGGAGGCCCCTCTCTCAATGAAGGGGGGCATGGGGGAGAAGACATTTCTGTGCATTTCCAATACCTGAAAGATTCTCTTTTCTGCTCCTCTTTGCTTGATGTATTCTTTGGGTAGGAATTCCTTTAGACTGAAAGAGAGGGAAAAATAGTAAGTCATTTCTCATGTTTTATGATGAGACGCAACATAAGAGGTTGTTTTTTTTTTTTTTTTTTGGGTCCAGTCATGGGGCCTGAACTCTGGGTCTGGGCGCTGTCCCTCAGCTCTTCAGCTGAAGGCTAGCGCTCTACCACCTGAGCCACAGCGCCACTTCTGGCTTTTTTCTTTTTGCTTATGTGGTGCTGAGGAATCGAACCCAGGGCCTCAGGCATCCAAGGCAAGCGCTCTACCACTGAGCCAACTTCCCAGCCCAACATAAGAGGTTGTTAATGAAACTCCTGGATAAGTGGCAAACTCTCCCAATATTTGATGGCATAATTTATAATAGGGTGTTATATCCTACTATCCACTTAAATAAGGATATGAGAAAGCCAGCCTGATTAAAAAACATCTGACATATTTAAAGGAAGAATTTCTAGAATACACTGTAAAAGGAAAGAGTGAAAGCAGAAGAGTATATGAAAGGCTTCCTTTTCTAAGAGAAAGAGGAAATGTAATTTATATTAAAAACATCACAGCATCTAGACTTTTTAGGAAAAAAAAAAACAATAAGAGGAAAGTTAGGCACTGGTGGGTCTTGCCTGTAATCCCAGCTGCTCAGGAGGCTGAAATCTGAGGATTGAGGTTCAAAGCCAGCTCAAGCAGGAAAGTCTGTGAGGCTCTATATCTCCAATTAACCAGCGAAAAGCTGGAAGTGGAGCTGTGACTCAAGAAGTAGAGTACCAGCCTTGAGCCAAAAAGGCCAAACAAGAGTTCAAGGCACTGAGTTCAAGCCCTAGTACCAACACCTGAAAAAATAGCATAAAACAATAGGGGCATGAAATCTAGTACTCATACAAATAGTTCTCTGTGGAAGAAGTGAATAGATGTCTCTAAACTCTTCTTATATTTCAGGTTTTCATTTTGAAGCCACACAAATTGCAAAACAACTACTAAAAAGCAAAAACCAACTAATACAAACTTAATGGTATGTCACGGTGACACCTTTGCACAAGGAAAATAATTATTTCAAATAAGTTTGAGAAACAGTCATTTGACTATGAATCCGTGGGTGGAAGATAACTTAAGAATTAGCAGAACCAGAGAAGATAGGTAAGTAAACATATTGACATCAATATTTTAAAACCAATTACCTTTTCCTTTCTTTTTCATTCAAACACAAGAAACGAAATTAGGATGTTAGTTTATGCACAAGTAGGATGCTATCTATAATCAGGATGAAAGTGAGTAATTACGATAATTGTTGGAAACCAAGATTTTTTTTAGCATAAGATAAATACAAATTTAAAAATTTGACTGAAAATAAACCCTTTGTCTGAATTGGAAACATTGACCCATTTTTCTCTTTCTGAAAAGTACATTTTCTAGCTGGGACTGTGGAAGAGACCAGGAGTAAAGACAACCTGGTGACAATGAGCCTTTCCACTCTCTTGGTACCTTCCTCGGCACTTGGTCTCCAAACCCTATATCCATTCAAAGGGAGTCTTGAAGAAATGAATTAGTCTAGGCCCGACGACCGACAATGTGTCCAACATTCCTGAGATCTCTTGTGCCTTGGATCCAGAAAGCAACTAAGATACTGTTGGAGCTAATATCAAAGGATTCATATTGAAGAAGAGAGGGGGAAGGGAAGGATTTAATCTTTGAGATTGTATATGAAGCAAAAAAGTGCAGACTCAAGAGTTCATAAGTTCATGGCTCAGCACAATTGCTTAACAAGTGTTAAGGTCCTGGGTTCAAATACCCAGAACTGGGGGAAAGAGGTGAGGGGAAGGGAGGAGGAGGAAGAAGGTGACATGTATGTTAGTCTCCCTGTGCTGATACTATAGAGTACCACAGGCTATGTCCTTTATAAAAAACGGCTCCCAGTTTCTTCCCAGGTTGGGAAGTCTGTTATGAAGGAGCTGGTATGTTTTGTTGCCTGGGGAGGCTGCAGCTTTCACAGAAGAAGGAATCCTCTGTCTCTTTACAGCTGTAGAACAAGCTAGCCCAACACTGTGAAGCCTCTTTATAGGGGGCCCTCATTCCATGAGGTCCCTGCCTCTTAAAGCAGCACCTACGAGTCTGGCACTGGTAGCTCATGTCTAGCTACTCAGGAGGCCAATGTCTTGAGAATCATGGTTTGAAGCCATGTCCAGGCAGAAATGTCTGAGATACTCCTATCTCTCATTAATCAGCAGAAAGCCAAGCTGGAGGCATGGCTCAAGTGGTAGAGCACCAGCAAGCTTGAGGCCTTGAGTTCAAACACTAGTCTTGGAAAAAACAAACAATAAAAAAGCTTCCCCCCCCCCCCCCCCCCACAAACCCCCCCCCCCCCCCCGTCAAACACCTGCTAATACTATCCCTTGTATCTTGCTTAGCAGAAGGTGAGTTGCAGAAACTAAGGCAGAACTGTAAGAAACAAAGGCTGAAATGTCTGTCTCATTCTGTTACGGAGACTCCATAGGCAAATTATTGTGTGAGAAAAACACAGACTGGTTATACAAGGGGATGCGTGTTTGAGCTGTTGCCAGGGGAAAACTGAATGGACACCTCCTCCTGCATTAAAAGCTGTACATGTGGACAGCAGAATTAGTTGGAGTTTGAGGTGGGGGATTTCCAACTCCATTCTAAGTTCTCCCACAACATACATTCATATTCTGGGATGCTCTATTTTTTTTCAGTAAAATCTTGAGAACCACCAGGAATAAGCACACAGGGAAGGGCGCTCTGGTAGGAAAGATGACGGAGATTTCCCCAACCTGTTACCTCACCATCACTGGGCTGGAGGAATAGAATCTGCCTGGCCTTCAACAGCTCTTAATCTTGGCTTGGCTTGTTGTGTAGCCAACCTCTCACTCAGGACAAGATCTTAAAGCCAGACTACTGCAACTAACTACCTTGAGGTGTGTTGATTTGTTAAATCAAAACCCCTTTGTGTGACTGAAGATGATAAAACTGAAATAAAAATGAATAAATAATAAAACAAAGTTTAAAGAATAACAAAAAGAGAAAGTGGCCTTTGCTAGTTTGTTTTTATTTGAGGGGACTTACTGCCTCAGCAAATTTCACCTGTACAGTTTGAACAAGAACATGCACAATTAAATACCTACATTAACTGGAAACGCTTCATTACCTAGAACCAATTTGGACTAATTAAAAAGTAAATCAAATTTGTAAGGAAAAATAATTGTCACTAGGAATAATAAGCTTATTTTAATTTAGAACTCGAGTAAAGGTACAAGTGCCAGGAGAGGAAGGATTATTAAAAGGAAGTTTTGTGTTTTTTTTTTTTTTTTGGTGGTTGTCCTTTTTGCTTAGTTAGACTGTGAGTTTGAAGCATGAAACAGGATCAGGAATCTCAGTGGGCATTGTGAAGATCAATACCAATGCTCTGAGTTGAGTATGTGTTCTGTACAGAAAGGTCAGCATCTAACTAACATTCATAGGGTTGGAGATGTGGTCCAAGAAAATTCATCATGATTTGGTTGGTGCAGAACATGGCACCTGGAAGGAGACCAAAGGATGTTTATAATAACCACATTCCCAAGTACTGTCCTACTTTTGCTGCAGGCTGGGAGACCAGTGAAGGGGGTGACATTGCCTCTTGAAAGCAGAAATGCTTTTGAGAACGATGAGTCCAATATCAGAAGTAACTGTGCACAAATAGTTATCCCCCCTCCCTTTCTCTCTCTCTCTTTCCTTTATCTGCTTTCCTTCCTACCTTTTTGGTTGGTTTGAACATAGGGCCTTTTCTGTGCTAGGAAGATACTCTACCACTTAAACCACACCTCTAGCATGGTTTTTATGCTAGGTGATTGAAGACAGAGCTTTGTGGACTTTTCTGCCTTGGGCTGACTTTGAACCACAATATGCCAGATCTTAGCCTCCTGAATAGCTAGGATTATAGGCATGAACCTCTGGTATCCAATAGGGTCTTACACTTTTTTGGGGGGGTCAGGTTGTGGGGCCTGAACTCTGGGCCTGGGCGCTGTCCCTCAGCTCTTCAGCTCAAGGCTAGCACTCTACCACTTGAGCCACAACGCCACTTCCAGCTTTTTTTCTTTTTGCTTATATGGTGCTGAGGAATCAAACCCAGGGCCTCACGCATGCAAGGCAAGTGCTCTACCACTGAGCCACCTTCCCAACCCGGGTCTTATACTTTTTATTCCCCACCCTACCTCTTTACCCCCACCCCAGGGTTAGTCTCCAACTTCAATCCTCCTTCCTACACTTTCCACATAGCTTAACTGAGCTCACAGGGCATGCACTTTCATGCCCAGCTACTTCAATCTTTTTCTTCCCCATCTACCGCATGAAATACAGCTTTCTCCATTCACAAAGGGGCCCTGAAAATTAGACGCCCAATGCTCAAGAGAAATGGCACACAGAAAATGACCAGAGTAACACCAGCACTGTTTAGGCACTGAACTTCTGGTTCTAATTAGGGTCCATCCCACCAGGACCACACAGGGTTGCAAAAAACTAGGGAGACCTTCAACAAAGCTATTTAGCTTATCAACCTCCCCGTTCCCTTCTATTCTCCACCAGCCACTGTGGAAACAGAAGCAAGATATTTGCTCCAAGGCTTGCATGGATCCTGATGTGTTTATTTATCAGGCTCTATGACCATAGTCCTCAGGTTGATGACCTCAGATGTGTCTGAGGGACCAGCTGTGTAGTCGGAATTCAGGCACATGGCCACACACGTATAAGGCGTGTGGTGGCTCAGATAGCACAATGACCAGCATCTCCAGGCTGCTGTGGAAGCAAGTCAGGCCAGCTGCAAAGAAAGAGGCCCCGAGGACCACTTAGTTGGCCAGATGACTCATTTGGGGGAACAAGGGATTGAGCGACAGGAGCTACTCAAAGCAATTTCAGACTCAAGGTCATTGCTCGCACATCACAGGACAGCTCAGTTTGGAAAGGCTCCTGGGATTAACCCAATGGTAGGATTGTTTTTTTCCCTCCTTCCCTTCTAACATCTCAGTTTAACATGTTGACCAGGCATTGTTTGAAAGCAAGAGAAAAGTAAAAGATTTCTTCTTTCTTAGGAACTAAGCTGGTCCCAATGAATGTCCACTAAGCTGAAAGTGGGGTCAAGGGCCACACAAGCCTTGTTAGTATCTTTTCTTCAATACACAGGGCTCAAGGTATAGAGGACAGTCCCAATGCATCTCACATGACCATATCCTGCCAGAAACACTCATGCTCTGCTGCCTGCCCCTCCCCCACTCCTGCATTCACCTCCAGCCCCCACCCCCCTCCAAACTCTACCAGTTTCATTCTAGGTGACAACATGTCACTGACCACAGTGAACCTCTGGATGATTTTTTTTTTTTTGGTCTCATCCAAAAGACAAGGTGGACATTGATTTTTTTAAAAAAGGAATAACTATTATCTGAGGAATGTAACATAGAAATCTCAGATGAGTCTAGATCCAAACAAGGAAGGCTAATACCAGACAAGAGTAGCTTGATAGTGGCTGAGGCTGTCCTGGCGGACAGGAAACAGAAGATATGATGAGACCCAGGCTCTGTGGGGCCCAGTGATCTTTCTCTTGACATCTTAGAGTCCAGGGTCAGAAAAAAAAAAACCTATTAATTTACAAAAGATAACCAAAGGACAAATGGGAGAAAAGGATGGAGCAAATATGACATGTTCATGCCACACTTTCAAAGCAATGAAGAGCTCAGAAGATCCTAATACAGATGGCGAGACTGGCATATATATGCTCTATTGTTATAATACAGAAGTCTCATGCAATTGGAGATGACAATATGTAGCCTAGAATGGGCAGATGGCTTTCAGGAGTTCTTCAAGTACACTACATCCCCAACAGGTTGGACAACAGCTGCAGGACCCAACAGGCTTTCTGATGGAAGAGAAATCACTTGCTGATGGAACTTAAAACTGATTTCCTTAGCTGAATTTCTAGGCCTCCTGTTTTCTCCACAATCCACAAATTTGGTCACATATTCAGTGTAAGCTAAGCTGACATTCTCCCATAATCACCTGAGTACCTTGCTCAAAAAGAAACAGGTGAAAAGACCAGGAGAAGAAGAGACAAAAAGCAAAACAGAAGGTCATTTACTCCAAGAATCCAGGCTTGTGTTTATGTTCCACATGAGGTCCAAATTGTATCTGGGCTTGAAATCCTCCGAACTCACAGGCTTTCTCAAAGGAGACAGGGTGGGAGCCATTCAGGATGTCATCTCGAGCCTGAAACACAACATGAAGAAAAGGGATCAGGGAAGTCCCTGGGAAGGGCTAGTGAACAAGGATACCAGCCATCCATACCCAGAATGATGCACAGCAAAGTCAAGGCCAAAGGAAGACATGCTCTTTCCTGAAGTAGTAGATACCTAGAAAGTATTATAAGTGTGTGGCTTATCAAAAGTAAAGCCTAGCTGGGCACTGATGACTCATGCCTATAATCTTAGCTACTCAAGAGTCTGAGATCCAGAGGATTGAGTTTTGAAGCCAGCCTAGGTAGAAAAGTCCACATGTCCCCTCCAAAATAACCAGTAAAAAGCAGAACCAGAGGCATGACTCAAGTACTAGAGTACTAGCCACAAACAAAAAGCTAAGCAAGTTGGGAAAAAAAGGGTACATCTTACTGATAATCTAGGGGTCAGAAGTAATAACAACAATAAATAGAGGCAGGAAATCTATGTGGAATGATCAGATTCATACAGGCTGAATTAGAAATATAATTTACTTTTTTTTTTTTTTTGGTCCGGTCATGGGGCCTGAACTCTGGGCCTGGGCACTGTCCCTCAGCTCTTCAGCTCAAGGCTAGCACTCTACCACTTGAGCCACAGCGCCACTTCCGGCTTTTTTCTTTTTGCTTATGTGGTGCTGAGGAATCGAACTCAGGGCCTCTGGCATGCAAGGCATGTGCTCTGCCACTGAGCCACCTTCCCAGCCCCAAAATTTACTTTTTATGAGCCTGAAACACAGAGTTAGCAGAAAAATACCAAAGAACTAAAACTATCCCAGCTATTTACCACTCAAGGCAAAGTCCAATGCAATATAAGGGGAGATAGATAGACGTATGCTTACACACAGACAAGAATACAATACTAAAGACAATTAGAAGAAGGGTTAGCCATGCCCAGGGTGGGGTGGTCACTGGGGTCTAAAGTCCTTAGAGTTCTGATCCTTCTCTGTGGTTCCTATTTATCCTCTTTGTTCTAGCTGTCTCTCCTCTAGTTATAAGACCCAGATCACACATGGATAGACACTCAGCCTTAATCTCACAAAGTTCTTCTCAGTGCCCTGATGCTTCCATCTCTTTCCAATCTTTCTTTCCATAAGCCAGGGGTTGGCAAATAGTAGCCACTTCAAAACTTCAGAGCCATCGGGTCTGCGTTACCTCTGCTACTGGCCACAACAACAGTCACAGAAAATACTTAAACAATTATAAAACATGTAAGGGATCTACCAATACATAATGCTTCAAGAAATGAATTGTTCACTTTCAAATACAGTAGAGGCCATGGCTGTAGTTTGTTGATTCTGAAGCTTGATCTAAGAGCCTTCCAGTTTTGCTCATCTTCACTGTTCAGTGGCAGTTGGTGTTCTACCATTTGAGCCATACTTCCAGCCCAGCTTTTTGCAGGTTATTTTGGAAATGGAGTCTTCCATCAGGGCTGGCATGGGATTTTCTAGATCTCAGACTCTAAATAGTTAGGGTTGCAGGTGTAAGCTTGTTTCCCTACATTGTTTCCACCGAGACGAATACACAGTGGGAGGAGAGGGAAGGGAAGAAAGGAAGGAAGTTGGTATGAGAGAAAGTGGAAGAAATACGAGAATTTTCTTAGAACCAAAGGAACCAGTGGACTGGGTGGGAAACATTTTTCCCCCTGTCAATAGCCACTTGGATATTTATACCATCATTCATGGCCCTAGATTTGCTAAATTTTGCCTGGAAAAAAAAAAACTCCTAAATTCACTGATTTTTGAGTCCTACCTGTGGCTGCTTTGCCAGATCAAACTATTTCTTTAGCCTGTTGTCCAAAGACTAGATGTTTCCTTCCCCTGCTAATGCAAATCTCTTATCTACAAACTGGGAAATTGCATCTGAGATGTGTTAAATGACCTGTATGAGTTGAAGCAATTCATTCACGGTGAAGACATAAAAGGTTATTGAGAGGATAGTTTTGAGTTAATAGGAATTACTGATTTTTCTGCCTGATTGGCCTTTGTACTTTAAGATACTGGCTAATAAAGCCCTAGTGCATTTGAAATGGTGAGCCAGTTAAATGAATACAACTGTCTTTCAGTACCAGGTGGAGGAAGACAGTGCCGGCCACCTGCCTCCAGTCTGGGAAGCCACAGAAAGGTCCCCTCTGCACAGCCAGCAGTGCTTGCCCAACAACCCCCCGTCCTTCTTGCCACCATCACCGCCAAAGTGTATGGGGGAACTCCTGAACTGTGTCCCTGGATGGGATGCTGTTAAATGTCCTGAGAGCCAGAGCTCACCAGGAGCTTCCTGAAAGTTCATCAACCTATTGTCTGAATAGTAAATACCCTACCTGGACATAAAGCAAGTTCAACTGCACGGGGTCTCTGGAGTCCACATTCTGATCAGAGTAAAAAAACTTGCGTCTCAGCAGCAATGTTTCGTTTTCATCCACTCCCTGTTCTCTGAAGGTTCGGCTGTGATCCAGCCAATTCACTGAAGCACAAAGCATGAGAGAGAGAACCGTGTTTATTTCCCCCCCTCTTCCCTGAAAGGGATCCAGCAAGGCAGCAGCATGACACAGATGAAGATGTCAACACAGGATGTCAACAAATGTCAGTGAGCATTACTTTTTACGTTAAAGCTGAGCTTGATAATTGGCAAGAAAATTCCACAGTTGCTTTATAACTGACCAGAAGGGAAAGGAGGGAAAAAAAATCCCCAGCCCTCCCCTAAAGTTACTTCAAGTACTATAAACAATGTATAATTTGAGACCCCCCCCCAGGAATAATGGGACAAGGAAATTAGTGTTTTGTGCAAAGAAAAGAAACCAGTTAGAATTCCCTTTTAAATCATGAGTAAATACTTCAGTCTTATTAAGTGAAGTATTTTACAGACACTGAGTGGTTCTGATACCAAGGCGGGAAGAGGAAGGAGTTTGAGGAGAGAGAGAGAGAGAACACCAATAGGCAGAGATGGCATTCTCTACTCCCCACAAGCCAGCTTGCATCTCAGCTGTTGTAAAAATCCTGTTCTCACACCCAGGTGCACCACCCTCTCTCTCTCTCTCTCCTCTCTCTCGTCATATACACATACTTTCCCCAGCTTACTCTCCTCCACGAGAACTCATGGCCAGCCTTACTAAATACTGGGCAACTATGAGACACAGAAAGTGTCTGTGGGGCCTCATGTCCCACAGTACGTGCTACAGCACTGTGAACACACTCAGGAATGTTTTGCATTTTTGTCTATTAGTAGGCTCTTAGAAAGAAGCATGTAACTGGATCTCTAATGAGGCAGAGAGAAGGAACTGGAGGAAATGACAGCTCTACCAAAAGATCAATAAACATCGTGATGATGATGAAGTCATCCTAGTTCACTGGTCAGAAGGCGGGGGTAGGGGGGTAGGAAGGGATGGTCTGTGTGAGCCGGATAATGAATTAGGATCTGTTTGGTGGAGGGTAGGCAGCAAAGTTCACACAACTTGGGCTTTGTGTGTATGCTACAGGGGGGTAAAAGCTGCTTTTCCATCTATTAACTGTGTGGCTGTGAAAAGATGATTTTCCCATGATGGAATTATGCCACTATCACTAAGCAAATAACAGACCTTAGACAATGGACATTGATACCTAAAAAAGACAACCAGAAAAAGAAAAAGACAACCCAAAATAATAATTTACTCACTGAATGAGGAATTAGTTTAGGCAAATCTCATTTTTCCTACCACCTCACACACACACACACACACACACACACACACACACACACACACACAAATCTATAAAAGGAATGAAAAGGAACAGAGGGACATATAACAGGACACCAGTGGTATGCAATCACCTAAATCCCCAATATAGGAAATGATACACAACTAATGCTTCCTTCTATCCTGCCCTTCCTTTTTCCATTCTTCTCTTCCTTGCCTTGCCTTGGCTTACCTCCCCTCCCTTACCTCTCCTCTATCTCTCATGGAACTCTGCACATGCAAGCTAAGCACTCTACCTTCGCCACAACCCTATCCCTTAACCATGCAGTTTCTTCACACACAAATTTCAGAGAGGTAAAAAAAGCCAGAAAAAAAAAAACCACCAAGAAATGGAGAGGTCTGCCACTTAATAGTTAAAATAGTCTAGCAGCATGCCACCCAATCTTACTTGGGTTGTAATTTGACCTATTAAAATGGTTTAGAAAATTATCTAGAAATATAAACAATGTGAATACAACTTATCCATTTGCTATTAAAGGATTTGTTTTTTCCGGTTGTAGGACTTGAAATTTGGGCCTGGGCGCTGTCCCTCAGCTCTTCAGCTCAAGGCTAGTGCTCTATCACTTGAGCCATAGCGCCACTTCCAGTTTTCTGGTGGTTTATTGGAGATAAGAGTCTCACGGATTTTTCTGCCTGGGCTAGCCTTGAACCGTGATCCTCAATCTCAGCCTCCTGAGTAGCTAGGATTATAGGCATGAGCCACCAGTGCCTGGCTAAAGGATTTTTTTTTAAAATTAAGATGTGAAACGGTAGTATCATTTAAAAAAATTTCTTTAGAAGTCTTTAATCTCTTAGTGGCACAAACTAAATGTTTGATTTAAAAAATACAAGCAAATGAAACAAAACCTATTGTAGTGGCAAGCCAGTGGTAGAACGGGGGCACAGTGTAGGGCCAACTTTCTCTCTAGACACTCACAGTCATCATCGGTGTGCAGCTTGGCCTTCAACTTCTCCATCTTTCTCTCGTCTCGTAACAATGTCCTGTCTTTTTTAAGAGTGCCTGTCCCTTCCTCCTTCTTTTCTTCAATGGTTTCTTGAATTAAAGAGTATTCTTCATAATTCGTTATTCCTGACAATAGAAACTAGGTTGTAATTTCAAATGAATAAATGGCTGTCAAGTCCTTTCTCTGTGGGTATGCAGGGAAGGGGGGGGGGATTGGGTGAGGGGATGGGTAGGGGAAACAGGGGTGTGCCATAGAACCTTGTCTCAAGGTACTTATATCACATGCAAAATATTATGTGTGATTCTTGGCATCAAATCCAGGGCTTTGTCCATGCTAGGCAAGTGCCTTACCACTGAGCTATACCTTAGCTTCTCCATTAATTTTTTTCTTTTGGGGGTGCTGGTATTGGGGCTTCAACTCAAGTCTTTGGCACTGTCCCATAAGCTTTTCACTCAAAGCTGGAGTCACATGCCCACTTTTGTTTTTTTGGTGGTCAGCTGAGATCTGATGATCAAGGTTCAAAGCCAGCCCAGGCAGGAAAGTGCATGAGACTCTCAGCTCCAAAAAAACCACCAGAAAACCGGAAGTGGTGCTGTGGCTCAAGTGGTAGAGCACTTGCCTTGAGCTGAAGAGCTGAGGGACAGCACTCAGGCCCAGAGTTTAAGCCCCACGACCAACAAAAATAAATAAATAAATAAATAAATAAATAAATAAATAATCTCACAGACTTTGCTGCCTGGGTTGGCTTTAAACCAGGATCTTCAGATCTCAGCCTCCTGAGTAACTAGGTGGCTCTCAGCTTCCATTAATTTTGGAGAAACAAGAACAAAGTAGATGGCAGGCATGGGAGGTGAGTGATATCAGAGAAAATTATCTCCTCAATGAAAAAAAACTAAGCTAGGCAAGGCCTGTGTTTTCCAGACATTGGAAGGAGGCAGAGACTAATAATAGAAGGTACCAGAAAAAAAATCTAATAGTCAAACACAAAGGCTGTCACCATGGGCACTCAATGGGATACAATGGTGTTGGCTATTCATTGCTGGTGGTAGCAGGGGCAGGGATGCTGACTTATATAATTATATAGTGTATTTATACAACTAGTCTCGTAACCACATCTGCTCACCACCAGTGCATGGCTTAGAATATCAGGAAAATGGCCATACTCTTTTGGGTAAGGAAGAACTTAGTGTGCCAGGACACATTCAAAACTTCCCAGGCACACAGGTAGCTCATGCCTATAATCCTAGCTACTCAGGAGGCTGAGGTCTGAGGACTGAGGCTCCAAACCAACCTGGTCAGACAAATCAGAGAGACTCTTATCTCCAACTAACCAGTGAAAAGCTGGAAGTGGAGGTGTGACAAATGGTAGAGCGCCAGCCTTGAGCACAAAAGCCAAGTGAGAGTGTGAAATCCTAAGTTCAAGCTCTAGTACTGACATAGAAACAAAACAGAAAAGTTTCCCAGACACTACCTGGGGATGTATGGCATGGAGAAACAAAGCAATCAGAGCTGGGGTCCTGGGAACACTCACCTATCCTACTACAAATAGTGACCAGGAGCTCCCCGACAGTCTTGGAATCATCCACCATCACTGTCTTCACAGACCCGTCCAACATCCGGATTTTCTGAGGCCTCTGTTTCTTCTTGTATTCCAAAATATCCTACGGCACAAGTTACACGCGCACACACACACACACACACGTTTTACAATGAGTAGGAAGCTGATAACAAACTCTGACATTTGTCTTTGAGAAAACAATGCTGATCTTCTCATTAATTCAAAACTTCTTTTCCCAATTTTCATGGGTCGTGTTCCTAGGACTGACATAAAACCTTAAGGTATTATAAAAATTGCTTTCAGAAAGATTTCTCAATCTGGTAGTAAAATTCACTCTGAGAAAGAATACTTAAGCGTTCCATAATGACTAAAAACTGCGCTCTGTGAAGTTAAATGCCAGTTTGTCCTCCTGAAAGCCTAGGATGGAACTGTGCTAATAAGAAGAGAAGGAGATATCAAGGTGCCTTCAATGTGCCTCTCAAGCTATCTTTTTTTTTTTGGTGGCGGGGCAGTATGCTGGTACTAGGGTTTGAACTCAGGGCCTTCTGTTTCCAAAGCTGATGCTGTATCACTCAAGTCATAGCTCCACTTCCAGCTTTTCACTGGTTAATTGGAGATAAGAGTCTCATAGACTTAATTCCTGGTCTAGTTCTGAACCTTGAGTAGCTAAGATTATAGGTAAGAACCTCCAGTTTTCTAGCTCTAGCCATCTTTTATGCCATCATAAGCAAATTTTATTACCAATGCATCTATAAAATGAAAAATTGTTTTAAAACTTTTATTTTTAAAATGTTTACTAAAATCATTTACTATCCATATATAGTTTATATGAGAGACATAGAAATATTCCCCTAATTCTTTTTTTTTCTTTTGTTAATTTATTGGAGATAAGCATCTCATGAATTTTCTTGCTTGGGTTAGCTTTAAACCATAATCCTCAGATCTCAGCCACCTAAGTAGCTAAGATTGCAGGTATGAGCCACTGGTGCCTGGCTTCCCCTAATTCTTTATAGTATCGGCAGTCACAGTTGGAGTGGTTTTCATAGTAAGGATTAAGACCAAATGGGTCATAAGTTTGGGAGTCATTTAAAAATATCAGATCTTGCTGGGTGCTGGTGGCTCATGCCTATAATCCTAGCTACTCAGGCGGCTAAAACCAGAGGATTGCAGTTTGAAGCTAGCCCAGGCAGGAAAGTCTGTGAGACTCTTATCTCCACTAAACTCCTCAGAAAAAGTTGGAAGTGGTGCTTTGGCTCAAGTGGGAGAGCTAGGGACAGCATCCAGGGCCCCTGATTTCAAGCCCCAGGACTGGCACACTGGCACACACTCACAAATCAGATTATATATTTAAGGTATATTCTTGCAGGTATAACTCTGGAGGAGAAAAAATGAATTAAATATTTCACTTTTGCTTCATAGAATACTAGTTACTCTGAGAAGGTCCACTCCATGCAGTGTACAAAAACCCCAGTATCTTGGAGGTCAAGTGGTGGAGAAAGTTGAACAGTTCTTAACTCATTACCTGGCCTCATTTAGCATTCAATGACTGTTTTGTGGATGTTACTATGAATGGTAGTTATTCAACTCACATCACCAATTTGAAATTTCTACTTTAAATATGAAATGCGGATGCTATCTGGCCATGTTCACCTTTAGAATATTTTTTTTTGGGGGTCCGGTTGTGGGGCCTGAACTCTGGGCCTGGCACTGTCCCTCAGCTCTTCAGCTCAAGGCTAGCACTCTACCACTGAGCCACCTTCCCAGACTGCATGTTCACCTTTAGAATTCAATTTCACTTAAGAGTTAACTCTGTCACCAGCCCCAGGGACATGGCCTATCTATCTACTCACAGGAAGATGCTATTATCTTATTTAACTTCACACCTGCCAAGTCCACCAATGACATGTGAAACTGCTTAAAATACTACGCCAAAGTATCCCTCCCAGTCCCTCAGTGGATTTAGAGAATTTGGATGCTCCCATCTCCTCTCCTCCTGGAGATCTTCACAAAGTCCCTCACAGAAACAATGACTAAGTTGTCCCCACAGGAAAACTGGACTAACAATGGCTTCCAGGCAAGGCCCAGAGACAAGGCAGTGAAGGAAACATAATGAAGATCAAACTCCTACCCCATTCCGTAACATGTAGTAATCCAGTGTTCTGCCTGCTTCCAGCCAGATTCCTTTCCTGGGGTCTTCATCAGAGAGGAACAGCCCATAATCAGAAGCTGGAAGATCAATGGAGAGAAAAGGGGGAGGGAAAGTGACCCAAGTATGACAAGCCCAGGTCCACTTAAGCATGATGACTTGGTAAGGATATGATGTTTTCCTTCATAGGAGACAGGCTTCATAACCCCCCCCCCCCTTCCCCAACACATGCACACACAATCAGACAACACAAGAAAGCAAGAGCTGCAGGAGCAACACCCACAAATGAGATGGTACATCTGAGGTTTATAGGATCACCAGACACAAAGCCGTGTAGATTGCTTTCTAACCAAATCTGATGTGGTTCTCTAGCCTTTCTATTCTAGGCATCCTTAGGTACTTGTGGAGAAATCAAAGCAGTGACCACCGAAGTCCCAGACCATGTGGGAGCATAGAGGCCTTTTATACCATGAATGATAATATGTTATTGGTATGCTAGGCCTGGGGGGGGGTGGGGTAGGTGCCTATAATCCCAGCACATGTTCATAAGCCAGAGGATAGTCAAGACCCACCTTGCCCAGTTTGAGCCTCGGGTACTCGCTCTCGAATGACTCGACAGGCATCGTACACAGCCGTAGATGGTTCGAACTGCATAGTCTTCACCACATTGCAGTGGCGGACGCAAATCTTTAAGGAGAGGGCCACCATTTTCCTAGATGGCCTGAAGGTTCTCACTCAGAATATCTAGAAAACACAAAGAAATAAACCCTGAGGCTCACGAATCATGATTTGTCTTGAGAGGAAAATGCTGGAGTTGCAAACCAACTTTGAAAATCTTATCCACCCTTCGGGTTGCCTGCTGTAAAGTCCTAGGAACCGTTGTTTTTATCCTGAGTTTTGCCTGTGAGAACACGTTAACTATTTTGTATATGCAATATATGAAGAAACATCCTCCACTAACAACAACAACAACAACATTCATGAAGAATCACCCCTGATCAAATAAGCCTGTAATCTCTACAATGACAGGATGGCTTGACAAGGCAAAAAGTTTACAAATATTTGACAAGTACCTCTCTGCAGTGCTAACAGCTTTTTTTTTGTCTTTTCTTTTTTGGTACTGGGGATCGAACCCAGGACGTTGCGCTTGCTAGGCAAGCGCTTTGCCACTGAGCTACATCCCAGCCCAGTGCTAACAGCTTTTAAAGTCATTTAAAGAGCTTCTCCATCTCTCTTTTCACAAGTGTATCTAACCAACCCACCTACTAATTTGGGACAAGAAAATTTTAACTGTGGAGCTAAATGGACAATTTCATAGATCACTCTATGGGTGGGTTTGTTGCTTCCTGAGGCTGGTAAAAACTGTAGGGTTGATGAAGGCTTAGATCAAGCAGTAGGCTGCCTGCCTACAAAGCACTAAGTCCTGAATCCAAATCCCAGTAACACCAAAGACAGACAGACCTCCACCTAGCTACACCAGGGTTTCCTGAGCCTCTGCCATTTTTGAGCATGGTAAGTCAGTGGAGACAAGCATGGAATGCCTTGTTGTCATGGATGCTGTTGAGGGGATATAACAGTGAGGACAAGCTGGTTAATTCTTTCTGTTCCCTAGGAAAAGTATCCATGGGTCACTATGGATGGCCACCCTTCTTCCCAGGCTGAAAATGGGGCCTTCTGAAGGGGAAAGAATAATTTCCTTCTAGCCATGCAGACTGATTCCCCTCTGAAAGGGAAGATAGAACCATGGTGTGGTCCTGAGAGCCACAGGCAGCAGTAGGGTGAATGCCAGAGCTCAGGCAGAGGAAGAAGACATAGGAGGGATAAAGGAGAAAGCCAAAACAGAGATCAGGTTAGAGAGAAGCAAGGGGCCAGCAGGATACTGGGGTGTAGAATGTATGAGGACCATAGTATAGAAGCTCAGAGTTGGGAAGCAGCTGGCCAGGAGAGCAGCAGAAAAAGCAAAGCATGATGGGAAACTCTGTCCAAGTCAACTGTGCAGATACAGATAGATATGGGCTGAGTTTCTCTCTGGGATGTGTTCCATGGAGGCACAGAGATACAACTTAGCCAGGAGGGACCAGAAAGGCCACTGAGAGGAAAACCGACAGATGAAGCTTGTGAGAAGAGTTCTGGAAAAAGTATTCTAAATCAGGAAGAGGAGCAGCAACAAAGGAGGAGGGGAAGGAACAGAACAGAGAGGTGGGACCAGAAGAAAGTGCATGAGCAGAAAGGAGAGAATGCTGTGCTACCTGCTGGTGGATGATTAGGCAGGATGAGGGGGTGATGTGATAATTGACTCCAGCAAATTGAGGAAACGGGGTTTAGTGGAGGGTGAACCCAGAGCCTGGGTAGGTTTGGGGTAGAGATGGAGGAGACAGGCAGGCTCAACAGGCCTGCTAGGAATAGGTGAGAGCTTTGGTTTTATGTGTTTAGATACTGTATCCAAAAGTGTGTCACATATTACAGTAAACTCCATCAACATTCATGAGCCTGGTGCCAGTGGCTAGCACCTATAATCCTAGCTATTTAGGAGTCTAAGATTGGGAGGATCATGGTTTGAAGTCAGCCTGAGCAGAAAAATTCCTGAGACCCTCTTGTCAATGAAGAGCTGGACATGGTGGCAAACATCTGTTTTCCTAGGTAGTATCTAGGATAGGCCAGTTATGTCCAGATAGGTGCTAGGCAGGAAGTGAGATCCTATTTCAAAAGCATCCAGCATAAAACAGATCTAGAGGTGTAGCTCAGCAGTAGAAGCAACTGCCTAGCAAGAGCGAGGCATTGTATTAAAATTTATTTTTTGTTTGTGTGCTGACAAAGGAAAAAAAGCCATCTGTATAGATAAGGGGCATTTTCTTATGGCCCTAAGACAACAGTCTGATAGCAGTTTAGTGCCCTTTCTTATCACAGACAACCTCCACTCCAGGCCTTGCCTACAATGTTGCCCCTGGGTCTGTTGGAGAGGAAAGGAATAGGCAAATATGGTTCATGCAAAAGGAACTAGAGTAGGAGTCTGTGGTTTAGGCTCAATTTCAGGTTGGCAATGCTTTGGAACTTTAGAAAGGGAGCAGAAAGCCACCAGCTCCCATGGAAGGAACTTCCTGGGAGATATTTATGACCCTATGCTTGGCTCGTTATTTCCATTGGCTTCCTCTGACTGCTCCTTCTAACTTTTCACAGAATAGAAGTGATACTCTCATTTTGAGGTAAATAATCAACTGAACAAATTACGTCAGATTTTTACATTGCCCTAAACAAGTTCTGCAAAATAGCATCCATAGCGATATGTAGGTACACATAAAATTAAGGAAAAAAAAAACAAATACCAACAAACCAAACCAGTCATTCTGCAAAAACCACTGCACACTGATCCAAGAGCAGCACCTTCTTTTTACCCTGTGTCCTGTGCTCTTCTTATCCTGTCTCGGTGATGAATTCTTCCCAAGCACAAAACATACCCAGAAGACTCAAAAAATACCTCATGCACAGAAAGTGCTTCAGAAACCATAACTCATCTATAAAGACGAGGTGTTTTCATTATCATCGCACAAGGAGATGGCTCACGTGGCCAAACCCAGACAAGGTCTAAAACCGAAGTGCAACGATGATGAAATCATCATCCCACAAAACCCGCAGCCACTCACAATGAAATGACATTCTGGCAAAACGGACACGTGTTGGCATTAAGTACTCTGCTTTGCCCTGTGGCAAAAACAGAAGGATTAAAGTATATGCAACCTAGAAATGTCAGCTGAAGATACGTGTATGCGTTTTCAACACTTATGAGAAATCTCACTATACATCCTGAGCTCAGACAACTGTCTTGGTAACAATGCACTGTGCTGTGTTCCTGGGCAGCACAGACTGTGAGTGATTCTCCACTCCACCTCTGCCTCCCAACCCCACCTCTAATTCCTGCATCCCCAGACTTTAAATGATGCAGACTTGGCATCTAGGAGAAGGGGATCAGATTTCCTTTTCTGCTTGGCTGCAAGAAAGATCAGAGCCAAATTGGTCTACAACTTCTTGCTGTGTTGTTATAGTCTAAATCCTGCCTCTACTTTATGACCCTATCCTGATTTGTTCTGTTTTCTGAAACTTTGGTTTGAATGGATGCTTTCACAGTGGATTTTAAGTCTCTGTGTTTCTCTTTGCTTTGTTATAAAAAAAAAAAACTAAACAAGATCTAAATTCATTAAATTTTCCCTTTATCATCTCCCCCTCCCTATATTTTGCCTCTGTGTGTGTGTGTGTGTGTGTGTGTGTGTGTGTGTGTGTGTGAGAAGGTCACTTAGACTTGTACTTCTGAGTATCTATCTACTGGGGAAATGAGCCCATGGGACTAGTGGTGAAATCCAGGCATTCTTTGAAAATAAATACCAGTCAGTCCCAAGGAGCTCTAAATGTCCCAGGAGGCTGCTCAGATACATTGCAATCCATTGAGAGACAAACAAGCTCAACTCCAGCCAAGAAGTTCCCAAACAAATTCCCATCACTAGTCAAGGTGAATCTCTGCTTGACAAGATGCTCCAATCCCAGCTCTGCCTTACCAGCCACACCACCCCGAGCTACCTACTTAGCTCCTTCTTGTCTTAGACTCCTCCTCTATAAAATAGAAGTGAACACTAGAACTACCTATAAGGTTGCTAAAGAATTAAATGAGTTTACTATGCCAAGGGCACATAGAAAGTGCTAGATAAGGGTTAGCTGTTCTGAGTCATGGGTGTAGGAGAATCTTTAGAAGTAGCATACTACAGTCAGCTGTCATGAAATGCAAAGTACTGCATTCCTTATTTCACCTTCTAGTGAGCCCCGTATTTACTACGTATTCCCAGTGGTGTTCGTCTTCATGCCAAGGTGTATACTATGCTTTTTCTAGACAATGGGCTATCTGAGGGGTAAAGGTGTGTGTGTGTGTGTGTGTGTGTGTGTGTGTGTGTGTGTGTGTAACAGCTAAGGGTTGTCCTGGAGATCACTTAGATCCCCTCCCTCACCCCCAACTTCAGAGTTCAAGAGGAAAAAACATGCCCCCTTTAGGGGCAGGCTAGCATGCCCTAACGCAATCTACGGGGGTTTTGTCTAACCTCTGATAGAGTAGAGAGACTGTGTAGATCTGGCTAGACCACAGGGGCAGGTCTTGCCTTGATGGAGCCTTGAACCTCCACTCTAACCCACTGGAAGGGCCTAACACCCAATTATGGACGACTCTATCTGCTCTCTTCTTTATGTCTGTTCCCTGGAGGTGCTACTCAGCCCTACTGATGACTCTATGTATCACATAAGCAAATGTCAACATAACACACAGACCTTTACAGAGACAACCTTTATCAATGTTTACATTGCAGGTTCTAGTGAGCAATTCCATTCTCACAAAGCATTGCTGAGGGAGGGGTTTTCCTTTCTCTCCAGTTTTACCTGCTCCTCTGAAAGGGAGGAAAAAAGGTAGCTCCTCTGATAGGTAAAAACTCACAATGTACTGGGTCCCAGCTACCCAGAGGTGCTGTCAATATTGAGGTCTTGTCATCTGTCTTGCCCTCCAGGGCCCTTGGGGCTCAGCTGCATGGGGCTTACTCTAAATAGACTCTAGATACTGAGCCTGATGCCCGCAATGGGAAGCTAGGTCAAGTTAACCCTACCTTGGGAGCCAGCTACCTTTTATCCACAAAAAAGGCAGGAGGGAAGAAAACAGCGGGCCCAATCTCATCTCGTTTCAAGGAGCCACATTTCCTATGTGACTTAACTGAATCAAT